TCAATGAAGCATTGAATGTGCATTGGTTGGATATGCGTCAAATGAATGAATATTAAGGAAAAATAAGAAGCACAGATCCTGTGTTATTAGAAGAAGATGGGGAAATTTCTGGCGGGACCTATGAAGCTTTCATCTTGCCCTGCAATAAGGTGCCCCAAAGAATTTCCCTATCGCCGTTGAATTCCAAGATATTTTTCAACGAATTTTACTACTTTCCACAGGGCCTGAACTAATTTTCCAGAGCCGTAAAAATTGAACATCAACTGCATTGAGATAAAAAGTTCTTACTGCGAAGGATCTAGTCCCTGATATGCTTCTAAAAAATCGTTTGCTCATTTTTTCTTGTCGTTTACTTCGGAATTCGAAATGGAAATCTCTACGAGAGTCCACGGGATCACATCGTCATGTGATGGGAACTAAAAAGTTCACGTTCTTCTTGTACTTTGTGCAAGAGACGAGGAAGACATGTAGACAATCCACAAATAGCCAGACTTTATTTAAATCCCGAAATAAGGGCAACGACATTTCGTATTTAGTCGTTAGCAAAACCTACGGATAGAATAAAAAAAAAATCCACCACCACATTCAATCAATGATACCATTCTCTTACGTGGGAACTCCAACACCATTGTCTCATCATTCCATCCGATGCAAAAAAAAAGCATCCTCATCCAACCGAGTCGACGAAGATGGACAAGAAAAATAATTGAAATCAACATCTGCTCTGGAATTTAATTACTGTCCTTGAAATTCTCGTCATGACCGGGAATGTGGAACAGCCTGAGAAGGGTCACTTTATTCAAACGATTTAAACACCCCCTTCCCCTCATATAGTCATTAAAACTTTCCTCAAGGCTTTTCCCTCAATGAAATGTTAAACAACAAGATTGCAGCACTGGTCCAACCCCATCGAGATGCATTCAATATTAATTGTATTTATTCCCTATTTTATACTGTTAAAAATTATTCGAATAAAAAGAAGATAAAATCCTCAATGCAATTTGTTACTCATGCAGCGAACATTAATTTCGCTGAAATTTCCATATGGTTTTATATCCAGATAATGGATCTCGTGAAATTGTTATTGAATTTGACGATTGCCAATTGAATTGACTTAGGAGTAAATGAATTTACCATACGTAACGATTTTTCCTCAATGTCCCCAAACCTTTGAAGAATGAATCCAATATTGATTGGATTTATTCAAATGGCATGTTCCCCTTTCGATAAAAAAAAAAGCATTGTGGGTATGCAAAGAGTTTCGGTACGAGTAATAAAAGTGGCCTTTATACATAAACAAGTGGATGGTTCTTTATCGCAGTTGGGGATAGGCGCCAAGGGTTTCACGATAATTAATGGTCCTCGTTCTTTCACGATTGTTATGTACAAGAGCCCAAATGCAAGCCAGAATGAAGGTGAAGGAATAGGCGTGTTGGAGAGGGGGAAAAAAGTGAGAGAAGAGGATTAAAGAGGAGTTGGTATAGATAGAGACAGATAAAAATGAGAGAAATAAAATGTGAGAGGGAGAGATGTTCAATTTCACGGGCCACCCGGAAAAACCAGTGCCTTTCCTTCCACTTAAATTCCATGGAATGAGACACCTACTACTGGGACTGTCTCTAATCTACCTGGCATTATCTACGATTGGGTGTCCTCGAAGAAATCGACCTGAAATAAACACTTTGAGAAGGTGTGGAATTTCGAGATTAGATACAGTCAGGCGCGCTGGCTTATGGCCCAATCAAACAGTCCGATCATTTTCTGTTATCCGATCATCAGTGTCAAGATATTTCGCGGTGAATTGAATTATCCAAATTAGCAAGTTGTAACGATTAAAATAAAAAAGTAATGTGGAGATGGCTGATGTCTGGATGGTTATAGTGATAATTATTTATTTAATAATGAAGATAATAATGGAGCAATAATAAATGAAATTGCACATTGAAAAGCTGGAAAATTGGGTGCAGCTAATCGTAGGATTTTATCAAATCGTGACTGAATTCTGGAAAAATAGTTTTAGTCCTGGGTCATATCACGGCGGTTCGGTGGTAACAGAACACTGAAGATTCGTGAAATCCGACAAGTGCCCACGTATGAAACACATACGCATATGCATATGTCCAAGTTGGATGAGAAAAAAAAGGGGAGGAAGCGAGGGAATGAGAGAATTTGCCAAGTAGTTGGAGACGCGTCAATGTCGCATGGCACAATAGACAAAATGAGAAGAATGTTACTTTAATTCTTTCCTTCCTCTCGTGATGAGAAAGGAGAATGAGGCGCCACATGAGACTGGAATGAACACAATGAGTTATTTCAGTAGGATTCTTGAATTAGACAATGAAAAAAATGCTAGACCCATTTTATTCCATGACAACAATATAATAACCCCTGCCCTCCTTCGATTAATCCGAGAAAAAAACCCCGATTCACCCCCAGGAATATGTGATGTAGTAAATTGAATGAGCGATACGGAAATGGATTTTCAACTGCGGAAAAATTGCAAGAAGAAAATAAAAAATTGACGGAAATTCCATCAACAGGATGAGCCATTCTAATAACTGCGTCAGAGCGGTCAGAGCCTCCGGGTGCAAGAGCTCTACACTCATTTGACGAGTGAAAAAGGCAAATAAAAAAATGGAAAAAAAGGATAGCCCACGACGAGACGGCTTTTCACCGTTCGAAGATGGGCGATAGTGAAACGTCGGCGGTAGATATACCGCTCGTTAACCGCCCGGAGACACGAAAATCCCTCGTTGCCACTAGTTCCTCCAGGGCTCTTCGACTTCCTCCATGGTCAATTCTTTATCAGGCCAACATAGCCCTAGCTAAATTTTATCACAAACTGGATTATTGATTTGTTGGCCTTAAAATGGGGTATGACTATTTCGAACGCTGGAATTCTCTTTAGCCCCAGGTACACCAGCTAGTTCTAACATCGTAAATAATCAGGGAGGTGCTCCAGGCAAATAAAACGTACACTGAATGGAGGAATTTCTATTCTTTTCAGTGAGTTAATTTTTTACCGACACTTTCTCATTACTCACTCTCCGGGTAATTCTGACTCTATCTGATTTACTCGATTGTACGATGTTGCAAAATTACTCTAGAAATTTCAAGTGGAAAATTCGCACAGAATAGAATAGTCATTCCTCATTGACTAACCAGTTATTCCATTGAATTTTTCAATCTATCGAAAATTTAATTGGATTTTCAATTGGATGCTCAATTTTTAGGATCACAGAATTACCTTCAATTACTCCAATTACTTCGAACTTTTCTTAATCATTGCTAAGAAAATGAGTCATAATATTCAATTGAATTCGCACTGATAATTGGAAACGTGTAGTAGTGTAATAACAAAAATAGCAAGTGCAGAGATAAATTTTGAGGAATTTTCGATAAGCTGGAGCATGTGAATTTTTATTGATCCGGAATTCTAAGAATTGTTTACTCAATTTTACTTCTTTATGCACCGAGACCATTCACCTTTGGGAAGAAAGGAGCCACCTGACTGTTTACGAGGTTTAGTTAACGACCTAATGCAGGTAGAAATAGCGAGAGATAATGGAAATAGCCGGCAATAACGACATTTCCCAGAGGTTCAGTCAAGATTATGCAGCAAGTGTCATCCCCACTTGGCACTCATCCTGGCGCTAACTTTTATCCAACTTTTTTCCTTTCTTGATAAGATACAGTAAGTTGGCCAACGCCTCGCTTACCACACGTCAATTCATGACGTCATCTCTCATAATCTCCAAATGACACGTTTTTCATTATATTTCTTTCGTATTCCGCCTGCTCATGTACCTGCATGACGTGTTCACTTCCCACAGACATGGTGGAAGAATGGAGAGAGGAACGAAATAAAAAAAAAACGTAAACGAAGAGGAAGGAGATGGAACTATTTGAGACATTGAAGACCGAGAGAATATAGAGAAAGATAAGAAAAAAAAAGGAATTAAGGAGGTGCACCGATTCTGAAGAGACGAAAATTCTGTCTGGGAACGAGAGTACAAAATGACGGTGGAAAAAAAATGTCGAAAATACATTTTGTCGTGTGCATTCTGCATGAGACACCAGCCGAAAACCCGCTACATCCCTAACACTACATAGAACGATTGCTATTTCCGTTTGGAATAAAAAGATACACACATTCAAGTTTACCCCCAGTGTCTCGTTCTGTCTGTCGCGATGTCGCATCTTCTAAAGATAAAGCCTCCGCCGACACCGGCCCAGACAGTTCCCAAAAAATATCTTTTAACCGATTTTTTACTCTCATTGTCGCGAGAAAATAAAAGTATTTGGAAAATTTGAATGAATGGAGACATCAGGGGCCAAATCCATGTGATCTTGTGACTCTGCCAGTGAAAATCAACCAACGAAATGAAGAACTGACAGATAAACCTCTAGGGAACTCTCACCATCTCCGCAATTGAACTCCTTAATTTCTCATTAATAAATTTCCCTCCGTGAGTTGAGCACCTCTGGGCCCGGTGTCACGTGATCCTTCGGCTTTCCTTTACGATTCTTATTTTCCATCCCATACTATCCCGTATTTCGCCAACACCACGCGAGTGTCGTGAAACGTCAGTCTAATTTTTTATTTATCCAATTAAAGCCCCCAATCCACTCACAATTAACCCACACCCACACCTACACACTCGACACACGCACGCACACATATACACGCACATATACACACACATGCGCGAGTGAGTGAAAACCTTTTATCCTTGAGTCAGTCGTGAGTGCAGCAGTGAACGTCAGGAGGAAATTAATCAATTGCTCGAGAACGCAAAAAATCCAGGAAAAAAGTGGCTTTTTTCCTGTTTTCAGGTCACACCCAATTTCATCGGAGTGGAGAAACGCATTGGGGAAAACGCAATTAACGATGAGACGTCGAGATGTCACGTGTATCACGATTACTTGATTGCACCCCCCCTTAATTTGTCGATCAATCACATATGGAAAATCCCTGGAAAATTGATGGAAATAGTTACCTGAAAGTCTGGCGAGGAACCTGAGCATACCAGCGGCAGAGTATAGACACCTCGATGCACTCCTAGCGACGAGAATTCCCCCTGCTACAGGCATGTGTGTTACCTCTTTCTTCACAAGTATCTCAGCGTTTTCTCCCTTATGTACAATTATTCTCTTCAAAGTAATCGAAAGAAAACAACCGCCAACACACACACACACACACAGACTGGGGAATTAGCACCAGCCTAATCCTCATAAAACAATCATATTAAAAATAAATATGACTACAAAACAAAAATAAAAAAAAAGTAATAGGCAACTCCAATAACTAATTGACCACTCGCGCACCTTAGGAAATCCATCCAAATCCAATAATCAAGTTCCCTCCTTTAATCTTTATCCTGTCTTCCCTCATCTTCATTCAAATTTCGTGAAATCCTTGAGCTGAGATGGTCGAGTCAGAGGTGTAGACCTGCATGAAAAGCCTTTCCTGGGGCTGTCCAATTATTCGTTTCCACATGCATCAAGGTGGTGATTTAATCGGTGTCAATCAACCTGCGATTGACATTACCATCGATTCATTGACAATTTTGATGGATGAATATCAGGGGAAAAACAAAGGAAATTTTGGGGGAAACAAAGTGTAGCCCTCGGGGCTCTCACACAGCTCGAGTCCTCCAACCCCGTGGGACAATCAAATTGTTATTTTCCCAGTAGTATAAATAATAGTTTCCTCCCTTCAGCCACGAACTACGTGCAAACTAAGCCCGTGCGTAGACCAGCCACTCCATTGCTTGTTGGACACGAGCGCCATTGCCACATCTCTGCCACTCGACTTCTTTTTTTCCCTTCCTCTTATGTTTCTCCTTTTTATTATTTTTTTTTTTTCAAACTCTGCCCCTGTCTTCCCACCTCACTGGTTTGTTTCAAATTCACGTTGTCCCGAGCACTGATTGCCTCTCATTTGTTCACTCACCACCGGATGAATAAACCAAAACAACTCGCTGGAATGACCAGTAGGAAAAAAAAAGAAATCCACAATCAACAAGCACACATTGATTCGCCTCACAAAACTCATCCGGTTCAAAGTGGCTGGCAAGTCCTCGCCTCAAATGATCATCATTCTCAGGAAACATTCAGATGTAAAAACCATATTATTCCACTGGTGTTGTTGTTTACGTGATTATCCGTGGCTGGTATTAATCCTCGTACTATCAATGGCCCCCGGGGTGGTTACGATAAACTGAGAGGGAGAAAAACTGGGTGGAGAAAATAAAAAAAAAAAAGAAACGTGAAAACGTGTCGGATTAATTGGAAATGAATAAGAGGGACTCCGTCCAAGTACACGTCAACGAGCGAACTGAGGTGAGCTGGTGAGCATCTGCCGCTTGAGGTCTTCTCCCCGTGAGCTGTGCTCTCTGCGCTCGCAGGTTTTGGCGTTTGAGTTTTGCCTTCTCCTCTCTCTACAAGTCTACACTATATACTCTACACTCCACTCGTTAATGGATTCCCATCTCCCTCCACTACCTTTTCACAGCCTATTCTACCTCTCTGTTGCACCACCATCGAGACGTATGTAACTCCCCCTCCTTTTCTCTTTATCTCTTTATCTCTCTCACTCACTTTAACATGTCTCTCTCATACTTGAGCCACTCTCGGTCCATCTCTGTCTATCTCTCATCAACAGGCCAATGAATGGGCGAATGGGCGATCTCGGTATATGTATAGGAGAGACACAACCGACACCACCACACGACCCACACGACCCACACTACCCACACAACCCACACAACCCACACAACCCACACAACCCACACAACCCATACTCTCAACCATTTCGTTTGGCGATTATCAACGGAGTTGCACGGAAATAACCGATCATGATTTTGGTACAAGACTAGTTGTATGGGATTTGTGTGTTGGGTTGGGTACCACATCCACGCACTTCCCGCGTTACACCACACACCATTTAATAAAATTCCATTCTTTTTTTCTTTCTTTCTTTTTTCAGGGGACCAGTCGCCGGGGAATTCCAGCATTGCAATTCGAATTCCTATGAATGGGCTAATGAGAGGTCATTTATGGTCGGTCAGGCGGGTTTTCCCATCGGGAAATTCAATTTCTGTGGGTAATTTCATTTTTCGAAGGCTCATCGGGTTATTTAGATGACAGGTACTTCTCTCGTTTTGTTTGGATTATTCATGTGCTTCCAGGGAGGACTGTCTCTCCAATGATAACACAGCTTTTTATGTATTTACTATGGGATTACTACTACTGGTTACTATGCCATTTCGAGTGGATGGGATCAATGGAATTGAAATTGGAAAATTCTCGTTGGTGGGGGCTGACATCTTGCGGGGGATGTCCCAAGTTTTTCACTGGAATTTCTCATTGGAGATGCTCGAGATGAGGGCAATTTCACCGATGGCGAATCGATTATCAATTTGTGTTGGAATTATCGATGATAATTATTCTTACTGATTTTTATATGATTAATTTTATTTTTTTATTGTAGCGTTGTGCATCGAAAGCAGAATAGGGAATTCGAAGAAATTTGAACCGAATTCTTGATAATCAAGAGGAAATCAACTAAAATTATTTAAAGCAATAATAATTCATCGTTCACTGAGTTTTTTGTCTATAAAAAAGATAAAAATTCATCAGGAATGAGCGGTTCAGACTGGTTGCTTGTTATAAATCAGTGGTGGTGAAGACTTTCCACTACAATTTTACCCCATTTTATTGATAAAAATTTAACAATCCTATTATGGTATTCTATCCGCATATTTGATATGTTATTTATCTATATTATTCATTTAAAAAATGAAAAAAAAAACCAAGAGTAAGTGATAGCAAATGAACAATTAAAATTTCTTTTAATTGATGGTTTTAACGGCTTTTATGATGGTTTACTTGATCTTACGTCGATGGCCTGTATTTTTAATGAAAATCTCAGTGAAAAGGTGAACAAAATGGGAGGGATAATGGTAGCAGGTCGTGGACACGAACGAATTGCGCGCGGCCAAGCATTTAAAAATATCCGGGAGTTATCGAAGCATCTCGACTCACCTGCCGACTTGGAAGTGAAACATCTGCGGAGCAATCTCATCGAATTTCTCCCTTTTCCTTTTTTTTCAGTGTCTCGTGAATTATGGCATATCCACTCCGCATCGTCGACTTGTGAGCCTCTTCGAGCATAGAAATTAATCAACCTCACGGTAGAGGAAAGGTCTTGTAGATCCACCGATGGTGAACACAATCCATTGGCATATCGGGTAGTTTCCATCAAGTTCACTGATTCTAAATGTCCAAACAAATCGCAAGACCCGTGGAAAAATAAAACATCATAGGAAATGAAAAATCGACGATAATTTCCTCCGTCGTTCTAATTAATTGACGTGAGAATTTTCCTGGACATCAGTTGGAGGATTAACTGTTAAATTTTAATGCATCACTTCTCCTTTTATTCGTCATTTCACTGAGTATAACGGCACATGAGCAATTTTCACTAAACTGCTGATATTCGATTGGAGATAAGTCATGCATTTCAGTCCCTCGGGGTCTATAAAACCCTCGCTACTGTTTTATGGACCATCGATCGTTAAATTAGAGTCTACACAGAAGCTCGCATTATGGCAAATGCAGTGCAAATACTAGGGCTGATTCGATAATTTTACTTTGGCAATACCTCCAACAGAAAATTCACAATCAATATCTTTCAATGGAGTTCATGTCGATAATTCCGTTGCTATTCCATCAGAAATATCTCATTTATACCTCTATTACACAACTCCAATCTCTCTATAAATCAAAAGAAATTCTCAAAAACACGAGTAAACACTAATAACACTAAATTCAATTCCTTTTTCCTCAGATTTTCTCCAATTTTCAGTCATTTTCCATGGGAATTTTTCGTTTTTTACTCATGAAAATGAGGAGGAGTTAATCAGTATTATTTCATATCACGATATACAAAAAAAAAAAAAAATCTAATTTGTCCATTAATTCCGTTACAATTGCGTTATAAAATAGAAGAAATGCCCCCTGACAAGTATAACCATTAAATTCAATTAATTCCTCTCTAGATTTCCTCCAATTTATAGTAATTCGTTGGGAAATTTTGGAATTCAATGTTTTTTTTATCGTCAATGACGAGAAGTTGGTATTTCTCATATCTGTCGGATAGGTTTTTAGAGATTCCCCGTAACTTTCATTACTTATCTTAATATTCCATGTTAAACAACAGAAAATACGAACAAACAAGCCGTGAAAAATCCATAATCAATACGTATTGTATCGAAATAGAGGGGAACCCCTTGTCATTGTCATGCCTATTCACCTGTTCAATACAGACAAAAATACAATGAAAATTTATGGTAGGTAGAAGGAGGATAAGTTGTAATGTCATAATCAGGAAGTGGACGAGAAATAATCGGGGATTTTGGGGTGAGTTGAGGGGTTTCACTCCGACAAATGATTCGATGGGTTTATTAATTATTCATTTACCTGTATATGCCAGGGTATGTCTGCTTTCAGGGAGCGCAGGCGTCAACCTGACTCCTGGTTCAGGTGGATATAGGCTTTGAAAGACATCGAGGTACATTCGTGCATCAACATGCTAGACCTCTGGGTTTTCTGGATTGCAATTACACTGATTTTCTTCGGTAATTGCGCCGAGTCTCAGTCACAGATTAGACTCTGTAAGTCGTCGAAAGTTATCGGTGTATCAGGTTTTCAGGAAAAGGGTCGAAAAATTCAACGGGTTTCTTGGGGATTTTTTTTTGGACTGTTTTAGTGATCGTCGTGGAGAACTCCGATGTTAGGGTCCTCAGTCAGCTCAATGATGTCGTACCAGCTGCTGAGAGAGCTTATGCTGGTGATAAAGTTACTGTCGAGGTGAGACCTGTTCAGGTTGATCGGCATGATGTTGATGGAAGCTTTCGAAAAGGTACTGTTGACTTATTTTTGCTATTCCAGTCACAATGTTACCTGATTTTTTCATCACGTCTAATAATCCACCGAAAAGTTTCACTGAATTTCTCGTTCAAAATCCCATTTTTACTGTAGTATTTCCAAGTCTTCACGTTTAGGTCGATGAAAAATCAAAGATTGTCGATTCATTTTGAAAAATGGATGAATTTTCGAAAAATTCTATTGAGTTTATAGTTTTTATTTTTCGTGGGGTCGGAAAATTCCCAACTAATTGTTAATTTGGTAAGCAAATTTTTAAAAAATTCAGTGATTCAACTCACTAAATGCAATCTTTCCACCTGCAAATATATATAAAACTATATATCGAAATTGATGACTTAATCCGTTTGAATTTCTGAGCTCAACTTTTCGAATATTCACTCATAATATCACAACCGCTTCCAGATAATTCCAGAGCTGCCTGATAATTTTGAGGCTTGTGTGGTATTCGAGGGATTATTTTTCCCATTCAAATGTCGGTCAATATATTATAGAATTGCACGATGAGACGAAACTCACGATTAAGAAATAAGAATTGCATATCTGTCATGTTTGTCGTGGGGTTCATTTGACTGGATAATGTTTTCTTTTTTATATAACAACTACCAGAGGGAATGATCAAAAAGTCATCAGTATAATATCATGTAGGTTGTGACGACACGTGACATCAAATGATCGATCGTCAAATTCTATTGTTCGATAGGTGGGTCGGAAAAATAATCTACAAGGTTTTGTCATATTCTCCTGATACTGGACCCAGAGACATCCAAATTTTACAAGACAGTATTGTAACTTTTGAATAAAGGGAACACTAAATTCAAATATTCCGCCCGCAGAATGTCTAAATTCGCTAAATTGCTTCATCACTCTTCTGCTTCCCTGATCTCAGGCACGGCAAAATACGAATTTTACACGAGCATTCACGTGATTTTGGTATATACAAACGTACACTAAATTTGAGGTACACTAAACTCAGGGCAGATCATATATCCAACAGATGGAACGTTCACTCCGCCCGCTTCATGTTTTTCGGGTACAATGTACGGTAAAATACTAATTTAACAAAAGCGTCCGGTAATTCTCGGGTGCAAGCTGAATTTTAAGCCCTGACTGCTTCGGCAATTCAAGATTTATGTTCTCCTGATAGATGAGACAAGAAAAGAAGAATTTTGCGGGAGCGTGTGGGACTTTAATCGCATCATCTCGACAAATCTGTCGACAAGTCCCAAGTGACTCGACTTAAAATCAAAACAATAACAATTATTATGCTGACAAAAAAATGTTGCAGTGTGCGCTGAACTCTTCGACGGGATCACCATCATATTAGATATCACCTACACCGGATGGGACAAGCTGCGAAATGTCGCTCAAAACAATTCAATAATCTATTTGAGAACAAGTGGTTCAATTATCCCGTACGTTCAGGCGATTGATGACTTGCTCCTGAAAAAAAATGCTACGGACGTTGCGTTGATATTCGAGAACACACGAGGTCTGTTGAGTTTTGGCAGAGAAGTTGTTAATTGTGATATTCTCGAGATTATTGAGATGACGAATCAATTACAGAGCTCAACGAGTCACTTTATTATCTCATCGGCAACTCGATAATACGATTAGTCGTCATTGACGAGTTGTCAGAGGTCACAGTCTCGACGATACGATTAATGAGACCGTCACCCTCGTATTATGCCATTTATTCCAGTACCGCTAAGATGGAAAGTCTCTTCAAAACGGTAGATAATCATTGTTATTTCACATGAAATGAGAAAAATTAATGAATTTAGTTGTTCTAACTGCTCTTGTAATTCAAGGCCATGAATGGAGGATTAGTCAAGAGAGATGGCATCTGGAATCTTGTCTTCACCGATATGCATTATAAGAATTTTAAATATATATCCGGTCCAGATACTTTAAACATAATGGTGGGAATTTTATCTATGAATCCTAGTGTATGTTGCAGACTTATTGGAGAATATCCGTGTACCTGCCCTCCCAATTTTGACGTAAGTATCATCATTTCAACTTGATAAACTAAAAATTATGAAACATTTTTATAATAATTTTCATTTTTCGAATTTTTACCATCACAATTAATTATGTATCTAAAATATTTGGTTGTTTTCTAAGTATATGGTAGAATTTTGTGTAATTTTTGTGAAAATTAAGAAATTGTTTTTGACAAGAAAATTGGCTGCTTAAATTTTATAGGAAAAAACCTTAGGTTTAGGTAATTTTAAATTTACGTTTTTTTTGGAAAAAAAAATTTAAAAAAATATCTGATACAGATTTATCCGAAATTCTTCGAGAAACTGATTTTTCTACTGGTCTCAACCATAACCCAAATTCAAAAATCGGGGGTTGATGTAGAGCCTATAAAAGGCCAATGTATGACGAGCAATGGAAATCCCATAATAGATCCGGAGAAAAATGCAACACTCAGGACATTCCTCACAACTCTGACAACTGTGAGTTTCTCATTTCCGTCGCTGCAATTCATAGCGGGAAAACTAACACAAGTTTGAATTTTTCGTAACATACGATTTCATTTCACCGTAGAATGTGGAATCAGACAATGACATGTTCGAGTTTTGGACGGAACGAAACTTAATCCAGATGCGAGCTGAAATTAACCTGGAGACACTTGAGGGAGGAAACTTGGAGATGTTGGGGAACTGGACGAAGAAGAGTGGAATCATACCCGCACCAGGGAAGGATATACAGCCAGCCAAAAGGTTCTTCCGGGTTGGAACTGCCGAAGTAATTATTAATTTTCAGCAATTATTCATTGAAATATGAGAAGCAAAATGAATTGTCATTTGTCAATTATGAGAATTCCATAGAGTCTGTTATTCATGGAAGATTTACCGAGCATGACAGAAATAATTAACACTGTAATTAATTAATTACACCAATTACCCTCCATCTAGGCATTACCCTGGACAACAAAAAAAAGAGATCCAAATACCGGTGAAGTAATGACGGACAAAGATGGCAAGATCATATGGGAGGGCTACTGCATCGATTTCATCCAGAAATTGGCAGAAAAAATGAATTTCGATTACGAACTCGTTATCCCAGAGGACAATTCTTTCGGCCACAAACTACCAAGTGGAAAATGGAACGGATTAGTTGGGGATTTGTCACGAGGTGTAAGTCCATTGGAATCGCCCCAGATAAATGCGTTAACTCCCAGCACCAGTCCATTTAATTCACCGAGATGTCTTCTTTTTTTTCTCAACGGCATATCAAATGCCACTTGATAAAATTATAAATTTCGTATTCGTACTCGGATTTTTTTTTCTTCTCCTCATACTCAATGAATAAATGCTATTTGCATAGAGCGGACAAACACATTGAAAATCGATAGAATAAGTTTGTTTCTTCGCGAAACTGATAATTGTATACAATTAACGAAACAACTGCAATACCCTATTGGTATTGAGCCTTCGCATTATCGACTGGTTGATTTGAAAAATTAATTTAATGCTCTACCGCCACGTCAGCTTTCCGAATCCCCCGATTTCCCCGAATCATCGGTGTACAAATAGCGCCTCAAAGCTCATGATCTCCTAGTAGGCTTCTACTCAAGTTTATGTCACGTCTTGTCATTTTACGAGACTGTCTAGGAGTTTAATAGTGTCTTGTCATCACAGGGGACCACTGAAGTATCATTTATATTCCGTCCATCATCTGGAGTTCAATTAATCAAGTCTTCGAAATTGAGTGGGACCATTTTGCAATTCCGCTATCCCTGTTATTCTTTTTTCTCGTAATTCGCTGGTGTCATTAATTCTAAAAGACCATTTTTTTTTATCGATATTTGAGATGAGTCTCGAGTCATTCAAATTGAATGCATGCGAAGAATTTCGAAACGAATTTTCAGATTTCCTCCATCTCGGTCATGTTTTCTGGGTTTCTTGCACGGCAAAACTAAGAATTCCTCGATATCTTCTCCACTTGTAGATTTCAGGGGCGAATGTCTTATTACTCTGCTGAAATTTTCCACTGAAATTTCTTTTGCAAGTAGTACTTTTCCTAAATTTTCAAGAAATTCACAAAGATCAGTGAAAATTATGAAAAACTCATGAAAAAATTCAAGTTTTGTTCCGTTAATTTTCACACAGACATTAATTTCATCTCAGAATTACAAAATTGTCACGTAATTTTTCGTGAATTCTCTATAATCCTCTACCAGGAATTGATTTTCAAGGAATTCCTTTTTTATTTTACGTTTTTTTATTTTTACAAACACTCTCAATTACTTTCAATTTAATTTTATCATTTATTTTTCGGTGTATGTTTCTCCATGCGGTCTGAAATCCAGATTTAATATTCTCCCGATACTAGATTGATAATTCCAACGCCCTATAGGGACATATCCTAAATTCATTGAATCCCTTGGCTTTCATGTTCTCCCGATTAAAGGCACGGCAAAACTAAGAATTTTACGATGCGGTATTGTAATTTTCGGGTGCAACTGTAGGCTCATTTTACCGTAAAAATCGCACAAATAAATTTATATCAATGTGAAATTCCTACCATTTCATAAATATGCGATGAGAAAACCATTTTTTCGACAATTGCGCTCTGTCTGTGAAATTACTAGTGAATTACCGGCCACTGCAATTACTATAGAATCGAAGTAAAAATGTTTGTAATGGAATATCGTAGATTTCAGAATATCCCGGTTCGTTCATGTTTTCCTGGTGGGATGAACGGTAAAACTAAGAACTTTACGATACCGTAATCTAATTTTAGGACACTATTATGGGTGAAATCCAATGAAGTAGAAGTGGAAGATTTAATGGAGATAAATCTTCCCGTTTGCTTTTCATGTGTCCCTGATATTGTACACGGGAAAGAGACCAACTTTGCGATGCGGTCTGATACATTTTGTACAGTTGATTGACCCCCAATTGGACATTTCAAGCTCAAAATTCCTAAATTTCTAGACTACCCTTCCAACCTCATAATCTCCTGGTGTCATACACGGGAATAAGAACGATTTTACAAGAACGAATTGCGATATTACGGCAGAAAATTCCATTGACTTCTCTCAACTCAAAATGGAACTGAAATTTCACGTCCACTTTATGTTCTCCTCATACCATTCACGGGAAAAGGCAGATTCTACAAAACCGTCTTGTTATTTCAAAGTCCAGTAGATGTTATCGGGGAGGTACTGCACGCAACACAGGAAAATTCAATGAAAATTCCATGAGTTTCAGTATTGCAGACCAAAATCATTCGAAATGTTTTGTCTTGGGTAATAGTTACAAAAAAATCGCTGCATGAAATTAGAGAAATTTCAAGGGCTAGGGGACATGTTTAACAACTGCTTTCTCCGGAATTCTTCTATGATCAATTAACAATGGATGAGACTTATACTTTACGAGTATTTCGCGATGCACAAAGTCATCAATTGCTGACTTGGTATGTCCTCCTAATACCGTGCACGAGAAAGAGGAGAGTTTTACACATGTCAATCTGACAACAGAAAATTCTCAGGTAAAGTAATCATAACTTGCAAAATTGAATTTGCACAATCCACGAGATTCTCTTGTAACTATCAGTTACCACTCAATTATTTAGCAAAAAGAATTTCTAAAAATTATCACTAGTACTACATACTCTTGCTATTTCCATTGAATGACAAATATTTCCTTTAATAGTTTCATATTAAATATATTCATATTAGATATTTCAATAATTTTATAATTACACTCTGATCTCATCTGATCTGACCTGAGGGAAAGGTCATTGCCAAGATAATTTACTGAATGATGAATTACGATTTAAATTATTCTGGCATTTGGTTTAATTTTTTTCAATATTTTCAACAGATATTATTCCCCGAATTATATCATAGTCATACACCCGAAAAGGTGCTTGACAGTCGATCAATATCATATGGAAACAACTCCCCAGGAAAAGGATGCACATCTATCATGTTCCCCTGATCCGCTCCACGGAAAAATAAGAATTTTACAAGACCGTATTCTAATATCTTTACACAAAAGCTCCGGATTCATCGGATCTTCTATATAAAATAAAATACATAAGAAAATATTAATATACGTTCCTCCCAATCTTCTGGCGATTATGTCCTCCTGATTCGTTTTGAAACGTCTGACCAAATCTAGTAGATTTCCCCAGTGAGACCCACAAATGAAAAAAAAAAACACCAGTATACAGATGCTGTCCTCTGATTCCTGCCAACCTCTTGTGATTTCTGACCTCCGGATGAAAATGAAAGCAAGTTTGATCGAACTCTGCCAATTCTACCAGACATCAGGGGTTGGAAAAGACAATTTCATAATTCAATCTCCTCTCCATTACACTCAGAGGAAAAATCTGTTGAATAAAATTATATTGCATCATATTCTTCTCCACAGGAGACTGACATTGCAATTGGGGCTTTAACGATGACCTCTGAACGAGAGGAAGTCATAGATTTCGTTGCACCTTATTTCGAGCAGTCTGGAATTCTCATTGTGATGAGGAAACCAGTGAGGGAAACATCACTCTTCAAATTCATGACTGTTTTGAGGGTCGAGGTATGGCTGAGCATCGTGGGGGCTCTCACCTTGACAGCTGTCATGATCTGGATCCTGGACAAGTACTCTCCATACAGTGCCAGGAACAACAAGAGGATTTATCCTTATCCCTGCAGGTTCATTTCCCTCAATGAATTCCCCATCATCTCAAAACAACTAAACAATATTTTCTTCATATTCAAAACTCTATGAAATCCCCTAAAAAATTTGAGGACCACATTGAAGTATATATTAGTGATTCGAAAAAATGAACAATTTTTTAAAGAGATGAAAAAATTTGAAAAACTTATTCATATTATTTTGTTTAGGAGTGAATGCGCAAGAAAAAATATGCAGTGAATACAATATTGGGTCATTAATTTGGATTAAAATGATATATTTAGGGAATTTACACTGAAGGAGAGCTTCTGGTTCGCTTTGACATCTTTTACACCTCAAGGGGGTGGAGAGGCTCCAAAGGCACTTTCTTCTAGAACTCTCGTTGCTGCCTATTGGCTCTTCGTGGTTCTCATGCTGGCTACATTCACCGCTAATCTAGCTGCCTTTCTCACTGTTGAGAGAATGCAGGTATGACGTGTTAAGAATGTTGCTTATTCATTTTTCTAATTAAACAATATGCCTGAGACTGGTTTCGCCGATTTTAGGGTGATCCATATCGTGTGTGATTTATCAATTGATTCGTTCCAGGCTCAAGTCCAATCACTGGAGCAGCTGGCAAGACAATCGAGGATTAACTATACGGTGGTCGCTAATTCCACAACTCATCAGTATTTCCAGAATATGAAAAATGCCGAGGATAAACTGTACAAGTGAGAATTCCTATAAACAATGACTATTTTTTCCCGAGATATATTATGATGATTTCTATTGGTAGTGTCTGGAAGGAAATAACGTTGAACAGTACGAGTGACCAAGTGGAGTACAGAGTCTGGGATTATCCAATAAAAGAACAATACGGTCATATTCTTCAGTCAATTACCACAGTGGGACCAGTGAAAGACTCGAAGGAAGGATTTCGAAAGGTAAATATTATTAACAGTCTCAATGGAATTTTATTCCAATGTATGTTCCAGGTAGTTGAGAGTGAAAAAGCTGAATTTGCATTCATCCACGATTCATCAGAGATTAAGTACGAGGTAACGAGGAGCTGTAATTTAACAGAAATTGGAGAGGTCTTTTCCGAACAGCCTTACGCAGTCGCTGTGCAGCAGGGGAGTCATCTTCAAGAAGAAATTAGCAGGAAGTAATTAAAATTCATTGCCAAAAAATAGCCATTGATAATAAAAACCATATGGTGAGCTGAATTGATCGTATCTCTTTCAGAATTCTGGATCTCCAAAAAGACAGATACTTTGAGACTTTATCAGCCACATATTGGAATGCCTCATTGAAGGGCACGTGTTATGACATCGACGAGAATGAGGGTATCACTCTGGAATCTTTAGGTGAATATTCAATGGTTCAATTTATTAATAATTGAATAGGAAATAATAAATCTCACTGTTCTTACTATTTACATTAACACTTCACCTTTTCCCATTTTTTTCTCGACTACTTTTTTAATCGATAACACATCACTCATTACATATATTCTATTCAAATATTTACAACAGGTGGAGTTTTTATCGCGACACTCTTCGGCCTTGCTCTTGCCATGATAACACTGGCAGGTGAAGTGATATATTATCGCAAGAGAAACGCAGCCAAGGATAACAAATCGAGAGAAGCAAATGGTGAGCACATGAGAACCGGTGAGGATGCCCTATCAAAAGGAAGACTCGGTTTCAAACCTGCACCAACAGTTGCCTTCATTGGAAAATCCCACACAGGTCCAAGGTCAAGAATCTCCCACATCTCAGTGTATCCCAAAAATTTTCCCTTCAAGGATTGAAAGAATAGGATAAAAAAAATTTAAGATAGGAAATCTAAAGATGTTTTATATAAGCTTCAGACCAAAATACATAACATTAAGAATAAAAACTTCTTAAATGCCTCATTATTCTGAATTACGTGACGCCTCTTTTTCAATAAAAAGGGGAGGCAACCAATAATGCAACACTGCGGGAAAAACCAACACTTTCCACATTATCGCAATCGATATTTCATTCTTCTTCCGTGTTGGTGATCAGTGGGCGTATTATTTTCGGGTTTTTGTCAGTAGAAGTGAAATCGATTTCTCATAAACCGCAATTTCACGAGCTCATGAATTCTCACTTATCCGATCCATTCATTTACTGATACTCAATTATTTATTTTTCATTTACAAAAATCATTGGAGAAATCATTAAGATTTTTTTTTTCTATTTTCGCATTAAAATTAAATTTGCTGGTAATAATGAATGTGTAACGTGTGTTGCCAGGGTCCCGAGACTTTATATTGTTGAATTGTTGATATCCCCATTCCAGATTCTTCAATTCCTATGACAACAATGACAGGTGGTAGACAATAGGCCCATTGATCTCCCTATCTCGCTTTCACTCGACTATTGTTTCAAATGTTAATTAGACAGAGCAGGTGTAATAGGTGTCAATAGAAAATTTTTTTTAGCCCGGACACTTTCGTTGAAAAAAAAAATCAAACAAAAATGAATAAAATTAATGCCGATAATTGGACTATGTAATCGACAAGAGTTGCCCCACCTCTTGCTATTCATTTGGCAATTATATGACCACTGCTGTCGCTTTTCCTTGCTATGGAGGGGACACTTCTACACTTCTTCATATTCTGGATGTCAATATAAATCACCTCGCCACTTCAGGAGCAGTCATTTCATGCTGAAGTGTCTTATCATTCGTTGGAGCGTGAAGTGATCGACACAAGAGGTGATTTTTAACGTCCAGATGGCTTCGCACAAGGTCAGTGTTCAACTCAATCGACTCACCCCCACGCTAGCAATACAAGCATCTCTGTTATTAATTTAATATTTATTTATTGAGTTAATTGTTCCCCAGATCCTCTGGTGCACGATTTTCCTGGCAGTGTGGCTCACAGAGGCCCTGCCAAGACGTGATTCGTCCTTTGAAGAGGTCACTTCCCCCAGGGAATCTTCAGGTTTCAGATTCGGGGATGAGTACTTTACCCCGGAGGCGACATATCACACCCCAGAGAAGCATCAGAAGCCAGAAGGCTGCGAGAAGGTGGTGAAAGATCTGATGGTATGCATGGTATGCAAGGACCCGGAGACCTCTGCTAAATACGAGCAGTGCTCATACGTCCCTCAACAATCAGAGAGATCATATAGTCATAAATCGAGTGGAAGAAAACCGAAGGAGTACGAGAGTTCGCAGTCCCAAGTGGCCGAGGTTCGTCCTTCCTTGACCAAAGAAAGTCTCGAAGAGGAGAGTGAGGAGAGCGAAGAAGCCTCGAGTCCCTACAACTCCGGGTTTTTCAGCTCTCGGGGTGAGAGTGAAGAGGTTTCATCCAAGAGACCATCGAGGACCTACAGGGCTGAGGCTGAGACTGAGGATGAGACGTCGGGGGAATATGTTCCCGAATCGGAGAGGCTCGCGGAAAAAGCCGATAGATCCAAGTGTCGGGAGGAGAAAAGACAAGATGGAATGACCTGTCAAGTCTGCAAGGATCCAGAAACTGGGGGAAACTTCGAGAAGTGCGCGTATGCGTATGAACCCAATGACAAAGGCTACTCCTACAGTAGATCCAACAAATTCCAGAGTCCTGGGAGAAGCGACTCCGGAGGGAAAAAGGGAAAGACTCCGAAGAAAGCCATCAGGAGGATCGATGAGAAGAACGAGGCAGAGGACAGGAACCCTGGGGAGAGTCAATTCACTGAGAGAAAAATTGATGGCAAGTGTCGGGAGGTCGTCAAGGACTCCATGACCTGCACTGTCTGCACTGATCCCAAAACTCGAAGGAACTCCGAGCAGTGCTCATACTCGTATGATCCTGCTGATAAACTCTTCACCTACAGCCAGTCGAGGTCCTTCGGATCCAAAAAGGACCCCAACAGTCATCAGAAGTCCAAGGAAACCGAGGAATTACCTTCAGAGCATTAGATCTTAGTTATTTTTTATTGTTGAACATTGAACGTGTAAGGAAAATAGAAAATTAAAGACTTTTTGTCAAATCCCATGAGACTGGTTTATTTCCACACAAAACATTAGTAATTTCGACTCTTTCTTAATATATTTCACTGTAACAAGAGAAATCTGCTGAAAGAAACATGGAGAACTTGTAAAAAACGACATGTAAAGTAATTATTGAAATTCCCTATGAAATTGAGCAATTACTAATAGAGATTGTAAAAGAAAAAACATAATAATTTCAATTCGGATTTATTTATTCTCGCATTTTTTCCGTAATTTGTGAATTCTATTTTATCGATGGTTGATAATAGAATTGAGAGAGGGAGAACGTGTTTAAATGTGCAGAAATGAATGGATTATCTCTCTTCTCTGATTGAGAAAAACTGCAATTCTCTTCTCAAGCAAACTGCTTCTCTTTTCATAATTAAATTCCCAGGCGAACTGATTTGTCATCTCATTTTAGCTTTCACTAAGTGGAAAAGAAATGAAAATGGAATAATGCAAGAATATCTCAGTTGAAATTGGAGAAAAAATCACGGACTAGAACACTCTGGGATGTGACTTGTTGTGTCTTTGATGAACAACAGCAACAACATGAGCAACAATATGGGTGGCTGGGATCGACAGAAACTCACCTTTTTGTACGTGTGTTGTTGTACAGCTCATCGCTACGATTTCTCTGGGCCGGCGGCGAGTCATCGTCAGTTGCGACGGACGCGTCCCAGTGTCGGCATCGTATCCCAGTTACTGACTAAATCCACTGATAATTCCAACAAAAGACAGACAAGACATCTCCAGGAATTTACCATCCATTCCAGGATACTACCATGAGCTCAGCAACATTAGTCGGGTAAGACACCATCTCTCCCAATTAATCACTTGATCTTCTGTTCTAAGCCCCAAAGTCTGCCTCGGTCTCATGATAAATCTAAATGATCCAAAAATTCTCGATAAATTATTCATAAATCCAGTGATACCATGCACTATTCAATAATCTTTGCCCTTGAATTTCGGCAAAGCCCTCACTTGTTGCTCACCTTATAGAGCCGACATGACCCAAATAAACTCAATACTATTTCGGTCAGTGGCTAACAACAGCAGAATCTTCAAAATCCCCGAAAAGTCGATGATCAGAGAGTGGATCTCATCAAATCGGACCTGTCCTTCGATCTTCCTCCGATGTCAATGACCTTTGGCGAAATTTCACCGAATGTCTGGCGATAGCCAACATATAGCGAAAATTGTTCATTGCCACGTGCCTTGCTTGCCTGGTACCCAGCGAGATGGAAGATATTTTTAAACAAGTTAAAAGTGCCTTTGCTCGTTTTCCCGTAAAAAATCCTCTTACGTGTTGATTCTCACTCTCATCGAGTTCTTTGAGTATCAACTGACATGCTACTCAAAAAAGAGCATAGATTCGACGAGGAACTCAGGGAGAAAATAATATATTGATTGTCCGTGGGCATTGGATTAACAGTGCCACAAAACCTAATGTCTAAAAATAATATAATCGGAAGCATTTTATACGGGTGTGCTTACGGCGCGGGTCAGCAGTCGCTAAAATTAGTTGCGCTTCGTGTATCTACCTAAATACATTTCTACTCTATAGAGCGCGAGTTGGCAGAGATCCCTTAAGCAATAAAGGCCCAACTCCATGAGCTTTTGCCATGAGATAAATATTTTCAATTTTCACGTGTGGATTGATAGACGTGCAACGTTTCGATGAAACCTCCATTTTTCATTCTATCATCTAGCCTCCTGATAATTGAGGATGATTTATCGTCCACTCGTCCATTTAATGTTACACATATGGGACGACCTTGTGGACAACCTGGCGACCTAGAGGTTCCTTAAATGGCGTTGACCATTAAGGAAGCGCGAATCATTATCAACCATTCTCCAGGACAAAATGTCAACTGCCAGATGTGTGCCGTAGAAATTTCCGACTCTAACTGATATAGATAGAATTTGTTTAGTATAACGAATCATGGAAGTTGCAAAATAAAGAGAATGAGATAAAAATAAAGATAAATAATGAGATGGATCAAGTAAAGGAGAACTCTGGGGAGAGCTGTGAATATGTGAACCACCTTGGCTGAACACTTACAGACCGCTGACTGCCTTGCTTCCACACTTCCACACTTCTCTACCTAAGGAGAACTTTGGGAGTGTGCCGAAGACTATTTTATAATCCATGCGTCATCGACCAACTTTCCCAACTATTTCCATTTTTTCTCAAAAAAAAAATCTCACTCCAACCAATGGCTTTTGTGAACTAGTTGTCTACCCTATTTTTCTAGAACTTGAATCTCTATCATTTTCTGAGAGAAATTAGTGTCACGAATATTTCAATTATAATTCCATCTGTAATTATCATCGAAATATTTATTTTACAGGAATTCAGATGCGTCCGGAGCTCCAGGTAAGCCCTGAGAAAATATTGTGTAGATTGGAATAACAGGTCAATGAAATGACTTCCGTCGGCTTGTGACGATGGACATAATGATGTTGTGTTGTACAAAATGTTGTTAATAATTTGCAGGATTTTGTCCTGCCCCACCACCGCCTCCACCACCACCTGGGGTTGGTCAAATGCCAGCAATGAGGATTAACACTGAGGTAAGATTTCAAAATTCTCATATTCTTAGTTTGTCATTTGCCTTCACAACATACATTTTGTGACAAAAACAAGAGGCTCCTGCGCATTTTCCATTCCTCTGAAACCTCAATTTACTCTAAAACTATAAAATGACGAGTCCCGAAATACCGGTAATTACAATTTTATTCAATTGATTTCCATTATATTGTACTATATATTGTATAATTCCTCAAGTAATTTGATATGTTAATGTTCCGTAAATGGTAAAAATCAATAGAGATTATTCGACAGAAAAATGTCAATCATTTGAAACGTTTGATTCTCTCGAACTCTGGAAATTTTTTGCAATACACATAACAAGTCCACGCTCAATTCTTTATTTCCAAATTAAACCGTTAAATCTTGTGATATAAGTGGATGTTTCGAATGACACAAGACAGGTGTTGCAACGTTTTTCTGAACAACTCTCGTGCACTTGCCAAATATTGTCCCAACTGTAGCATTACAAATAATCCCCGGAAAATATAAAATTCTTCCAGACACCAGCATTAAGACGCCCAATGCCAAGTGCCAATGATCCATACGAGCCGCCAGCTGCAATTCAAAACGCAATGATGACGAAAGACAAAAAGCCCTTTACTTACACTCCAGGTATGGGTGGTAAACTGGATTTATCACAGATCAGGAGTCCAAGAATGGCGCGCAGGGTGGCAAAGAATGCAAATGATGAGGGAATTGAGGGTCCACCAAAATCACCTCTGGCAGCTGAACAGTCACGTCCAGTCTCCACTGGTGCCAATTTGTTTGTTCAGCCTCAAGTGGCTGTTCCTGTTTTCCCCACTAATGCACCACAAGTCACTCGTCCACTTCAGGTCAATCGGACATTGTCAAATGCTGGGGAGAGAGGCCAAGAGACACCGACACCGAAACCAACGGTGAAGATTGAGTCGAGACCGTCTTCGCAGCCCACCACTCCAGATACTCCAACGAGTCCCACGCAGGTGAATCTCAACAAGGCACCAACACCATGGATGCAGAAGAATGTCAGGGAGAGGCAAGAGGAACTTCCTGAGTGGGCGAGAAGGAGTAATGGAAATGGTTCAGCTTCTTATTCACCCCCGCAGAGCCCTCCGGAGTCTGTTACATTTGTTCCTCAGTCTCCAGTATCTCAACAACAGCAGAGACCCTTGACCCAGATGAGATCCGTGCAGACGCAGCCTGGAGAACGTGTTATTCCTCTTTGTGTAATTATTATTATTATTATTATTATTATTATTATTATTATTGTTATTATTATTATTACTACTATTATTTGGTCATTGAACAGATGTTATAAACATTTTAAATGCTTGCAGGTTGAAGACAGACCCTCTGTCTTCGCCATGAAAAACGACCATGGGGCGTCTGGGCATCATCAGCTAAAACAGACCCCCCCTCATCATCAGTCTCGCTGGTACGCCCCTCAAAACTCGCAGAATCAAGTCCCAGCACCTCGACCTGTCTCATCTCCTCCTGCATCCCAGCCCCAATCGGGTGGAACTTACATTGTCCCGATGAGGATTGAGGGAAAACCCACAAGTCCTCCGGTTAATTCTCAGTATCAACAGCCGGCTTGGAATGATTACAGTCCATCTGGTAATCAGGGAAATCGAGGAAATTTCCAGCAGAGATCTGCTCCGCCCATTCAAGCTGAACCCGGACCCGTCCAATCTCGATCCTTTCGAGTGCTTCAGAAAATCACAGATACGGACGATGACGATGTTGATGTCGAACAGGTGCGCAAACTTCAATTGACTGAGGACGATAAGCTATTGATGAGCAAGTTCAAAGAGCAAGTTGATGGGGACACGTATCTTCATCAGGAGGAAGACCCCCGGTATCGTGGCGCTGCCATTCCCTCTAGGGCTTTTCGTTATCTTCAGAACATGACCGATGATGGGGCAAACACCAATGGTGAGTATTAACGAACATCATTAAGCCATTGATCGATTTATCTTTTTTATTACTACGTATCAATTTGAATAAAATTAAATGTCATCTCAGCTGCACCTGCTCGCAATGTGAACAGTGCCCTCAAGAAACAGAACAGGAACTCACGAACCTTCGGTGAATTAAATATCATTTCTGTGTGCATTAATTAAGAATAATAACACTAGTCGTTCTTACAAATCTATTGCAAACCTTTTTCAATTTACCTTTTTACCTTTGACTTTTTATACTTTAACGTCTAATAACAAAACTTTTATTTGTGAAGTGTTGATTTCTGAATGTAAATTGGTGCTTTAGTGATTCTTAGTGGTTGTTTTAACTTGATTTAACAGATGAACCTCAGTCAAATGTCCCAGCAAGCGAGCAACAGGTCCAAGAGCCTAAGAAATACACCGGAAGTGCGATACCTTCCAGATCCTTTAGGATACTTCAGGCAATGACAACCCCTGAATCCGTGGGTAAGTCTCAATCTCAAATTCTCACATGTGTGCCGATATTCTCTAAAAGCACAATGATAAAAAAATATTTTTAAAATACACGTAACAATCGATCATCAACCATCGATCTTCGATTAACGCGGTCTGGATTGCCTCACATTTGTTCATGAATAATCAACATGATATAAACAAAATAAATCACCAAAAGAGTTTATACTGTCCTGTCCTTTGATCATAGGAAACATGTGTAAACAAGGAGTCCTATTTGCTCCCAACTTTCACTCTCCAGTTCTCCATTCATTAACAAATAACATATATTAATTTATTCAATCCTGGCATTTGTTAATAATTTGTTAACGACAAACGAATGGTTCCATTATTGCAATGAGTGAGAGCAAATTGAACGTACAAAGGGCAAAAATCATCCAATAAATACCGCGACAGCAGAGCCATCAAATGATCAAATGATCAACGATTTTGTATTGTGAATGACAATGTGTTTGTTGTAGCGAATCAAGATAATCGTCAAGCAGATTTCACCTGTCAATCAGAGAATAACATGATGCCACCAGGCAAACATCAGAGTGTTATACCGCGTTATTCCCAATCCATACTCTGGCCATACAATCCCCTCCTATGTTCAATTAATTCACCAAATAGTCATTATCACCGTAACACCAGCATCGAGGATCACAATATTTCACCCACTCATACTTGTCATTATCTGGATGCTTCCATTGCCGATAATATTCTATCCGCCTACTGTCCTATCTATGACTACCGTTTGTGTTCACCAATGTGCCATGAAATTTTCCAATTACCACCAGTGGATAGACATTACAATGATTGTTTAGAACTATCGCAGTCAGTGGATAACTGGGTTAAGGTGGCCAGCAAGATTGATGATGATGAGACGAGGTATTGTGATTGGTGGGGTAACATCAAAGACGGATCATCTATGCCTGGTGATATTTTTCATAAAGAGAGACAAGACACTGGACAATTTGCGGATAATCTCCAGGATGGTAATTCAGAGACTTCTGAAACTTCGCGGTCTTCTGAGACTACCAGCGAATTCGAGTCGTACCTTATTTATTCTCCAGGACTTAATTTGAGTGTTAAAAGAGAAGAATCAACGGCTTGTCCAAGTTTTTCCAAGTCTTCTGTGAGTGAAAATGAAAACGGTGAAAGATCAGAGAAAGAGCTGAGGCCAGAAGTAGCCCTTGGAAATGAAAATAGAGAACTGAGAGATGATGAAATACACAATAAGGATGGGGCTGATGAGGTAAATGGGAAAAAAGATATTGAGGCCGAGAATAACTTGAAGCAAAATGAGGCAAATGAGCCTTTGACTGTGAACGTTCGTTTACCCCTGAGGTTCCGAATATCTGTCACCACCAGCGAAGATGAGGATAATTCAGCTACGCTGATATCAAAGTCTCAGGCAGAAGGACGTGATCCAGTCATTGATACAAGCACAACTGTCGACTTTACTTTGCGAAGGAAAGGGACCATGAGACCTAAATCCTGGTGTCCAGAGAAATGTATCAATGAGTTTTGGACAACTGAAATTATTCCTATGAAGCGAAACTTGTCACCAGTGGTGTTTACTGCTCGGAGTGTCGATGATGATGATGATGATGATGATGAGTCCTCCAGGGATATTCCAGTCCCAGAGTTTAAGTTGCCAGTGGACAAGGACAATAAAAGCGAAGAAGAGGTAATCGATGAGAGCAAAAATAAATTCTTATTAACAGTGGAGAAGACGCGTGATGAGACTGATGAGGAGGACAGCGGCGTGACATCAGACCTCAGCAGAATCATATCAGAAGTTGACACAGATTCTGAGAGCACACCTGTGAAGAAAACTGCTGCTTACAAGAGAACTCAGACGCACTCGCGACTCTTCAGACTCATCAGTGGTGACTCAGATGTTCCCCAAGATAAGGACGACGCCTCAGAGGCTGTCATAGACATGTCAGTGACAAAACACCAATTGAATCTCCCCAAGATCTCTAGTGCTTTCAATTACGACCACTCGAGTGAGTCTAGTGGTTTGACATCTCCGGACTTCTCGCCAATCTTCGAGAATTCCTGGAAAAGATTCCAGGAGTCCCTGGGCACTGGAGGAATGGATTCCATGGGGAAAGACTCATATTTCAAGACTTGGAAAGAGGCAAAGATCCAGGACCATAAGAATGGCGTGTCTTCGCCAGTTGTGATTCCTGGGGTCCTCCAGGGCGTTTCCCCCTGGCCTTTTAGGGCCAAGATCCTCTGTCCAAGGGTTAGAAGCACAAAAAATGTACCCAGGACTATTCAAGGCCATATTACCAAACTCAACAAGTACGACCGCTGCTGATGGTCAGAAATTAATCATCAAAGCACAAGCAAAAATACGTTTTTTTTTCATGTTTTTTTGTACATTTGCAAGCAATGGATTTGTTAATTGTCGAACGCTACCATTCATCCTCATTCTCCATTACTCCAATTATCTGGGGGCCGGATGGGATTTGGTGCTATGTTGGGAATCCCGGGTGACAATGGCCTGACCGCGGACATGGCCTGACATTTTTTTTCACCCATCGGTACATAACTTTTTTTTATAAATATTTTTTTTCTCTTCAAATTCAGCCAAAATGTCTCGGTATCTGATATCTTTATTTTGTGGAAACGATGATTACTATGATAATTGATCAAGTAGTGCAACCAGATGAGGAAATTGCCATTATCCATTCATTATTTTCGTGGGGACATAACGTAAAAATATAGAATTGTTTTGACAGTCATAAGAGTTATAGGAAATTTAGGGGTTATTTCCTCATGCTTTCCATTTTGTTCCATTTTTAAATTGAAGTTTCATTTAGGAGTAATAATTTTTTTATTAATTTTTATCTTGAAATATTGTTACTAAATTATTGGGAAGTTGAGATGACTCATTTCATCATTTGGCTACTGATTCTTATTTAGATTAATAAATTCCGGGTTGTAATTAGTGAATATGCAGAGTAATCATTGAGACGACAATTATCTTTAACAGTACTCTTCGATCTATCTCTACCCTGTTTTCTTACGCCAAAGACTCTGACAATTTCATCCTCGTCGTCTTCCTCGATGCGCTCTTCCTCCCGTCAAACCCACGAGGACACCACAATGTCTCACGTATTTTAGACAGACCAGACGTTTCATAATTTTAATAGCAAGTCATGATTAATTGAAAATAAATTATTATTATTTTTTTTTAAAGAACACATGAAGTTACGTAAATGTGCTCGTACAGCATGGGAGACTCTGCGGTCTAACGCTATCATAATTTCTAAATGATTATTCAGTTTAAATTATTTATATTTAATTGTCACTATTTTTATTCACGGTTTGCATGAAGCAATCTTGCATGACGGTTTAATGATTAATTAACTGATAAAAAGATATAGAATCCTTTGAATCAAGTAATAATTTTTTTCGTTCTATTAATTACAATTAAATCGGATACGCGATACTAGACTCTGAACAAAGAGCTATTTTTCTATTGATAATGGAATTTGAAAATTCATCTCATCAATTTTTATGTTTATTTTCAGGCCCAGACACAACCGATTATTGAATACACGAGAGATAACTCCAGAATATTAAAATTTTTATTGTCTAAAAATTGTTTCTTCTTTGCTTTTATGAAGTTTGAATTAAAAAAATTAAAACAATTGGAGAGATGGGACTATCGGTGTGTATGCGTGTGCGTGGATATTTCTTTCTTTCTTATTCGTTTGATTTTCTATTTTGTTACAAGTGTAATCCCCATCCCCAGCTTCATGGGAAATTATTGTTTTCATTTATGTAGATAATACAGCAAAAGGTACTATAATTATATTCATTCGAAAACAAACCAACAGAGAACAAAACAATGTGGATAACTTAACTAGTGGATAGATGAAATCGCATTGATTAATAATATAAATAATTGTTTATCGCTAAGACTATGTGTAAGCCACAGAATAAATTATTTATGAAAAGTAGAGGTGAATTCTTCGTGGCTATTCATTTCTATTCGAATTCTACTCGAATGACTTGTACATGAGATGCTGATTTTTATTAGAAATGATATCAGAGACTGATGTATATTTGATTGTGGTGCATAATGTAAGCGATTGTAGCCCATGCACTGACTTCCCACAGGCCAGCGATTGTTTTCCAGTAGTGGGTATTCATAGCACCGTATCTCCAGTGGAACGGAAATATTTGGTAACACATTTGGTGGCCGATATACATGAGCAGCGCGTTCATGCCTGTAACATGCAGTGAGAATCGTCAAATTTCATTTTTATATCAACCATCGGTTGATTTAGTCTTCTACGGTGGGCTGATAACACTATCCATGAAATGTCGAACTGTAAAAATGAACAAAAAGAAATGAAAAAAAAAATGAAAAAATTCACTCTCGGTCGAGGGTCTGATTTAGGATTTGAGGGAGGAAACTTGTTTTATAATGTAATCAGTTGCATTTATCAATTTTCCATTTATATCACCTGCAATTCTGAATGGTCCACCGTTCCACACACGAGCGACATCCACCAGTAGATAACAAGCGGTCAAAAGTGCAAGAGCAAAACTTGTTGTCAATAATACGAAGGAGAGCGACCTAGGCCATCCAAAACGAAAGAGGAAATGTACACAATCAATGAAATTCTCGAGTGGATCATTAATACCCACCACAAGTTCTTGTTGACAGGTATGATATTTTTAAAATGTAGAATAGAACCGATTCCGCCGTATATGACGGTGAGAATCATCCATCGGATGACACGACTCTTCCAGTTTTTATGAATCCTCAGAATTTTTCCCGCCTGAACCCCCAGAAACGTCTGGAATATCGTCGTGAGACAGCCGAGAATTCCTTCGGGATCGAAAGGCCCCGATCCGTAGACTCTATCGATCGTTGGATGTTGATATAAGTGATCGATTCCCAATACTAATTTATCGATATATCCGGCAGCACCACCTGTGCAGTTGAAATATTCTCCTGATCTGTGATATCCGCCTGGACCGAGATATCCTCTACAGGCGAAAAAAAAACAATGTCCATTCACATCCCAACATAATTGCAGTCGTCCAAACCATTTTTTAAACTCTAGTGAAAGAGATTTCTTTATTTTTTAATGCAAAGAATAGAAATTTGAAAATAAACTCACGTGGGACATCCTGGAATTTTCAAACCAAATGTAATCATGCAATGAGCTACAACGATACCCAAAATGACAATCCACTGTGGCAGCAGTGATAAGCAATCTTCAGTTTTTGCGAAAAACCCATGCTAAAAAAATCATCAACTTATTGCTCGTGAATTGAAAGAAATGCAAAGACTTATGGAGACATTTACCTGAAATTTTTGAGACTGTCTTCTACTCAAAATAATATAAATAATCCCAACAATTAGATAAGCAACTCCGAACCTCTGGAGAACTCCAAAAACCCTAATAGTCTCGAATTGGGCAGTAGTTCCAATTGTGTTTAAACAAACTCCAATGAAGAATAACAAAAAGCCACGTCTGACGATATTGGCACATATTTGCCACCGCGGAACTCCTCGTGACAATTGCGAGGTCAAGGCGATGGGAATGCAGACGCCCATGATCCAAATGAAACTAGGGAATACCAGGTCACCAATAAAAAGTCCGTTCCACGTTTTATGCTCTAGAGCTGCGTAACCCCCTGCTCCATTATTCACGAAGATCATCATCAAGATGCTCATCCTAGAATATCGTTGACATTATTATGAGGAGAATTATCACAGGGAATAAAGAGCTATAAATACCCTCGAAACGTATCGATGGATAGAACGCGTCGTTTTCCACTCAATCTCTCCTCATTGGATTCTCCTAGATTTGGAACTCCCGGTTTACTCCTTAAGTACTTCTTGAGGATTCTCCCGGACGCTAGGAGGAGAAGAGCACACAGGAGCAAAGCAAAGATAACGACAAGAGCTGGAGGACATTAAAAAGGAATTATAGAATAAAATTACTGGTGTTCTTGATGCCAACTCACGTGTGTAGGGATTTGCTGGTTGTTTGATTGTGGTAATCTCGCAGCCGAAATCCTCCACTGTTACTTTATACAGTCCATATTGTCCTAGTCGTGGCTTGAGTTCGCAAATCAAACTTCTGCATTTATCATGGGGAAACGGAAAATTTTAATTGTACTTTACAGTCATTCGAATAGGGGATTTTCTCATTTTTAACGAATAATTGCGCTCAGTGTCAAAAGTTTCAAAGTAGTAAAGAAAAAAAAGTGACGAAAAGAAAAACAAACAATAAAAAATTCATTCTTCAAATTTTCCATTCGTTTTTTTATTTGAATTATAATTTTATTTGTTAGAAAATAAATACTAATTGTTGAAAAATAATTAGGAAAATTATGAAAGCCTTTAAACTGTCAAGCACCTCTACCAATTGTAACTTTCCCTAGAAAAATATCAAATTTGATAGAGAAAAAAAAATCATCAACCTGGTATCATTGGGAAACTTATAATTCCCAAGATTCTCCCCATGAAAAATCCTCCAGATGTGTGTTTTCGCACTGTCAAAAATAAAACTCGCATTTTGCCGAGTGTCAACTGTAGAAATTCTCGAGAAGGGGCACTGCAATCAGCAGAAATAATCGAAAGTAGCGCAGATAATCAGCGGATATCTTCCAAAGGAATGGCACAACACTAGATGCTTGATAAGGTCATTGCACTTACCAAAACGCAGTCTGTTATCACTGAATAAATCCCCAGCTCAAAGTTGCTCTTGGTGTTTTCGAAAAGAGCACAGGCTTCATCGAGACTAAGTGCATCATAATTGCACTCATTTACCTCCATATTCGCTTTGATATCTAATTATTCAAATCTATCGGAGGATCTAACAGCCTCTGACATCTGCTCACTTCCCCTCGTTTCGACACACTTCCACCAGCGGATAAGCCAGTAGAAAGTAATAGTCTGATACTCCACTCGTTTACCGGTCAGTTGTCTTCCCCCTCGATTTTACAAGAACCAATACGACGCATCCAGTCCATGACGCAAAAATAAAAACGATCGAAAACAGTCGAACGCACTTTTCTTCTTTGATTTAATCACACGACTCAACGGATTGGTATTTTGCTATTTGTTAATGATCGACTTTTCCTAATATTAATAAATATTGAGAGAGCAATTGCACTTTGAAAAATTCATCGATTTGTCCTCAGTACGTTTTTGAACTTCATGTAAAATAAAAAACAATTTTCTTCCACCACAAACCATTTTTCAAGCTGAAATAATGTAATGTATTTTCTTATTTTTTTCTATAAATTTGAGTATACCTCGGTATATATATAGATATATATTTTCATTTTTATTTTTTACATATTTTGCGTTACCTTCCTCAATTAATTTACCTCACTCGATTTTTCGAAGGGAATAAAATAACAAAAAACTATAGTTTAAAATAAAATTGTTATGATAATACAGATTTTTTTCCTTCATTTTTTTCTTCATTTTTCGATTATAGATATTTTCAGGGTTAAAACGCTGCGAGTGAAATTGGGTTGACTCCAGTCTATCCTTGATGTTCACTCTCCGATTGTTAGTGTCCAGAGCATTCTCTTGTTTTAATTCTTGATCCTTAAATTCGCCATGGGATAATTATTTTAATTACTAAGGAGTGTCTTGATCTCTTTGTGCATATGACAGAGGAAATCGACGTAGCTTTGGCTATTGTCGTTTCCTCGATCCTCAACCAAAAAGTGTCGCAGCACCATCTCCAATTTATCCCTCTGGCGTACAATTGTCAACTGTGAAATAACAAGTTAATCGGGAGTTAAATGGAGAAATTGAGGAGAAGGTCGTTCAGTGAATTCATCCGGAGAATTAGTAATTATGTGTGCTACTGAAAGTGAAAGTGGTACTTACCCTCATGCAATGATGTCTTTCGGTACGGACGCGGGCAATTATTTCTCTTATATGAATGTTGAGTTGATTATCTAGGATAGGAATTGAGGTGCGCTCTGTGTCGACCACTGGTGCACCAAAAACTGCCTGAATCCACTCGGCGGACAATGCATGGCCCAGCCATAGGAACATGTGAATACCATTCTCTAGAAAATTCAATAAATCAATTGAAAAATTATAACTGAGACTACCGATGATGCAAACATTCGAAAAAACTGAATAATCAATATAAAATTGACAATGTTAAAGCTTGACATTGCAAAAGTATAAAAAATAAGAGTCAATTTACCCAGCAAGTAAGCTCCATCCTCCGCAAACTTATCAATAGAACATCTGAGCTGCTGTGGCAGTTCATTGGCCTGAAGATCAATATCATGCAGCGGCAGCAGCCTAGGATAGAAGTAATTAACAGAAGTATAAAGAGGCATAGTAGCCACAGCCATCATCACAAAAGTTCTATCGTCGATGGTCATGTCGGCACCCCCAGAGATTGCATCGCTCTTCAGCAGACAATTGACGTAAAGAGGAAGTAGTTTCATACACTCTGGTAGGACCAGCTGACTTGCACTGAAGGGAGATGCACAGTGTTTTCTGTACGCAGCAAAAATCGTTGCACATTTGCTAATCAGATTATCCTTGACAGCTTTGGGTGTAGACTCGATGAGCTTGAAGACACTCTGTTTAGCAAAGAAATTGACAACGGCATCAGGATCACACGCTCTGTACAGCTCAGCCATTTGGGATGATGTCTTGAGGCTGAGATTAATAATCCGCAATTGACGAATGCCTCCACAAGAGGTATAGAGAAGTGCCACTTGGACATAAACCCCTTCTTCATCAGAGAGTTTATCATCATGCTTGACCTCAATAGCAACAGCTTTATTGCAATCAATACTAGCCAATTCCATATCAGTTGTATTCGACATGAAAAAGTGGCCGTAAAAATCAGTGGGTCTCACCCCAGTGGACGTTCTCACCCTCATCACAGCATCAAACGCAATGGGTCTGCTAATGTTATTAATAATATCTGTAACAAGGCGATCTCCATCATTGTCGGCCTGGAAATATGTGTATTTATAAACCTCTCCCCCTGTCAATCGAGACACCTGCCCAATGGTAGCAAGATCTATGTAAGAATTATTAAAGATGAAGAGATCGACACTGCAGCCAACTCCCACGCACTCCTGCCCCAACTGATTGTAAACTGTGCTTTGAGGAGCCAACACAGTTTTCTCCTTGTCCCCTCCCAGCAACTTTCTATCGTCCCTGTTCTTGAGCTTGCCAGGTGCCTCAGCAATGGGCAACGACGAGTGAAACACCATGAGCTTCCCAGGGCAATCTGAAGCCTTCAGTGCCTCCAGCCCAGCTTGAATGGCAGGTGCAAGTATTGTCTCGGTTTCACGAGTATCTGCAAACATTACAGGAATCTGTGCCAACAACGCATCGATAACAGCCTCACTCTCCTCAGGATCTCCCAGGAATCCATCCAGCAAGGGCATAAAAACATCCTGCACGTCCCCAACAACCATCATCTGAGGCTGTGTCAGATTAGGACTGATGTTGTAAAAATGTACAGTGTTCGAGTAAGTGATGAATCCAACTTTCATAACAGATCTCTCTTGAAAACGATCCTTAGGAAGATTCTTGATGATGTTCTTGAGTTCGCCACAGAGAAGATTAACTAATCCTGATTTAACGTTATTATAGGACACATCAATGACGAACACTATCGCTGGTGGTTTGGGGAAGGTTGCGTTTCGGCAGTACTCCTTGGTTGCTATGAACTCGTAAGTCCCCAGCATGAGCTCTGGTCTCTCGTATCGATCCATTCGCTGGCCAGTGTGATCGAGATGCTGAAAGTACTCTGATGGTACCTCTGTTGTGGCTTTACAGAAGGCGCACTGAAATCTTCTTCCAGCATCGATAAACTGCATGAAGGGGCCCATGTAGGCCTTGCACCTGATGCACCTCACGGGACCAATCTCGCCCATGTCCACGATCGGTGGATCCTGCTCATCTTCAATAACCTGGGCCATAGGACTCACAATCAGTCCAAAAGGCACTCCTGTTTGTTTCATTATGTCCGTTGTCGTGGGTACTGTGTAGATGGTTGACCTGATGAATCTGGGAGATGCATTTCCCTGATCCTGGACAACGAATTTTGTTGTGACGAAGGGAGGGGCCAGGCCTTTTTGATTGGTAATGAAGACACCACCTCGGGTGCGTTGATCATCCTGCATCACTTGGATGGGACTGGGCATGGATTCTGGGTCGAGGCGTCGTGCTTGTTGGGGCTGGACACCGGGCTGATAGACAGAGGATGGATTAGGGGGACCTGCCATGTTCAGACCCTGGGGATGGAAGGGACTGCGTTGGCCACTATAAGCATCTGGGGGTTGATAACCTGGCATCGATCCTGGGAGGCCTCCTGGACGCATTGGTGGCAACTGGGGCTGGTGCAGACCAGTCTGAGGAGGCATTGGGGGCCCTGGCATCATCTGCCTCTGGAGGTTCTGGTGTTGCTGGGACTGGTATGCGATGTAAGGTGTAGGCTGTCCCAGTGATCCTCCAATGTTTGACGGTGGAGGACCTGTTGGTGGTAAATTTCCTGGGGGGCCGGGTGGTAATCGAGCTCCCGGAAAGGACTGGGGGTGCGGGGGACCTGACATGGGAGCGTTTTGAGGGGTTAATTGAACAGGGGGTTGTTGAACTGGAGGTTGTTGAACTGGGGGTTGTTGGACTGGGGGTTGTTGACCTGGAGGAGGTTGACCAGGGATTTGTCGCTGTTGGGATGGTGGGTAGTTCATGGGAGGGGGTCCTGGGGGCTTTTGACCGAGTTGGCTTGGTGGTGTCATGTGAGGAGGCTCTCCTGGATATCTATTCACGTTGGCTGCCGCTGCTTGACTCGGTGGAAGACTCTGGGTTTGCGAGGTTGGCGCCGGAGGAAGGAGAGGATCTGAAGGACCTGAGGGCGAGTGATCTGTTGAGGAGAAACCGTTGATATTTGAGGGGGGCGGGGCTGAATTGGTCGCAGACTGCGGGGGAAATACCTGGGAATTAACAAAAATTTACATTAGTAATTGTGATGAAATTGTGTTTCAAATTTTGATTTAATTTTCGTGCGTACTCACCGATGGAGCATTGTTTAACGCCATACTGGACATTTGGTTTGTCAAATTATCCTGATTCACCGAAGGTGGTGGCCCATGAAATGAATTGGGGGGAGGTGGCTGTTGATTATTGACTTGAGCGTTGTAGTTGTAGTATGGACTGGCACCTGGGGGTAGATTTCCTGGAGGTGGTCCTGGCATGGTTTTCTGTGGAGGATACTGGTGGGAGTTGACAGGGGGCTTCATCATTCCAGGCGGAACATTGGCGTTTAATGCTTCGTAAGGAGAACTACCTGGAGGCCCTCCATAATGAGAAGCCTGAGGATGAGGCTGAGGCGCCTGTTGATGCGCCTGATGCATATACTGCTGATTCATTCTTGTTGTTTTTTCACTGGAAGCACAACGAAACTCTAATTACAAGTCAAACTGAATTTTTCAAAAATATACAGCTGATAAATCATCACCCACCCCCAACAACATAACATATTGTTAATGATTACCAATAGATTAAGAATTTGGTTGGATTGAGATTAATTTTGAATCAAGTGAAGAGTCCACACTAGATGAATTCATCACCATAAATGCAAATTGTCAGTTAAAATAATTGACAAACGTGGAAATCAATGAATCCTGACGTTTACGAAAATGAAATCCCATTACTACGAGATCATCCCTCACCTGCGAAAGTGCAGTGCAATCGACCTAACCTGATGTACTAAATATCATTGATGTAAAAATGATCTTTAATGTCAGTTGATTCATCAACATATCGGGCAACATATCTCATACACTCGTTAAAGTAATAGGACAAGATATTGGAAAGGACACTTAGTGAACTTTAACTGCAGGTGTTTAGAAACCCAAGAGTGTCTTCCAATTACTATCATTCACGTGTGCTCTTCAAAAAATTAGTGCCCTTGAAGGGACTATGATTATCCTCACCTGAACGATTATTTTTGTTATTTAAATCATAATCGCAACCCTAAATATTGACAAATGTTTACACTAAAACGAGACAATGTATCTCACTGAGGCGATTTCTACAGATGCCACGTAAGGTAGCACTGCGCATGCGCCCCACGCACGTTACCACCGGACACGTCATGGAAAAAACTTTGAAGCACTTGAAAATTTTTAATTTCCCTGACACGTCGAAAGTAGCCCTTCCCTGCCATATAAACACCCCGTAGATTATTTATTGATGATTTAATCCATGGGGGTTGCAGTTTTTCAATTGAATCGTGTTAAATAGAAAGTACTTGGATATAATGCGCAGTCCCAGAGTCATATGGAATTCGAGACGTTTCAATTGGTCCAGAAAAGGCGGGAACGTTTAAATTGGCAGGCCAGGAGAAAATGAGAAAGTCAATGGCAATTTGTGTATGCATTTTAAAAACGCAATCTGTTTAGGGTAGAGAAAATTGAGTTATCGTTTCATCATTTTTTTATTTTTATTATTCATTAAAGTGTCAATGACAGTCACGTGAAAAGTAATATTAATTATGAATAGACTATTAGTTCCTGTATTAAAAAATTATATTCCTCTTGCTGAAATCATTCCCAATTTATATAAAGTAATTTAATTGCAAAATAAATTATTCTGTTGGTATATACGGTAAATACATGGCTGTTGGTGAGCTCTAACCTAATTAATTTGATATTGGACAGGTTATGTGCGTGTGGGACGTGTGGAACTCAGTGTTGTCATCCGAAACCTCCGAAACGTCAACGGTCGCCCAAAACACTCATCCTACTAAACAAAGCTGGAGGTATCGATATTCCGGTAATAGATTGAAATTCTAAGGAGAAAACAGCTCGGCAATGGCAGTTTTGCACCGAGCCCTCTTCACCTGGTTCAATCTGCTGATCTTTCTGATCCTTCTCGTTCTGAGGCTGGACCAGAGGATCCAGTGGAATTGGTTCATCGTTTTCATCCCAATGTGGCTCTATGACAATATTCTTTTGACATACGTTGTGTTTAATATGATATCCCACTGTAAGAATGGGCATGATAGGATCAACACTCTTCGACGAAAGGTACTTTTCCAGACATTCGAAACACCTCAAATAGCAATGTACTCTATATTACATAATAGTTCAAATCTTGTCCAATCAAATATTGGAAAAATTTTCAATCCATTTTCAATTTGTCAGGGGTTTGGTAAATTTTACAAATGTTCACCTTTTTTTTTGAATATAATATTTAGGCTCTTATTATTCTAGGGATGGTACGTTCTGGCAGTTCTTCTGAAATTCAGTGCTCAAATTCTAATCTGCCTCAGACTAGAAACCCCCCAATGGAATTTGCCAGCTAAAGCAGTACTGGCCCCTGTCTGGCTACTCCTACCAGCACTCGCCGTTGATGTTTTTATCCATTTAATTCAACACTCGCGGTACTGACCAACGGTCCGAGACATATACGTCCTACGTCACAGTTGTCATTGAAAGACAATTAAAAGTAAACTCACTCAAACATTGAATTCACTTCAAAATGATAATAATGAGAAGTTCACTTGTTCTCGAGTTTCCAAATGATTCCAAGTTATAAAAAAACATAAATTATCAAAAATGAAAACCAGATGTATCCAAGGGTTTCTAAATTTTCGAAAAACAAGGCACAAATGTCAGTTTAAAACCTCTGAAATATTTCCTCCTAACTTTGAAAAGAAAAAAAAAAGACAATAAGTCTCACTCATGCTTACAAAATAACTTTTCAGTTCAATCGTAAAACCAAAACTACATATATAGGACAATGAAATCCACATTTTCTCAATCAAAACAAGATGAAGTTAACGATGAACATGATTAGCAAGCCATAAACAAATTCCAAATACGTCGTTTGAGTTTCGATTCACGTGGAAACATGAGTAAGCTCTAATCTAATTTTACACTTTCCACGAGTCTAACCTTTGGACACATTCCAAATAATTAAGAGAGTGAATAACCAGAAAGTAAATCACCGAGGCTTTCTGAAATTTCGTAATAAAGTTCAGCCACTTGAATGGCTCTTTGCCTCACAGAAAATCTTCATCACAGAAGACAAATTGAAGGGAACAGCGCAAATAGCAAGAGACTTCAGTGGCTTGACGTATGCATTCCGATCTAGATAAACAAAACGAAACCATTGTAATAATGGAAAGCTGGAATTCTTGAAAAGAACCATTGAAGACCATGGTAATTAATTGCATATCGGTAGTCACCCTATTGCATTGCACCTGAAGGAGAAACCTTGGCAGCCCTCCAACAAATTAACTGAAAGAGAGGGAAAAAAAAGAGTGCTATCCTCGCTGCAACCGGAATTTTTTACGTAATGCATTCATAAACATTGCAGTTCAGTTGAACACGTGTGTTTGTCAATGTGCAGCTGTTGCTCCAATAATCCATCAAATGGAAGACCAAATGGAGGATATGATAAACCAATGACAATTGGCGTAGTCATAGATAAAACGGCAATATGTTCGAAATTCTTCTTACGCAATTAGAGGTCTGTCTTTGGGGGATCGTGGAGGAACGACTGGGGAATCAGTCTGTCTTCGTGACTCGTTTCTATCACAAGTCGTTTAACGTGAGAGACTCAACTAGAGAGATCTATTTTTAATTTTCGTTCAAGGATGAATCGAAAAGAAAATGTTTGCTATTATAAATAGGTTCTGAAAAATAATAGAAGGTTTGAGTTTTGAATGCGTTGGGAAGATTAATTAACTCTATCCCCTGGTGTTCTCTGGATGTTTAATAAGACGTGTGAAACCCTTTGGAGTTATTTATCCTCTGGATAATTTAAAGTGAGTGGACTAAATACACAATAGTATTATTGTGTGAATATTAAACATATTTTAATTGTGATGCAATACTACTCTTTGGAGTCACTTTGATGGATCAAAAGTGTTGGGTTTATGATGGGGTTTAGAGTTTAACGAGAGGAATTAATACAATTCTTTTATCAAGATTGAAGATCAGCAGTAGAGTTGTCGTTGTGCAGTCGAGCGTGGAAGGAGGACTGTTTCTATTTCGCTTGGAAAATTCTTTGAATTTTTGTTCTCCCTTGATTCAAATATTTTCGAGGAACAAAACTGTAAGTTTGTTTCATTTTCAATTTCAATTTAAATAATTCAGCTTGTCTGAAATTTTTTAACTAAAGTCGGCAATTTTTACCGTGGAACTGAGACAGACTTATCACCCTGATTTCCATTGATTTCCTATTAATAACCGATTTGGATATAATTAATCCTTGTAATTCTCCTCGATATTAGTTGTTATTTTTTTTTTTTTATAAAATCAGACTAATAAATTGCAGTTCAACTTCTAGATTATATACACAGCATTACAAGTATTATAATTACCCGACAATTGTCTGAAATTTGTAATAAACTTGTGATGAATGTTTCAATGATAAGATCACGGCATTAAAGGATCAGTTGCATGCGATTAGAATCAGAGAGAAAATATGCTTTCAAGGATTTAAGAATATCTAGAGATTTAATTAATCGCCTCATTTTCATTATTTCTCGTTACATTTACAGATGAGGCTAATATTGATACCAGTATTTTTATTACTATTCGTGGGGGAAAATCACATGGCCGAGAGCAATGTCATCGTCAAAGAGGTACAGTCTGGGCATTTGGCTGAATTACCCTGTCTGAGCAGTGATGACCATCATCGCTTCATGTTCTGGGAGCTGATTGGTGACAACAAAATTATCGGACCTGGAAATCCACTGGATGTCGAAAAATATAACTATGAAGTTCTAACGGGAAAACTTCTTATCAGGGTAATTCTGCTAGCTAATCTGGTATTGAATCCCTCAACTTATCACTGGAATGAATAAACAGTATAATTATCGCGATAAGGAGTAAATACTCTGTAAATATTCATACATCAATGTTTTTCATTCCTCGTTGAAGCACAGCATAGCCTGAGAGGGGGAGAGGTGATGTTATTTTATCCCCACAATTATTCCAATAATTACCTTTGATCGTTGTAATTGATGGAAGTGTCAATATACCGATAGACATAAATAAATCAGTAAATAGACTCAATGATTCGTGTTACTGAAGGCTGATTGCACAATGTATTCTGTCATCTTCATCGACTAATTGCGAGTACTCGTAATTTTTACGTTCTCGTAAAAAATACAATCAATCAATTCCAAGGACTCAGACTATATTGTATTCCTCAAGAGCTGAGGAATGACTATTCTCTGAGGCTTTTTTAAAATAACAAATTGACAGTTGAATGAAACTCCAAATTTTTTTTCAATTACAGGGTGTATCTACCACAGAGTCTGGTCTTTACAAATGCGTTTCCAGAGGATTGAATGATCATTCAGCGATAAATATTGAGACTGTTGAGCTCGTGGTGACAAAAGACTGGGAGGATGTATGGGAGAATGACTATGAGGTAATTATTTATGGATATTTTCATGGGACCATGCTAGTGAAGATTTTTCTATTACTTTTTCGTAGACAAATTTGCTTCGCGGAATGGCTGCTGTTATGGTAATTGTCGTGGGAGTCGCAGTGGTGCTATTGATCATTACTATGAAGAGAAAACGCAATGCCAGGTTCTTCGGTGAGAAATAATTACTTTGTAATGATAGAATTGATGTCTAGTCATTGAAAATTACTCAATTACTTTTTATGAGCATCGAAAATCAACATATTTCCACTGGAACTATAGCCTTCACGCATTCATTTCAATAATTTATAAGAGATACAACAACTATGACAAATGTAAATTTTTTTAATGATTCAATTGTCTCAAGAACTAGGAAAATAAATTTTGTGGAAATGTAGATATGAAATTTTCTGAAATTTTCATATATTCCCGAAATTGGTTTCTGAATAGCACTAGTTTTCCAAAAAGAACTTATTTCCGTGCTTAGTTGACAAATTCACTATTTCAGAAAATACATTGCATAACGGATTTTTAAAAATTAGATTTGGAAGAGTCACGGGAGGGTTCACCAGCCCGATACAGAGAGAATCAGCCCCAGGCATCAGCTGGCCCCTCACGAATGGAATCTGGAGGTATAGACAACGCAGGATTAGACGTGGACTTCCCAAAGGTGTTTAAGCAACTGCAGAAAGAGGACACGTTGCCTTGACCGATAATTTCATTCAGATCTCACAATAATCATTGTTAAATCTCTAGCGAAAATAATTCAACGAGATAGACTCAAGAAATATTCTCCAATCATGAATGTTCAATTCAGAGAATTATCTAAAAATTTCAAATCTCAGGAAAATCCCCAATAACCCATTTTTCCCACAACTCGAAATTTCCTCCATTAAAAATTCACATAAAAACATGAATTATATGAACAAAAAATATGTAACTCACTTAAAATAATTTATAAGCTAGAAGTACAGAGTAAGAATCTTGTAAATATAGTTCTTAAACATTTAATAATTGAAAAACAATGAATAAAAAAAAATATTTACACACAGTCCATCTCTCCTCATGTTGACACCCCGGAGAGATTATTGCCAGATGTTTCCATAAGATTACCAGAGATCTCCCAGCTCTCCTCCCCAGTCTCGTCGTCCTCGTCGTCGTCCTCGTCCTCAGGCTCGACCTCAGTCTCGAGCAATCTAATTTTCTTGCTATTCTCGCTGAGAACAGCAGCAACTTTCCTGGGTCCTGACACTGCAAGTCTCCTCGCAGAGATTCCTTGAAAGCTCCTGGGCCAATTGGATCCTACAAGATCATTGAGAAACACAGACTCCTCTTCCACATCGAATATCTGTCCCTCATTGACATTCAGCTGCACCAAAGTCGATGTCAGATTATTGAGTTTCAACAATAATATACTGAGGAATTGTGGAGAGTAGAACTGCATGTCACTGATGGCAAAATCACTGACAGTCTTGGTGAAAGACGGGTGCTTGAAATCAATGGAGATAACTGAGCTCTTGAACCCTAGTTTCCCCTCTACGGGGCCAGAGCCGACTTTGAAAATCCTCAGGGACCTTCCATCACCATCAGAAGCTGCGATAAGAAAATCACCCTCCAGAGTCACTACCTGGGTGCACGTTGAGGCTTCAAAGGTCGGCAAAGTCGTAGAGTTTACCACGAAATGAGACGTGAGGCCTTTATAGGCGTTGGAAAAGACCCCAGTGACTGCTTCCACGAGTTTCAGGTGGGACTGCAACAATGAACAATCCAGGTCTTGTTTGATTATCAGTGGGTGATCATGGAGACACTTGTTCTCGGATAACAGAGTGGCCCATTCACTCCCCTCAGTGGTGAGAGGGATCTGCAGGCTTTCTCGGCGGAGGTATTGCCCTAATTTCTCGAGATTAACGCCCTTTCTTCGACTCGTTGTGTCGCTTTTGTCGAAACCCCTGAGGAACTCGGCGATGAATGTCAGTTCTTGCTGGCTGACTCTGCTCGCCTCTGAGGGGACTCTTTCATCTGTCAGTTTAGCTATTACGACGTAAAGCCATCGGAAGAAGGCCTTGTAGTCCCTCATGCTGTGATCTATTACCTGCTGAATTTCTGATGATTTAGCTAGAAATGCTTCGGAGGCATGAAGAGCCCTCGTAATGGGCTCTTCATTCCCCAGTCCCAGTGCCTCGTAAGGACCTCCGAGTCTAGCCATCCCGCGCATTTCTGATAACTGATAGACCAAAGCCATCCCCACACTGCTCAGATGCTTGAGAACCAGTTTCTGGATATTACTGTAGCAGATTTCGATGCTGTGACCCAGCTTTTTCAGCCCCTTCTCTGTTAGATCCCGGAGAAGAAAATTTTTTAACTTCGACGTGGGAATTCCGATCATGAGCAGCTCGAGAAAATCAGCGGCGAGAGCTCCTGGCATATCGCACTCCTCGTATCTAGCTAATTTCTCGTCCATTTCTAGAAGAATTGTCTCCCAGGCTTCGGAGATCGCCATCAACGTATGGGACAGATAGTCCATGAGACACTCGACGTTTGCCTGGACTTGGGCTACTTTCAAGAAAGCTGCTGATTGTTCTAGGAGACTACAGGAGAGTCGATTCACTTTTATTCCCTGGGAAGTCTTGCACGAGACGAAGATCGGCTTCCCGGAACCTCCACTTATTTCAGAAACTGAACCATTTCCTACTTTTATCGCACCACAGTAAAACATCCCGAATACGTACATCGTCATTTCACCACCTTCGTGACCTAGCTGAAAGAATTCCATTCATTCATGATCTGATTCTGCAGGAGAAATTAATTTTTAAAAAATTTTGCCAGTTTTCAATGAAAATTGCAAAATTTGAGATATGGAGACAGCACACTTTCTGTTACAGCCTTTTTTTATAGAGCTAATTGAGTAGGCAAATGGTAATTTAGAATAAGTGCACATTTTCTCGGAATGGGTTTTCCCCAAATATTTGGGGATTGAAGCAAAATATTTATATATTTGTAATGATCTTTTTGTAGCAGTCATCTTTTTTTACCAAAAATTTCTTAACAAAGATATTACTAAAAAAACTGACATTGATAAAAATGCACTTGTCCTAATTTACCTCTTCTAAAAAGAATTGAGCGTTACAAAAAAAAATCATTAGAAAAAATCTGGCATTTCTGTTAGGTTCGTAGATATCCTTAATAAACTCAGGGTTTAGGTGGTCAACTTACAAAAAGCATATCCAGAGTTTGAAATAAGCAGTCTTTCCTCTCAGGTTCTTGACTAAATCCTCGATTAAGACTAGGAAGAGGAGGAAGGTATTTTCCAGTGGGTGAGGTGGGTGAGGTCTTGGAATTCTGCATTGAACTTTGGGCATCCGAGAACTTTCTGTTCTCCATGGGTAACCAGGAGATGCAGGTGACTCTTCCCTTGGATTCATGTTCCTTTTTATGAAGAATGTTCTTGTTCTCAATGTCCACAAGATGCAGCGTTCGAGAATTGTCGTAGGTGACTGCCAGGAGTTTACCATCAGGTCTCCAACAGAGATTGGAGACAGTTTCTGATTCCTCTGGCGGACTTAGGAGCCACACACGCTGCCATGTTAGCCGATGCAGTGCAACTTCACCTGGAAATAAATCGTGAATAAAATGGCAGAAACAATTTTATCTAGAAAGATTAATTATATAAATCACCTTTCTTGTTGGCAACTGCCAAAAGGTCCATTTTTGGAGACCATCGCATCAGTGTAACTTCCACTGGAAGCTGACGCTCTTCCAATTTCCTGATCGACCCAGACATCTGAGAATTTAATTTTTCATCTACTCATCAAACACAAGATTCGATGCATAAACGATATAAACAAGTGACATTTGACGGCAATTCAAGGTTAGAATCCACATGCTCACATGCAATTCCCATTGGTAGCTGCTCTTTCGTTCGAAGATAACCAATGAGCGACTCGGAATTTCAAAGCAGTGCATTATGGGTTGGAATAAAAAACGGTAGCGCATGAACTAAAATGAGGAAAATCTCGAGAAGTAATCCCTGTGGATAAAGCAGTGTGTATCGTATTATAAAGTTACCTTGGTACCCTCGGCAACGGCCCGTCTTTGATATAAACAAACTTGACGCATTCTATTAGTTTCACAACGGATAAACCCAAACCGTTCAATATTATCATAATTGTGCCTCGATTGACTCCTACATTGGACAATTAATCGAAATTTTCATCGAGTGGAGCTAGAAAATACCATGACATCGTTAGATCTGAGACTGCAAAAACTGGAGCATCAGGTGATGGGTTCAATCAATTTAAATAATAAAAAATGATTAGTTAGAGATTTCTGACATATTTTTTAAATGTGCTTTATTTGATTTTCATCTCTCAGCGTCAACTTCTGGCGGAAAAAATGAAACAAAAGAGACAGAGTGGTGCAGGGGGCATGGTGCAAGCATCGAACATACCCTCTGCTCAGTACAAAAGTCACTCTGCCAAGTGGTTAACTCCTATGAAACAACCTCAGTCTTGTGATGGGCCTCAGCACAATCTGTCATCAGTTAGTTACAATAGCACAGCAGCATCGAAAAGGAACATACCAGGTAATGCCACAAGATTCCTTCAATCGACCCACATTCTATTAATTCGCCCCTTATTACTGATTTCATGGGTAGTATGGATGATGATACTCTTCCCTTCTTTGTTTACGATTAGAAAATTAAGTGGCGATAGTAACATTTTACGCTTTCATCAGCCTTAAATTCGTATTCTTATGTGAGTGAAAAAGAATTGAGATTCACAAGAAAATGATCTTAAGAAAAATTTAGACATTGCCTTTAGTTTTGACTTTCTGATAACTCTTTGCTGTTTCGTTACTGATTTGATCAGGATTTGGTACAGGATTTGACGGTGAAATAAATGGAGATGGAGATATTTTTGATGGCATGGCGACTATGGGAGACTGCGCCGACGAGGAATCATCGCCTTTGGACACACGGTTGCCGCAGGAAGGCCTCGCCCTTCAGTTATACTCACCACTTCCAGTAGTACCTTTTGATGGTTCTGACACTGTCATCGTCAACCGGGATCACTCAAATGTAATGTCTAAAATTCACAATTCTTTTTCTAAGAATAATCACTTGAGTACTCTGAGCACAGAGAAATGAATAGATTCGCAACGAGAAATTACAAAAAAAATTTTCAAAAATCAAAAATAGCTTCAGTTGATGTAACAAATCTGTACAACAAATGATCACTCAATTTTCAGAGTCCAGAGTTAGAGGGAAACGTCGAGGGGAATATCGAGCATTTTGTTCTGCAACCGGCGAACAAAAAAATGCACTACAAATGTCGAATCACTCGTGATAGGAAAGGAATGGATCGTGGCCTTTATCCAACCTATTTTCTACACCTAGAACGAGATTATGGGAAGAAAATCTTCCTCCTTGCTGGGAGAAAACGAAAAAAAAGTACAACAAGCAATTACTTGATATCGACTGATCCAACTGATTTATCTCGAGGTGCAGAATCATACGTTGGCAAACTGCGTTCCAATCTTCTGGGAACTCAATTTACTATTTACGATAACGGTTACTCTCTAATGAAACAAAATAAACGGGATGACCGATCAACTCCTCGACAAGAATTGGCAGCTGTTGTTTATGATACCAATGTACTTGGATTCAAAGGACCTCGAAAAATGACTGTTATTATTCCTGGGATGACAGCTGATCAGCAGAGAATACCCATCTGTCCACGGGATGAATCAGAGACGTTACTTGGTAATTATAATGAGAATTCATTATGTTCTCGACTGACAAGCAGAAAATCACTTTTTGCATTTAAAAATTTCATCACTTTTTACTTTCAAAATTCAATTTAAAAATAATCACTAACTTGGAACAATAATGATCGGATTACAGAATGCTGGAAAATGAAGAACATGGATAATGTGATTGAATTGCACAACAAGACACCCGTATGGAACGATGATACTCAATCCTACGTGCTCAATTTTCATGGTCGTGTCACACAAGCCTCTGTAAAGAACTTTCAAGTGGTTCACGACAGTGACAGTAAGTTGCATGACCTCATACATGAAATATTCAATAAATCGACTGAATTTTTTCACAGCTGACTACGTTGTTATGCAGTTTGGTCGGGTAGCAGAGGACGTTTTCACCATGGATTATCGATTTCCACTCTGCGCTCTCCAAGCATTTGCTATCGCTCTCAGTAGTTTTGATGGTAAACTCGCCTGCGAATGAATCTCCATGTGAATAATGACAATTGATTACCCAAAACGAGTTATTAACGGACCTGAAAGACTTATCGATGAGAAAACGAAATTAGAGGCAGCAATGTGCAATTGAACTCTACAAGTGGAACTTCTTGTGTTCAAGTCATCGAGACTATTGGAGGAATTTTTAGATTTTTTTTTCTCCCATCGCTCATGCTGTTGTGTCGGAATTTTGTTCAATAATACATTGGAAATCAATTTTTCATCTAATGATGATGTGATTTCGTTCACTATTGATCTCAAAGTGTGACTTTATTAATAACTCACCTTACATTTTTATTATATTAATGTACCTTTTTCACGAATACAAATTGTTCATGTAATCTAGATGCGAGTACACACCAAGAATACAGTATTATGTCCATGTAAAAATAAATCATGACGATTATTCGTTACTTTGTTGAAATTATAATTTTTCCACCGATAGTTTTTCCCCTCACATTTATAAATATCAAATGTTCAGAATGATTTACTGACATTTTTTTTTAATATGAAAAAGTACAAGTGTTGATCATGATTTTCAGTATTAGCATATTTATTGTACCAACATAAAATGATTGAATAAAAAATAGCTTGTGGTAGAGAAAAAAAACAGTACGTCGCAATAATATAAAAAGCTTAAATATGACCTAACAATATCATTTGAATCATAAGAAGGCACAGTGGTGTTTGAAAATCAATTTCTTTCCTAGTTATTTCACTCGTTTTTCACCAATTACTCCTCATATGTACATTCACAACTGCTTTATCAACTTTTTCTGATATGTATTTAGGCATATTCATCTGTTAATATTGTCATTTTGTGTTGAAGATCTCAGACTCTCCGAAAGCATATATCCAGAAATCAGAGTTGAAAAACTGGAGAATTGTAGAAAAAATCAAGTAGTTGAATAGTTATTCGTCAGAAAAGGCTCTTCTTCTGATTAGATTGACTCTTTACTTGTGCATTAGCTCGGGAAAATTTTGGTGCGGGAATTCGCGATGCAGGCCGAGGGATTCCACTTGGTAAATTTGACGAACGGCTCACAGGTAAACGAACACCATCAGTCTTATTTTCGAGATTCTGCGGTTGTTTCAACACAGACTACAATGAATACAAAGATTATCATTAGAAATGCCTCCACCAGAAATGACACATAAATGCTAAAACTCACCGTTTTATTCGGAAGACTTTCTTGCTGCTTCGTGACTTTTTCCTCATTAGCCAGATGATTCTCTTGAGTCAAAGGAAGAGATTGTAAAGACTCAGCAGGACTGAGCAGAGGGGAACTCGTTTGAATGACCGCATCAGTATCATTCGAATTAATTTGTTTATCAGGAATCTCATTATTTTTTAAAATCGGTGAAGGAAGGTCCTTTCCACTAGTAATCCATGTGTTCTCCAGAATTCTCCTATCAGCTTTTGGCGTTGATTCCTGATTTAATTTCTCCACCTGAATGCGCGTCATCTTATAGAGATGGTCAGAACTTTTCTCACAATTCAAAGGATGACTTCCATCCGAACACGTACTCAAGCCATCATCAAAATCTGGGCCACTGTAAGTGCTCAAAGTGCTCTCAATGCTTTCACTTGAATTCCTAGTATCCGTTTTGTCACCTTCTCCCTGTGCTTTAACCAAGCTATTCAATCGATTGGTCGATATCTGCCCATTCCTCATTACTCCTCTCCCAAGCGGTTGGAAACCGAATTTAGATTGAATCATTCTCGTTGATCTACCTCTTGTCATCGTCGAACTTTGCGATTGAAGATTGGGATTTGATTTTTGAAGCGTTTGAGGTAAACGCGACAACGACTTCGGCCCATTTAATTTCGTATAAATATCTTGAGAATCGAGAGTTCTGCCACTCATTTTATTCAACATTTCCATGGACTTTCCCCGATAATTCTCATCATATTGTAATGACGTTTTACCAGTAGGTTTCACCAATTTATTTATTAAATGAGTTTTGCTGACTGCTGTAGATTTTCGATACGTTTGATAACGATTGACAGGCATGTCGTCGTTTTTTATAATGTTAAGGGACTCCTTCAGCATTGCTGAATCTCTTGTGGAGTACGTCATGTCAAGGGATTTAGGCTCTTCATCCTGCGATGGTGCCACTCCATCAGGCCAATTTGGCAGGTGTTCGTCCGAATATTCTGAAGATGGAAAAGTTATCTCGTCATTAGTACCAGCAACATACGTTGAGTTCGATGACATCTCCTCCGGCTCATTAACGTCATCCTTCACCTTAGCACATCCAGGTGCCTTGAACGTTGAGTTCGAGGATGTTTCCCCTTGCTCAACCTCTTCCTCCTTCACCTTCTCGCATACACTTTTTTGGAACGTGGAATTGAGTGCTACTTGTGAAAATGAAGTACCAGAATTAAAACTCTCATTAGAATTTTTTACTTCAGTTGTATTGAGACGAGGATTATTGGGATTATCTTCAAATGTAATTGTGTCGCTCAAAATTGTCGTATTTGATGATGGCAGTCTGTCAAATGTTCTATTGACTGTAATAATTTCTTGATTATGAATAATTGTAGCTGTCGTCTGAAATTTTGAAGGAGTGAACGTTGTATCAGTATCACAGATCGAAGAATCTCTTAACACTGTTGCTGCCGAAGAATCTAGCCAATTTCTACTAGAAGATTCGGAAAAACTAATGCTGTCAATACCACCGTCCGACTCACTGAACATACTGGTCTGCATCATGGATTCAGTCAGAATCTGAGAGTCTGCCATCCCGGGGTTGCTGGTTCCACAGGACGAGTGCATCGAAGGGTTTGATATTGTCGTTTGCAGGAATGAGGGGCGTGATATGTTCATGAGACTCTCGTGAAATTCAGGTTCAACCATGTTGATGAATGAATCTATCCCCTTCGACTGGGACATATCTAGAAAAGCTTCCAGACTCTCCTGAGTGCTGCCTCCTGGGATCAGCAGGCCTGACAATGATTGTCTCAACATAGCGGGAATGGAGTCCTCTTTTCTCGTTTCTTCTTCCTTCCAATTGATTCTCATTTTACTCCAGGATGATTCGTTGTCGCTGTTCACTGCTGGCATTTGTCTCATAGATTCAAAGTTCAGTCTCCCCATTCTTTTTTTACATCTCGTGAAGGTCCTCGTATCGATTGGAGAACCAATATCATTATTGTCGTTTATCATATGATTTGACTTCCCACTTTTCTCACGAAAATCATTCCTGAGCCAAGTACGCAGATCACAGGGTGAGGGCTCACTTGTAGGAGCCTGCACAAGCCTGTAAATAAAATTAATTAATTTAAAAAAAAAATCGGATCAATGTAATTGTTATGGAACAAGTAATATCAATTTGTCAATTGAAATCTGCAATTAGTTCATAGCATGAATCATTCTTTGATGGGAATGAAAAAAAATCAAGGATAGAATGGGGAATTATTAATACTATTGGACTCACCAGGTTTCTTCATCTTCCAAATCAATTTTAGATATATCAATAATATCATCATCCAAGAATTCCTCTTCCTCATCGTCCTCCCCCTGCTCCTTACCAACGGCATTCCAATCTTCTGACATCTGTCACTGCAGAATCTCTTGATATTATCAATCACATAACAGTAACAACAACAACAAACTCTTATGCAATATCTAGTGACCGACGTAGAGAATGTTCTCTTTATTATAATGATGAAGGGTCTAACATAACCACTCGAGGAATTTGTTCGAACTAAATCCAACCATTGGCATGTCAACAATTATCACAGTAAGTGTATTTTTACTTTACACAAGCACTTATGGTGTTTTCTCTCTTTTTCTCCATTCAATTATTTGTATCACCAATTGACATCTGTAACGAATAATGAATTAGGAAGACATGGAAGTTTAGAACTTTACCGGATGGAAACCAAAAGAGATATAAATATTGTTAGGAATATATTATTAGCAAATATTCCGTTACATTGTGTTGTACTGTGACCATCTGTGCACCATTAAACGGCTGCGTGGAATTTCAATGAGAGAGAATGAGTAACAGAACTATTTTTGAAGAGATGGTTGTATCAAGGCGTGTTTCTATCTCCTGCGACAAATTTCCCTTTTCCCCCGGTAAAGTACGGAATGTCGAATCAGCCAATCACAACGCCAGGAACGAGGACATCTTTTTCGATCATTCATAATAACAGGATGCAAAATTAATAAACTTTATTATTTTACAATTGTCGTGAATAATCTTTGTTACACTGAAATGCATAATTAAAGAAAAACAACAGTAGCAACGCCTTGCATATGAAATCACCAGCGAGATAATATCCCATAAAATTTTTGCATTACTAGTAACGTAGTAACTGAATGTCAATGAATTGAAGCAAGCCATTCGGTATAATTTCACCAATATATTCGGATCGTCTGTGACTACAATTACAAATAATATCCATAGCTCATCTATACATTATTCTCCCCCGTCTTTTAGAGGATAAAAAAAATGAAACAAAACTCTTGACAGTGAAGCAAATGACAAATGCAACGGAATTCACTATTATATATTAATAATAATAGTTATGTTGATACATTTATTAGTAAAAATAAAGTCTCATCGATTGGAGAAGAAAACTGAAACATAGTGCAGAATTTTTGATATTTACATTGTACAATAGCAGTGAGTTAATAGTATATTTCAGACTAGAGTCTATGTGAGAATATATTAAATAAACATTTCCCCCTTTTCACTTAGTTCCTTTGTAATTAATATGATTACCGACGTTTTTACCGGCAACTGGTTTCTTTGCGGAAATACTGGGCTTTGGGTTGGTCGGGGCAGTCTTATTTTGTTCAAATTTCATTTGCAACGAGGCAACGGTAGATTTACTCGGGGCAAAATCTCGTAGTGCTGTTGATTTTGCTTTCGAACCATCAATTTCCGGTCGTTTTGCAGCTGATGCCGACGATGAAGCTGAAGTTGATAGGAGTTTTGCCGCCTGAGAAGCAGTACCGGGGCTTTTACCCCCAGACAATTTCCCTGGAGCTGTGGTTTTTTTTAAATTTTTAGCTGCACTAGCAGTACTCAATTGATGATTCAAACTCGCTGAAACTTGTGGAGTGCTCACGGTTTTGGGATTATTAGCAGCTACAATATCTGGAGATGGTGCTGCCCTTGAACTGGGGGACGTGGAGGTAGAGCAACTGGATATTAGATCCGGACTCTTGTACGTTGGATTAGTACTGAAATTCTTGCTGGAGCTACTTCCAGCTGATCCCCTTGTCCCTTTCATAACCGACCAACTCTTGCTGGAGGCATTTACATCACTGGAATCACTGGTACTCTGATCCTTCTCTGATGCTCTGCTCTTGGAACAATCCAATGGTGATGATCGAGCCGGGAACACTTGTCTCACATTAGAAGACGTCGTCGATTTATTTGGTGAATTGATTATTACATTATCTTTGGTAGACGACCCACTCTCACCTATTTGGATATCGTTGTCAGTGACGAGTGAGTCTAGAGTATGGAAGCCTTGTTTTTTGGCTCCTGAGTCCTTTGGGACATTCACAGCTGATGGCAGAAGATATCCTGAACTCGTTTCTGATGCTGCCGAGTTAAATTTAGCAGATATAGAGTTTGAGTATATGCTCCCTGATGATGCTTTGTAATCGTTGGCATTTGTGTAAGTTGTGAGTGAACTGTTGGATCCTAATTTCCCCTTGATGAGGCAATTATCTTCCTTTAGTTGCTTCTGGCCTGGCAATCTGGATGAGGAAGCTGAATATATCGAGTCGAAATTCCTGTTTGATATTTCCGATACAATTTCTGATAGTAAACCCATTGTCGTGTCATTCTCTAATTTCTTATCACTTATATCCCTCTCAGTATCGATCATTTTTGAACTTGATGGAACTTTATACTCATTATCAACTTTGCAAGTAGCCCGTGCTTTTGTTATTCCATTAGGCTCCTCAATTACTGCATAAATATTATCGTTTAATGGTAATTCCTCAGTGATTCCCTTCAATGATGACTCCTGCATCAAATTCATACAGTCGTCGTACGCACTGTCAGCAGGCAATTGCATCTTCTTGTCAATTTTGATTGGCGGATTCTGATATCCTGGCAATCCTGGTATTTTCAAATTGTCATCATTTAAAAAAGTACTTGTACTTGATGATAAAGAAATTGGTGGAACTGGAGGGGGTGGTGAGGTTGGTCTCGCGCTGATAGCAATACTTGTCGGTCTTTTGGGATTTTTGTAACGCATCGATCCGAATGTCTGTATCACTGGTCTAGACATGACATTTGAATTTCTCATTGACTGAGCTCTAGCCACAATGCTCTTTTTTTCATCATTAAGTTCATCAACACTCGATGATGACACCGGCACGACAGGCGCTGTGATTTTTATCTCACTCTGGGGGATTGGATTTGATATTTCCAACTTACGCAATATTTCCTTGTCAATAATCTTGTTGGCTTTGTGGTGTTGATTGTGGGGAAGAGAATTTGTTTCATCGGTTTTCACAGTATTTTCATTGGCTCGCAGACTATTTCCTGGTTTTAATATTGATGCAATTCTGTTGAGAGTGGAGAACTTCTCTTTGATTTCCCGATCCTTATCACTTTTTTTCTGTGATTCTCTGTCCACATTGAATGGTATTATTGGTAAAGTGCTGGTGTTGATGTTGACGTTGCGACCGACTCTGAGAGCTTCAATCGGTCTAGCTGGCACGTCAGGAGCTGGTCGTGTTGGTATTTTTGTTTCAACGAGCTCCAGCGATGTGCAAGTTGTGGCTGCCAGTACTGGGCTGCTAATCAGAGGTTTAGCTGTACATCCCGGATTCAATGGTGGCAGTGCCGGTGGTTCTCCCAACAGGCCATCCTCAGACTCTCTATTTGGCTGTGAATTTGTTGAGCTCATTTGCTGCAACGACAAGGCACATTGCGGAGGATTATTATTATCAACTGATAACTTTTTACCAGTCTTTATGGTAATCGAGGGGATCGATGGGATTGCAGAGCACTTGGTCATTTTGACGACGGCTGGAAGAGGACTCAGGGTGAAGCCCTTGAATTGGCCAAACATGTTATTGTTGATTCTCTCGGTGCTGGGTGGTTTTGGCAGGAGACTTGTACACGCTGGATCCTCATTCAACTTGGCATCTATTGTTTCGATTACATGTGGTGCATGACGCTGATGCTTACCAGGCCGGTCAAGGGTTTTAATGGTGAAACCTCGTTCGTGTCTGTAATTTTAAGACAATGTTTTTTTTTTCTCATTGAACCTCATGTCACACCAGACTCTTCATATTTTCGATACTTCTCACTCACTTTTGTTATGAAATAATTGAACAAATTGCGCAACATGCTGAGGATACTATGGACTGTCAAAGGGAAAATTAAAGTTAGTAGAGAGAGAGGAAAATTAGTAGCTGCAAAAAAGCTTCATCGTTGCTACGTTGTCAGAGATGTGAAGAAAAAAAGTGTTTTGAATTTTAATTTTCTCATTCAGATATTTATTTTGAAAATATCCTGATATATAATTTAAAAATTAGAAGAACTCAATGATTACAGTCATATACCACATTGTCATTACTATAAATTCCTCATGCTGCATTCACATTTTATCATGGAAAATCATTTATTTTTCCCTTTGATAGATCTCGCCGCTCAGGTACATTCATGCAACAGAAACATGCATCAATTCAGTTTGAGTATTTGTTCGCATCTGTTACGAATTTTAAAATTTTTTTTCCGGTTACGTATGAAATCGTTGCATTAAGTGAAATCATAGACCTTATTCAGTTGTTAAAGATTCTATTAATTTCATTTGTTATTATCTATTCTTGTATTTATCGGCATTGAAATATAAAATTGTGTATGAAATTATTTGTTGAACGTATTTGAAATACCTAAACGTTCTAATTACCGTACCGGTGGTGGTGGCGGTTTCTTATCATAAAATGGTAATTTTCCTTTGAGTGTCTGGTTTTTATCTGGGACTTGGGAAACATTGTTATAAAATGTAGATCCTAATGCAGACGAGTGTGAATTATGAGATACATTGGATAATGATTTTGTAACATTTTGATAAATGGCAGAATCAATTGGTGTAAAAGTACTTGAAGTACTGCACGAAGGACTTTCATCAAGCTGTTGAAAATCAGTTTGAGTATTGCCTTTCAATTTTTCAAAATTCATAATCAGTTTCTGAAGATCTTTATTCTTTCTCCCAACTCTTGTTGCCTCACTATTATCGCCATTTGAACTAATATTCTGAGTATTTTCTTTTGAGCTATCAGCAACAATTGACGAATCTTCAACCTTTATGTTCCTACTACAACTAATGACTTGTGGATTTGTCGTACTGACCAGACTTTTCTTTGTTATTTCAACTTTGTCTTTTAATAATTGATCACTTATTGTGAATACTTTTGACGATTCATTCCTCGGGATGTGAGAACACTTCGGTAGTATCGAATTTCTAATACGTTCACCGAGCCCTTGATTTTTCATAAATGATGAAGATTTTGTACTAGTCTTGATTGAGCTGCTCTTTGCACCGGCGAGCTTGACATTGAAACACTTGATACTAGATACATACGTTGATACTGACTCCTTCTTCCACGTCTGACCAGGAAAATTGTTTCGTTTGTACCACATAGCTAGAGAAATCAGGGCAACAGTTGGAACGATACCCAAGAAGATGATGTAGAGAGCAGTAACAAAATCATTTCGGGCTGAAACAAGCAAATGAAAATCGTAAATTAGACGTCAATTAAAATGCTTTTCATTTCAGTAATTGGACAAACGAAAGAATGACAAACCATTTGGATCCTCAGCTGGTCCGCTGTCATCAGATCCTCCAAACCCAGGTTGAAGACAATCAGGTGGACGAAAGCCCTTATTGCAATGGCAGTGACCAAGACTATTGCATACACCATTGCCCCCACAGTTATTCAAACAAGCAGAGCCCCCATTGATGCTCGCTCTGAGACTATCAACTGGCATACACTTCTGATTGACGCACATTTTGCCAGGAGCACACTTGGCCCCATCGGGTGCCAACCCAGGATCAACTTCATTCAATCCAAGATCAACTATAGCAGTTCTGCACGCTATCATCTTGACACCATGATTGAGAAATGAATGAGTGAGAATGGCAACTGACTCCATTCCAAACTCAAGTCTCTCATTCAAATGTTGACAGTGAAGCATTCCACACAATATATTCTCATTATCACACTTGATATAACTCGAATCCAATCTGTTATAACCACAATTTCCATGCTTGGAACCCTTATTATTCATTTCATAACACGGTGCCCCAGATGACGAGCCGCTGGGACCCCAGAGGAGTTTACACTGATCATTGTGTGTTCTACATGAGCCCTGGTAGCAGAAAGCCTTTCCCATGTTGCACACCTCTCCATCAATCTTATAAACATCATTCGGACAGTATTCACTCTGTCCTGTACAGTACTCTGGCAGATCACACTCGTGCTCAGCACTTCTGCACTCTGTCCCTGCATTTTTCGGTTTGCACGTTGTCAAATCACAGCATTCACCAGTGGCACAGCTTGCATTTGGATGCAGCATGCATGTCAACGAGTTGCAGCATGGATTGTCGCAGTTGTCCTTGAGACCACAGTCACACTGCTCTCCAGACTCGACAAAGCCATTGCCACATATTGGACTGTCAAAGAGTTTTTTGGGTTTGTTGCGAAGACAGTAATCCATGCCGTGCTCAAAAGCCAAGGCCAGATACTCTAGCGAGCAAGAGGACCAGTGGACTGGACCTGTTGATCCACTGGATGATGCCATTATGCATCGATCCTCTGGACACCTGCAGTCAGCTGAATCGTGCTCCATGCCAAAATTGTGGCCCATTTCGTGGGCCACTGTTGCTGCCACCAGGCCAATAACGTTGGAATGATCCATGGAGACTCCTCCTGAGAATTCGTATGTACAGATGGGACCTTTCAGTGCTTTCCCCACAACTCCATCCTCAAAATGGATACGCGTCAACAATTGCGCATTGTCATTTGGTATTTCTTTCACAAGCATTGCTTTTCGATAACGCAAAAAATTTGCCAATGTTGTATCACCCTTGGAGGAGAGAGTTATTGCGTCACTATCTGTCCAGACCTCGACCCCCACGAGGGCCACGAAGATATTTAATGGTGTGTATAGGGCGTTTATTATGTTCGCTATGTCTTTGCAGTGGTGATGAACTTTGTGGAGGTTCTCCCCTAGGGCGATGTACTCTGTCTTGTCGATCACGAGCACTAGTTCAACGTACCGAGACTGACGATTAGCATTGTAAGGGCCACGGATTACCTCGTCAGCAGCTCTCTTTAGTCTCGATTGTCCACCTCTCGGAGGAGCTGTCGTGATGTGGGGTGTTCCTTCGTATCCACAAGTATTATTAGATATCAGATGAATGTCTTTGTACAAGTAGTGAATGCTATCTAGGGATTCTTCCTCAGGGTGAATGTAATGCATGTTTGCACCGTCGTAGACGACACCTCGAAGCCCTTGACACGTCGATAGTGCCGCCCAGGAGTCCGGAATGCCACGGATGCTCCCTTGGTAGTGACATATTTCCTATTCAAGCGATATATTTTTAGTATTTTTTATCACAACTCTCCAACTCTTCTAAGAGATCTTTAGTGCAAAATGTCAATAGTTCAGTCAGTACTTACAACTCGTTGAGGTATCTCAGTTGTATAATTCCCTTTATATTGTCTTCTTTGTTTATATCCTACGGGAATTAAATCTGTGTTGAGCCAAAGATCGAGCGTGCGTTTAATTCTATCGATTTCTAAGCCGATAGTGAGCACATCTGCGTGGTCAAAACTCTGAAAGTAGAAAAATCCGGAATAAAAAAATATCAATAAAAAAAAAGTTCTCCTCAAACGTCCCGTTGATACGCTATCAATGGAGCCTATCGTACTCACATTTATCTTCGTATCGACAATTTCTCGCTTACTTCGAGCATGATATATCTGTGGTCGCACGATACTGTGTGTGCTAAAATCTGGAGATGGGCCTGAAAAAAAATCATAGAGTATGGTAATTTGTCAGAACGGAATGAATAATTGATATTCATCGATTGATAGCTCTTTCAAAGAGAGTCACATTTTAGCCTATAGTATGGAAGTCCATGGAGACGGATGAGTCAACCGGACGTGATGCTCAGTCGCCAACAATGACTGATTCAGTTGCAGTACAGGATACATGAATTTTACGTATTCTTCACAAAGAATAATATACTACTAATTACTCCTCTCAACTGATTACTAACCGATGCCGTACAAATTAATTACTCAATATTAACTTCTTTACATTTCCACATTAACATGTCAATTTCATTTACTTCCAACATAAACATGCAGTGCTACAACAATTACAACATAATGGCCCAATAACAATAATATAATAAGTATGTAATGAGAAGTGATTAAAAAAGTAAATTGTCATTTTAATTAATGACTTTCAAAGGAAAAGAAGATAAAAAAAGAATATTTCAATTGCTTCATTATAAATTCTCAGTCAATATTTTTCCAATGAAAACGGTTGATTCATCAATCAATTTACATTCGAAAGGCGAACGCGTATAACCGGAGCTGGAAATAAAAGAAAGATAACTTCCTGCATAATATGGAGAATTGCAGAATCCTCTTCCCCCCAATTTTGAAGGAGGACAAAACCAACATCTGGTTGTTGTTGAAGGTGGCAGCTTGCTATCTCATCCGTCCCCCGGATTTGCCATAACGGGATGTAAGTGAGAATGAAATTATACATGAATATTCCTCCCGCAAAACTCCCAGGACTTTCAATGTCTTGACCGTAAATTACTGTCTAACAATAGAATCTCAATAGACCGATGTTGAAAATATGAAGAATAATAATGAAAAACGTGTTTTACTTGCACTCATTGAGCAAATCAAGGATCCAATGATATATAGTGGAAAAAGTAGGACAACTGATAAGAGGGTATTCAGGGCATTTAGGCGTCAATTCAGAGCTGAAAATTGAAGTGATTACAGAACAATAAGCATAACTCCAGATTATGGAGTTAACGGATAATTTCAGGTTTTTCATTCCTTATTTGGATGCAGAGGTGTCTATACGGTATTCATTCTTGGGTGACTCACCAGTTGCAATTCTAACTTGAGATGCTGCGTTGGTACAGAGTAAAATTGTTGAAAGCCACCAAATAAATACGATTGGTCGCAACAACTGGAGGCGTTCAGCGCACTGGAATTGTCTGTACACCCCCTTGACCCCATGTCTCCGCCAAATATCACTAGCCATTTTCCAGGTCGTCCCTCTAGTTCGTGTTGTTTCACAATTGACGTTTTTCACTGGTGCTACTTTTCTCTCGATTATGAATAATACATAATGCGCGTAACTCATCCATCACACCCTCAATTCTTGACCCTCTTGACGTTCTTCACTTCTAATTGACCCACCACCACATGTTTATTTTACTAATTATTCTATCTGCATGGGTTTTCTTCAAGTACTCGTCGATTACCAGTCAAAATACCTCGGACACGGACAACTCAAACTGATGGACGAATGGCACACAACGGAACAAATGAACAACTGACGACTGGCTACACGCACAGCGCACAGCACAGACTTTCGATGCTCTCCATATACATACCTCACACTCCACATTCACATTGACACAACAGCAACTGCTCTATACATTTATGCAGTCTCCTTAAACCACAAGTGTTTTGCTTTAATTTGCCACCTCAAATCACCCGAAAATAATAAATATCGAAACTAATTGACGTGAAAATAGTAAAAGAAAATACCATTTCTGTGTTGACTAGAACACATACGCTTCTATGATGTATACACCCACATATGTAACAGCAGCTGCTCTAACACATGAACATAAATATCACGTCATTCAATCTTGTCGATATTCAGGCTTAGACTATACAGAAATTTTAGAGTTTTGTTAACTGTTATTGTTGTTGTTATTGCTGTTGTAGATGGAGAATGAGGGGAGATTCGCCGAGGGTCAAAAAATGGGCAAGGTATTTGGAGAAGAATGGAAAATAGTGGAAACTACATGCAGTTTTATGAGTTCTGTGCTGCACTGTTGGAACTCTAAACCACTCCTACTGTCTTTATATAAAGCCATAAAGCATCACCAACGCCATTTACTCACACAACTTTGAGAGAAAATTCACGGAACTACTACTAGTTACAACGAGCACCGATAGGCACTTTAAATGATTCTCCATGGTTACTAATAAACAAGAGCATTGTAGATATGTTGTTTCTTGGGGGAGGGGAGTTGTTTAGTGGCAATAGTCATGTAAATGCAATGTTGGGCGGGGCAAACAAATATATTGTATTCGATGAGAAGACAATACATTGTTGATTTACTTTATGGTGCAAAATGTCGGTGGAAAATTTAGATCAGGTCATTATGGCAGATTGTGAAAAGAGGGGTCTAATTGTTTCGAAAGATGTTGTTCTTTTTCTTGTGAGTATGAGAAATGACGAGCGAATATATTCACAACTTGAAAATATAAAGCACAATCGGTTCCACCTGAAAATGATTTTTTCCTTATTTTTGTATTTTTCTTGTTCATTCGAATCTTATTATCATCTACGAGGCAAATATATGCGAAATTAACCATTAGTTCATGGAGACCTTCAGTTTTTAAAAAAGTCACCATGCTCCCCCGAAAATGCTAGATCAGTCTCCTGGAGCCATTTCCCCTGATAATGCTCTGTATTTGGTAACACATTTATTTTCCCGTGTGCCTTTCCTCGTAGTTGGAGCTTTACAAATTGAATCCCGAATATGCGACGAAAGCAAACAATGAGGAGCCTGATAATAAAGCTATTGACATCATCACAGAAAAACTCCTAGCACAAAATAGTCCGAGCTTGTTTACGCTTAAGATCCAGCTGTACTTCATGAAACATTACGGAACGAGGCGTAAATATTCCCGTTATCATTATTAAACTGCAGTAATATAACTGCATAACATTATGCATGACACAATATCATTAACGACTTCCAGCTGTTATAATAAAAAAACATCGACAAAGGCTCGAGAAGAGGACTCAATTGCTAGTCAAGGAAATATGCGACTTGAAAGACTTGATCAATAAGAAAGACACCGAAAAACTTTATCAAAAAATTCTCGTCATCATCACATTAGCAAGTGGCCTGGGAAATCCGATGGACACTTCGGTCCTCAGAGAAACATCCGTCGCTCTGCAGAGTGTTTATGGTCTATCGGAGCTCAATCATTTCATTACTTTATCAAAAGACGAGAAGAAATATAAATTAGTGCAGCTCATTAAGATTGTAGCGGGGATCAGGCTATTCAACAAGGATTGTCGAAGGGGTGGAGCCGGCATCGATGACTGCAAGTTGTTTCCGTTACTCAAATTATAGCGCCTCAATTTTTTCGACTTTTCCTTTTTTTCTATAAAACAATTCTCTATATAAAAGGCAACCTAAAATGCCTTTTATTAAAGACAAATTTCCCTGCAATGAACGTCATAATAAGTCTCCACTACATATAAATATTCTCTGACCATCAAACATTAATTGCTAATTGGACTAATCGATTATTTTTCTCCACTCTCTCGGAATGACCTAGGAGGTTTAATAACCTTGCGGTCAAATACAAGGCCGAAACTTCCTGTTTCGATTAATCAATTACCGGTCAAACAGTCTCTGAATTTACGGCCAATAAATTAATGAATGAGCTGGAATTTTCAGTGCCGCAGATATTGCAGAAAGCAATTGAAAAGTCTCACCAATCGATTCTGGAATTTCTGCAAGACATCATGAAGAGAGTTTACCGATTCACAGCTGCAGTGGAGAATATTGTGCTGATCCTGTCATCGTCATTGAAATCTCCACGTTTTTCCGATAATCATACAGATCATGCTATTTGGTTAATTGAGACGCTCACAGCGTACAGACAACAAGAAATTTTCATCAGGTTGAAATCACACAAGAACATGGGTAAATGATTCGACGTAATTAATTATTGGTTCAATTCTAGAAAACTTCTGGCAGATGTTGAGTCGAGTGATAAAGAAATCAGAGGATCTGTCGTGCGTTTGAAGTCTCGCCTCTTGAAAATTCACGACACTGTGAGATACCGAACGGCTATTCCAACAATTCAAGTCTACGTGCGTTTCGATTTACTCGTTCTTTCAATAATATTGATTAACAAGTGAAGACGTAATTTTTCCAATTGCAGCCACAATTCGTTGACCTGGCAGATATCTGGATTAATCTGCAAAATGAAGTTATAATTCTCAGTCAAATAAATAATCTAGTCTGCCAGATAAAAGCCCTGAGCATGAAAGTAATTGAAATAATGCATTGCCTGCACACATGCTTTTCCTTTATCTAGCAATTTCTATGATTTTTGCCGAAGGATATGTTGAAGGAACTTCTCACGCCTCTAGGACTGAATCACAGAGTGGAAATAACTATCTATTATTTTTTTACCGTTTCGTTATTGAATTTAGTTGAATAACTGCTGTTTTATTTAGAATTTTGATGCTGACAACGATGTGAATCATTTAGAAATCGATCGATTCGTCAAAGGCAGAGAAATTCCATCTGACGCAGAGAGATTGGAAAGGTCCATGGGAAAATTGATAAGCAAGTATATTTTTCCCCTTTCTACATATGAAGTTGATAGAGGAGTAATTATAAATGTTAATTCCATTGTTTATCAGCTAAATGTGGAGACTGTTTGATATATTATCCACACAGCACGAAGAATTTCGAAAAAATTCACCTGGAGGTAAACTTTTCCTATTACTACGGAACAATTTCATAATGTAATCAATAGAAATTAGAGCCTGCATCAGTTATCGATGAATATCTAATGAATTTAATCAATCAGGTACTTGAAAAAGCAAATGGAAATGAAAATTTTGGATCAATAGTTTCTAGGGTTTTGTGCATGGAGTTTCACGTTAGGACGGGGTGCATTAATACCGGGTAATCCAAATATCGGAGTTGTCATGTGGAGAGGCAAATATTTTGCTTTCAGCTCAAATGATGCAGCTAGGAAATTCGGCGATGACCCAACTAGGTAATAGCTTAAATAACTCCCCTAGATCAATAACTATTAACTATTACTAACTATAATTCTCTAACTCACCAGATTTCATCACGAAGCGATGGATTTTATCCGCAGACATGCCGAATATATTCATCTCTTTCAGGTTCAAGAGGACATTGAGAACATGAATAATGGCAATGAGTATGTTTTATAATAATAATTCACTATTAATGAGTTGTCAATGAATTCATTGAAAGTGTTATTTTGGTCATCTACATACGATAATACGATGAAGTTAAAATGATGCACTATAATTTTGTGGCATTTTATTTCTGTATTAGATTCCTTGATACAGAACACACGGTGAAAAGACAACAGGATCAAGCGTTTCAAACAGATGTTCATGTTTTCGCTTCAAAAATCAGCCCAAACTATCACCACAGTATTTGGGAGTATAAAAAAAAGGCCCTAAAACTGGTAAAAAAAATTGTGAAAATATTTCAATCAAAATATGATAAATGTATTAGCGCTGATTTATTCTCGTTTAAATTGAAAGGCTAATATCTCGGAGTGTATTACGAGAAGTACTCAAACAAATATTTGTCAGTTCAAGAGATCAAGAGAAGTTCAAGCATCAGAATCAAAAAGCATATCGATTCAAACACACGAAAATTATCAAAGAAACGCCAGTCATTGAAGACGAATGTCGAAAGGGACATTGTAAGTTATCAGTTCCATAATTGAACATACGTTTGAGAAATGGTGCTGTGTTGCTAATGGAATAAATTGGACTTGACAGTCAGACATCGTTTCATTTTCTGTTTCCATTTATCATCAATTACATTCTACACTTGTTGATTTCAAGTAATGTTTATTCGAATCAGCCCTACGACATTGGAAAAAACAACTCACTTCTACAATACAAGTTGTATTTTTCCAGTTTATGCGAATTACTTCAATACAACCACTTCGTAATTTTCGTCCGGTATATCTTAAACATTAGGTCAATTTTTACACCAAAAAATGACTACAGAACACGACAATTAATTAATTAATTACACGTTTGAATACAATCAAGTTTTGCCTTTTACAATTTTTCTCAGTGTTTGACTCTCTCCCTCCTTCAAAGATTGTTTTTCATTGCGTATAACGAACTATTATACGGGAAAGGTACACAATATTCAAGGATGTGTATGTTATGCTCATTTCGATTGGTTCATTCCAGACTTTTCACCAACTTTTCAAATTCACTGACCTGTGCTTTCAGTCGTTTTCACGGTAATTATGTAATTATCTCAGTTTCGTTTTATTTATATAATGCAAAATATAATCAGTTACAACCATGAATGATTATATCGGTCCATTGCATAACCAAAAAAAAAAAAAAATCAACGAAATATGAGACATATACTACATCAAATTAAAATGAAGTTTGTGAAAGTGTTGGAATGCCAATAGGGGATTCAGCCTTTTTTAATGATAAACAATGTCAAATCACTCGATGAAATTCAAGAAATATGAACAAAAAATAAAACAATAATTCATTCTGATGCATTTTCTTTTCTTTATCAATGCTCACCTTCTCCGTTCTATTATCATAATATTATTATTATTATTACTATTTATTTTATCATTATTTCTCATAGATGGAGCGAAAGAGATGGAAACGATCGAATGCCCATAAAAGTAAATATTGACAATGAAAGAGCATTTCATTTTTATAAAGAAAATGAAAAAACATAAAATATGTGAAAATTGGGCTCATTTTTTGCACGTTTTACAATTTAACCTCGTCCGTTCTGGCGATTGTTTTATTACAATCTAAATGTGTCACTTGTGTAAAATAAATGGAAAGAAGTGTGGAATTTACTTTTCTTTTTCTTCTCTTTTTCCGCTTAATTTACACTATAAAACCTCTTAGTCACTTGAAATTAATGTTTATGTATAAATGTTTATAACTTGTCGGAGATTAGGACGATTCAAGGGTATTTGTTTTTTTTTTCCTTCTTGGATTATTAAATGAGTTGAATTGTCGGCTGTTTAATCTACAAAGTGATTTTTGAGGTATTTCATCATACCAAAGGTTCTGAAACGCTTTACTCCAATGACCTTCATAAGTTCCTCATCACAAATGGCGAACTGTTTGTTTTTGGGGTCCTGAAAGAACGATCAATCGATTATTGAGGAGCTCGTCCAGGCTAGAATTAGCTTCTAACTTTAATAGCAACAGGAAGAGAAAAATAAATGAAAAAAAAAAAATCACTTACATAGAGATTCCTCTCCTTGATGATACTCCATACTTTCTTAACTACTTCATGCCGGGCCATTTGATCAGCACCAACCACTGCAGCCAATTCAGGTGATAAAGTGATAGCCCTGGTGTATCCACCCTTGCCTTTGCCTCCTCCTTTCTTTGCTCCACCAGTTGCCTTTTTCGATTTGCCCCAGTCCTCATCACTATCACTATCACTTCCCTTCTTCTTTCCCTTCTTTCCTGGCTTGCCTGAAATCATCCGAATGGTTAGCAATTTTATATCGTAACATCTTTGGGGCAATCATCTAATTTCACTGGCATGAATTGTACCTTTTTTTGCTGAGGTCTTTGCAATTTTTTTTGGACTGTATTCCTCGTCACTGGCATCGTCGTCGCTGGCACTGTCCTCGTCGTCAGAGGAGGTTTTCTTGCGTTTTGCAACTGTCTTTTTAGGGGGACCTCGTTTTGCGGGTTTCTTCTCCTCTTCCTCCTCTTCCTCCTCCTCGGATGCTTCTTCTTCCTCCTCTTCACCATCTTCAGACTCTTCACTAGCAGCCTTCTTCTTCTTCTTTCCAGACTCTTGTTTCTCGTGGAGGTGCTCCATTACAAGATCATCGACTTCCTTTTTCCTGTTGGCATCAACACAATCCATTTATTATCTTTTTCAATAAAATCATTAGCAAGCAAAAGATAAAACATCCCATGTTCAATTCAATCTTCACTTTTCGAGACATCACTCAATCAAATAGAATTTTTTTTTACTACACTGCTACTGAATTATCATTTTACTGTAAAAGGAGGAACGAGATGACTGCTTAAGTATTTCATCAGAGCCATACAGAGATCCTTTGCAATTTAATCTTGGACACTGGTGAAAATATCAATGACCATCTCTGAATTTTTCAAAGGTGGTCAGTTTCGTATCCAGTTTTTTGCAAATATCAATTACTCAATATATTCTCTCACCTTTCGGAGAGGTCAATGTCCAATTTTTCCTCAATTTGTTGGCGTACTTTTTTGGCTGACATTGTTGTCAAATCGGCATCCTTGAGGATAGCTGTGGAATTGAAAATAACATAATGATCCTTCAACACATTTTTATCAATTAAACAAATTTATTATCATTAATTTATCCATACATAGCCACTTAGGCTTTGGATATATGTTTATAATAGTCAGAGATTTTTATGTGCCTAAAATTAAGCAAATAAGAGAGATAGTAAATTCTGAGAATCAAATGTCAAAAAACAATAATCAGCATGATAGTACATTATGTCAGAAAATTATATAATTAATGAGTTTAAAAGAAAACACGATAAGGGGAAAATTGGATAATGGTATTTGGATGGATTTTACAACATGAATAATCAGAGGGGAAAATCATGCGATGAGATCGGCAGAATGAACCAGACCTAGGTTTCAATGCTCATTAAAGGAGTGAAAAGAAATGGAATAAAAAGGAAAAATCAAAGGGGAAAAAATCTTGTAATGGCATCGGTATGCATTGCTTGTGGCGGGAACGCGCCAAAGTATCGAACGTAAATGGCGGACGCGGATTGTACAATGTACATTTAGTTTCAAGGAACGGAGCGCGTCATTGCCAACCACACAAGATAGCACCCTGCCGACCGGTCGCAGTTATTTATCAAACGAATGTTAAAAACTTGGAAAATACATTCCCCACCCCATTCAAGTTGCTTCACCCAAAATCCCCAAGCCTCCTCCTCCACAAAAAAAAAACATCGCGTGCTGCCATCGAATTTTAAACTCAAGCCATCGAAACGGTAATAACTCCTAAAAAATAATCTCAGCGTAAATTCAATTACAGATAAAGCCGAGGTTCCTGTGAAAAACCGATGACAAAAATACAGAGACCGATAGGCACTTTATCACGAAACATACAACTGTGTAAATTCTATCTCCATGCTATTGCGAGCTGGCAATATTCTCAACGTACAAGTCTATCGGAAATTTGAAAATTGAGAAAATGGATATTGGCGAAGCTGAGCAAGCCCTGCCGAGAGGCTATTTAACGGATGAAAAAAAAAATAGTGAACACGTCGCAAAAGTGGAGAAGAAAAAATCGTATAAAAATAGAAAAATTAAGATAGATAATGGAGATAGCCTGGAGATGTACTCTTGGTGTATTTTTTTAATGTAGAATGAGCAATGAGTATTGAATGTACAATGGCCGGCGTGGGGCACACCAACAACGCGGAGACTATGTCTCTTGCAATACAATGCGCGTAGGTAAAGAGTAAAGCTACCGTTTTCGTCCCATTTTGCCACGTCAAAATGATGAAAAAAATTCATCAATAATTAGCCTTGCCACGGATATCATGATTATTGGGGGATTAATAACGTATTTATGCTCGAGTATTAATGTACGTACCGGTGATCTCTTTACGAAGCTCGTCCTTGGAGATATCGGCCATAATGCTGTTGCTTGTTACTCGATGTGCGTTCTGCTGCCTACTGAGCCAAACTGCTAAAGTCGCTTCAAGACGCTAGTCGTTTCTAGCCAGCTAGAGCCCCTAACGGCTATAGCGTCCGTTTGTACAGTTCCCGCCAAAAATTTAACGCCAACCCCTCACCCTCAACACCTCATATTACAAAAAATACCATCGCCACCTCTTACTAATTCTCTCAAATCTTCATCAATCTGTTCACTAATTCTGGCTATCTCTTTCAAAATTTCATCGCCCAAATAATTATCGGAGGAATAAAATGGCATATGCAATTGTGCTGAATAATTCACCGAGTAATTGTCAATGTGACTGTACACCAAACTCTCATCCCAAGCGTTGACTCACACGGCGCAGTACCATAGCCGCAGATCATTGTGGAACACCCACTAAAATAACTCCTCTTCATTATTAAATATCTTTTAATGAACGATATTTAACGACTTATGATGTACACCGAATCGTGACAACTTTTTTTTCTAGAGGTTTTTCTTTACACGCCCCACGACCAATTCCGATGTTTATCCTCTCGATTTTGGATTTTTTACCGAGAGTTTGATCCATTTTTATTCTCGTATCGTACAGCGGCTAGTCAATGGGTATATCGCGCTCATCGCCCTCCATAATCCATAGTCCATAAAATTACATAGGACTGCCCATGCTTACTTGTAGGGACGATAGAGGGCGGCAGTTGCTGGAAGAGGAAAAAAACACAAAGGAAAAATTATAATCTTCAGTTTTTCGAATATTCCCGCGCTGTATTATCGAATAAAAAAAAGTGGAGCGATAAAAAGAGTCTTTTATAATGGATTATCTTGGCTATCGTGATATAAAATGAATAATCGGGAAATATTTTCATTTCTTCAATTTCCACGATAAAATTACTCTTTTCAAACATATGAGATGCGTCACCTCCGGTTACAGACGGAAGTGAATGCCTAGGACATTCAAAAATTCACAACGTTCCACAGATTCGACAGGGAGAAATCTTTTTATTAATTATTCTTCATTTTTTTCCGACCGCTTTTACGCGTGATTACTGAGACAGGGAAATTTCTCGCTGGAATTGAGTATAAATAGTCTCTTGTTTTGATATAAACATTCCTTACGATCCAGTTACCGCCATTTTCACCGGCCCAAGTCGACGAAATCCTTTGTCTATTGTCAGTTCCCTTTATCAAGGCGAGTTGTGCGGATGTTGTCCACCTTCATCGGTAATTATACACTCATCGATAAATACAATATAACGAAGATAGTGAATTAAAAAAACAATAATGTATTTATAATTGTTCCAAATAAAAATGCTCAACGTTTCGTGGAAAACTACATCTTGCATTCCACAAAACCTGGATATCGGGTTGCAATTTTTTCTGCTGTGTGACCACGTGTTGATGAAAATTTTCGCTTTATCTGTAATTGTTACAGCAATTTGGCTTCTTATCAAAATCAAAATTGGGCAATAAGACAGAAAATTCCGGTGACGTACGCAGCACAAAAATGCCGGCATCGAGCAGAAACACCGGACGGTGAGGCACATTTTTTGCTTTTTTTTTCGAGTGCGTGTAGTTCTGAGGGAAAAAAGAAATGTTTACTTCCGAATGAACTCTTTCATCTCCTGTTTCACTTGGTTATACTCTCGGATATTCATTGGAGGTGATAAATGCCTTGTTTTCTATTCATTTTTAAATATTTTTTTTTTTTCCACAGATCCGAAGAGGATTACTCCTTGTTTGTCACCAACTTGCCGGTTGAATTAAATCAGGTGGATGAAATACTATATCGATTTATCAATAAATGCAATCAGTAACAAAGAGATTAAACTCAAGAAAAATATTGGAATTGTCATGAAAATTTGTAGCGGTAATTTATTTTTACAAAAAAACAAATTCTCTTCACTAAACTCGAATCAAAGTTACTTTTTCCAGATAAATTTACTCCCTACTAGTAAAAGTAAAATATTGAATAATCAATGAATATTTGCATTTGAAAAATATGCATTTTTCTTTATTTATCAAATTTACTCAGCGAAAGTATTCTCTCTATTAAAAAAAATAGGATGGAATTAAGAAGATCTTCAAAGAATACGGTCCTGTGAAGGCGATAATGGCTCGCAGCGAGGGGCAGTTTGCATTTATTTCATACGGTACATACGCTGAAGCTGAGAATGCAATTACATCGCTGGACGGACAGCCCCCGTTGTATTTGAAAGTGCAGTTTCGTCGAAGACATGATTCAGGGCAGCGCGAGGAGCACGAGCCCCCACAAATATCAGAAGAACTGTGTCCAGTGGCCCCTCCAATTATTCCCAGGAGCAGTGTAACGTATTCTCAATATCCGGGTCATGGGTCACCAGTTGATTTGCTCCGCAACAAATTTTCTCCTCATCACTATCACATTCCTCCAGCCTATCCAGTGCTGCCTCCACATTTCATCCAATATCCTTACGAAAGGATCAACTATCCAGACACAAATGCCCTATGGACGAGAGGATCTATGACTCTCGACGCTGCAGGACGCAGACACATAACAATGGGCAGGGGATATACATCGTACAATATTTCAGAGCCTCGAGCGAGGATCATTGAGGATATTGGAAAAGTCTACGAGAAACGATGTGCAGGGATTTATGAATTTGGATCAGATGATTGCAAAGGGTCTTTTGGAAAATGTATGTATTGCTCGAGACATGCCACATTGTGCTGTTCAATGTGTGAGGGATTTTACTGCAGTCGAGCCTGTCAAACTGGTGATTGGCCAAAACATCAGGCAGTCTGTGCGAAAATTCCCCCTCTAGTTGGTGCCAGCTTTCAACAACGTCAGTCTGCCGAAGAGCCAGAGGCAAAAGATTCAGTAGTTTCTCGAGCAAATGTCGAGGTGAAGTCGCCGAAGGTACTTAGCCAGCCAGAACCGACCAGAATTGAAAGCAAAGTAGAGGAAAAGCAGGGCAGGACAACTCTTCGACGTCCTAAATCAGTGATGGAGCCAAATTCAGTGAAAGTTGGGGTCCTCGAAAGATCTCAGAGCATACCATCTGGTATTATTACACCACCGGTAACGCCGAAGACATTTGCAACTTCAGCAACTCCTGTGACTGCAGAATCACTCCCAACTGCACCACCTCCTGGCACACCAACACCTGCTGTAAAGCCAACTCCATTTGTCATGCCACAACCAACGAAAACTCTTCACCAGGATTCACCTCCTCAGATTGAAAATCTGATGTCAAATCAAGGTCTGGACGTCAAAGCAACTCCATCAACTCCAATAATAAACACTTCTGCGACAGAAACTGTCGTGGATATTACTGACATGAGGATTCATTCACCAGCTGCTAATTTCCTGTCCTCCTCGAGTTTCACCGAAGTGCAGATCACTTCTGTGAAGGAACCTGGAAAATTATTCCTCGTCCAAAAGATGGAAGACTCTGAGAAACTTACTCAACTCATGGAGAAACTCAACGAAAGCATCCAACAATGTCAGGTAGTTAATAAGCCAATGGTTGGGTCAATCTATGGAGTGATCTACGATAATATCTGGCATCGAGGTCTTCTGCTGTCATTGAATCCTCTAATGGTTGATTACATTGATTGGGGGACAATCGAAGAGCTGACAGACTCTGGGAACTTCTTCAGAGCTATTGGGAGCTTGGCAGAGCCTCCGAGATTTTCACAGATCATTAGACTGCCACAGAAATATGTCAATGAAAGCCTGGAGATTGATTCTATGATATCAGTGAAACAGATTAATGTAGAGATAGTGAATAACTCTGAAGTTATTAATGTGGAACTGTTGGAAGCGAAAAAAACTCCAGTTGCAGAGCTAGTGGTTGAAGCAGTATCATCAGCCACCGAGCAAGAGAAAAAGGAAGCAGAGACCTGCACCTCCAGGAAACCTCCAAGCGTTTTGGATTCACTGACTGCAGGCATGAAGCTTGTTGCAGTAATTGCCCATGTAATTGACAATAAGACAGTGCGAATCGTTCTGAATTGCGAGGCCATTAACGAGTTATTGGAGAGTCTCTTTGTTCCATTCAAAGAAAATTGTGAGGGAAGAGCTCCAGGTTACGTGGATTATCAACCACATGTTGACGACCTCGTTGCTGTAAAAAAACCCATGGATGAGTACTGGGTACGTGGTTATGTCTTGAAATGCCAACCGGAAGCTATAGAAATTGCCTCTCTCGATGAAGGCATCGTCATCACTTCTACGGAGAAGATTATCCCGCTTGCTCCTGAATACAATGATGTCTGTATTCTCTCAGTCACAATAAGTTCTGGTTCGGATAATTCCCTGCCTTCCCTCGAGACTGGAAGTATGATTGATTTGAAAGTGACGGCAATCAAGACCTCTGACAGCACAAATTCTGATGCTAGGACTGTGGAAGTGGCCATGAGAGATGACAAGTCCACCATAACGAGAGGATTGCTGTTGACCGAATGGGCTCCATGGAAGGAAAGACCATCTGAAGTCGCTGTACCTTTAATGCCAGAGGCGCCTGTACAGTTAGCATGTGCAGGTCAGGCAACAATTCCAGAATTAGTGGGACAAGCGGAGGACTCATCATTAACTACAAAAAAGATTGTTCAACGAGTTGAGTTAAAGCATAATACCATCGTGATGATCCAATCCTATCGCAGCCCCAGTGTGATTTTCGTCCGAAGTCTTGAATCAGAGGAAATCGAGAGACATGCTCAATTAGTACAGGATGTAGCTAAATCTGCGCTGACTTCTCCATCACTGAAATCATACCCGCAAGTTGCTGAGTACGTTCTAGCTCAGTTCGTGGATGATAACTTTTACAGGGCCATGGTGATCTCTTCAGACATGGACTCCAAAGAGATTAAACTGCTTTACATTGATTATGGTGACATTCAGGTGACGACACTGGATAAATTGAGAGTTATGCCAGAATTCCTGATGAACGAGATCTGTTGCGTGAAGAAGGTGAAGCTGTACGGTATCAAATCAGTTCCTCCAACTGAAGAGGCCATCACTCATTTGGCAAAAGCTGTTACGAATGAAGAAACATTTGTTTACGAGTTCCATAGCTCAAGCAAGGGTGATGACTACGTTATTCTGAAAAGTACAAGTGGAGAAAGTCTCAACGATGAAATTAATCTCTACTTGACCCCAACGTGGGAGCGCGAGGATAATAATAATAAGGAGATTCCAAAGGAGCACGACGAGATGACAATCGCTCTCATGAGTAATCGCACGTACTTTTCATTAAATGACATGGAACCTGGAAAGCTGGGGAAGGTCGGTGAAACCGTCCCCGGTCTATTTCTCGAGACCATCTGTCCAGGAAGCAAGTACATATTCGGGCCTGAAGACAGGGAGATGATCGTCCACATGACGACTGTCATGCCAGAGATGATGAAGAAATACAGCGAGTCAACCGGACATTATATTCCACGTATTAATGAACTCTGCATTGCTCTTTTCGAGGATGGGGCTTGGTACCGAGGCTGTTGCATTACTCCAGAAGCTACAAAGACGTCAGCTATGATATTTTTCCTCGATTTTGGAAATTCAGCCGATGTTTTGTATACGAACATCAGAGAGATGACGAGGGATTTCTTGAAGCCAGAGGCTTTTGGTTCTGTCTGCTGCGTATATGATTTTATGGACTCGACAGGAGACGTTGCACCACAGGTGCAAGCGAGGCTGGAGACTCTTCTTGAAGCCAATGGTAGTTACAACGTTCAAATTGTCAGCTTTGATGGGAATATGTATGACATTAAATTGCCAGATATTCGGGCTCAACTCGTAAAGGAGGGTTTACTTCAATCATGAATCAACAGTGTCAACTGATATTGGAGTATTTGTGTACTAAAGAAAAACACATGGATACTTATTTAAGCTTTTATTTTCTTTCAACTGTTTAGTTTTCATTTGTAATTCATGCAAGATGTATATTTTCTTATCTTTTCCTTTTTTACATTTTTATATTTTAAGTTATTCATTGATTCCTCGAAGGAAAATGAAAATGAATATAAAGCGTTCGTCAATAAAATATTGAATACTACGAAATGTTGAATCTGCTTTTATTTCGCTCGAATTTCGCTAGTAAAATGGAATTTGAAGTTCGGCTGTCGTCGGCTTGTATCGGTAGCTATATGTTCTCGTATTATGGAGTGGGGGAAAAGTGCAAACGTTTCTCAGTGAAAGAAGGATTTTTGATGTGGTGTGAGCGACTTGTTCTGTTCTCTGTGGAAAAGGGTAATTTATCACCATTACGAAGTTTCAGGATCCACTAAGGATGGGTCCCACCGTCCTTAGCTCATCCCAGGAATCAGCTCTTTATGACGAGGGGGTTTTCAAGGAAATTCAAAAGCACGTGTAAGTGGCGTCAAACAGACGCTATCTCTTTATTCAAAAAGCCCTAATCTCCTCTTCGCATTGATGTCGTCATCCATCCTCAAGTGGCTTTCATCAAATCTCACCCATTCCTATCCTCCCATTCCTCATTTGCATTTCTGTTTGTCTTTGATTTTTTTCTCAAGATGTAATTGTGGTTTGAGGTTATCAAGACGTCATCCACAGAGTCCGCGGGTAATTGACTGTTCATTGTTGAATTTTTTAGTGACATTGACAATTTGCCAAATCTCGAGGAGGACGAACTTGTGGAAAGAAAGTATGACTTGACGAGACAAGGGTCGATTGTCAATAATTTCCAAATGTCTACAATGGGTAACATTCCGTATCACTTGTCAACGCAGATGAATATGAACATTCCAATCAAGGAAGAATTCCCGGGGGAATTCAATTTTGATTTATTGCTAAATAGTCAAGGAGCTGGAAAAAATTGTGTGGTGAGTTAAAAATCATAATTGATTATATTAATTAAACAATTGTCACTATGAAAGTCATAAACAAAAATATTTCAAGTAGTTTTTTATTTCATTATCGGCTTTTGAGAGTGATTAAAAAAATCTAATGCATTGTGAATGAAATTTCTAGTTCTCCCAGGAACTGCGGAAAGTGTTCATTAACATGGAACAAACTTTACCCTTGAAATTTAAATGGGATCCTCCAGTAGACGGTCTCTGGTTGAGGACAACCATGGTATTTTCCATGGATCAGTACCGGACTGATCCAGTGGTGCGTTGCCACAATCATATGGCAACAAATAGTGTATCAAATCAGAATATAGCAGAGCATGTGTTGCGTCATGTGGTACGTTGCACCCACCTCGACAGCATCTATGAGGAAATTAGTGGACATATGTCTGTCTCAGTTCCACTGGGTACACCTCAACCAGGTTGTCGTTACGTACCTCTGGGATTTCAGTTTTTTTGCAAAAACAGTTGCTCATCTGGGATGAATCGTCGTCCAACTGAGCTAGTATTCACGTTGGAGAACCACCAACGACAGGTTTTGGGGCGCAGAATTTTACCCGTGAGGGTTTGCAGTTGTCCAAAACGAGATAAAGATAAAGAGGAGCAGGAAAGTGGAGATTCAATCGCTCCCATGCCTGGCAAGAAACGAAAGTTTCCCTTGGGATCTCAACAAGTAGTGCATGCCCATTGTCCCCCTGGAAAAAAGCCTATGCTTTCTCAAGTATCTGCATCAAACTATGATGGACGTGAGTACAATCTATCCATCAGAATTCCAGGGAGAGAAAATGCCCAGGCCATCCTGAATTATGCATTTGATCGGCTTGCTGGAGATGCAGTGAAGAGTGGGGCATATCAACAGCTTGCACCCTACATGGAAGTCCTTTTGAAGAAAATTAATCAATTGAAGTAGGCCTCGTTATTTACTATTCGATCATTATCCATTATTCTTTTATGATTATTTTTTATTGTACTTTAACGAGAAATTTATCTCCCTTCGTTCGTTTTACAAGTTGTTTAGAAAATACAAGCCGCCCATTTTAGGGTTTAATTATTATTAATTTTATCGTAAACGATTGACTTTACGTGTACGTCTGGTTATTATGCCAATTTTGATAATAAAGCCCCAGTGCCTTACCATAATAATTATTATTTTAAATGTATTGTATTCTGACTGTTTGGATTCCTTGTTCTTTCATTTATATACAATAAATAGAACAGGATTTTTTCATTTTTATAAATCAGTTGTGTAAATGAAATTACTGTAATTTTCCTGTTAGTTAATTATTGTGGAAATGTTGAAAGACATTTATAAGAGTTGCTCAGATTGTAGTTGAGTTATTTCAATGCGAATAGAGTCAATAGCGTCCACCGGAAGTTGTGCTTGCTGAGATGAATATTTCTGAAGATTTGCATCATTCGTTCTCAATACTTGTCGCTGAAGTTTCCACTCTTTTTTATCAGATGTCCATGCATTCAAAAGCCATTTCATGGGAGTCTCTCCAGTACCCATCATCCAAGCCATTCCGTTTTCGTACTAAACAATTTGTAACAATCATATCAATAATATTAAAAATAGAATAATAACTAAAAGATTTTTTGTCTGAATGTTTTATTGTCAGTATCTATGAGTAAGAATCGTAACGAGAAAAAAGTAATCTAAAAAAAAAATATTTATCAAATTATACTTAATTTAATCCACCTGAAGTAAATTAATTTGGTAAATTGAGAACAGTTTCAACTTGTGAATTTTTACCTGAAAAATAAAAAGCTGTCCAGCATGATGAAAGATAAAGATTGGATTAGAGTCGGTTGATGGAGATACTGATATTGTCGCACTGCTGACGTACAAATGCATTTGGTTTTTGCAATTGTGTACAATTGCCAGATGGTCTGCAAGTCGATCTTGAGTCAATGGTTCTCTGCAGTCACTCTGGATAAATAATGGACATACGAAGAGATTATTGCTGGGTAGAGATTCCATGGATCCACCCCACGACGGGGTCATGGGGATATTCAGGTACTGTCCTGACTGCGACGTCTTGAGTTCTCCACTCGATTCATTATTTTTCAAGACTCTTTTATTGTCACGTAATTCACCAGTACTCGCGGATTTAGTCCGATCTGCTTTTGTCAATTCTCCAAGTCTTTTGAATGCCGCTTGTGCTGTATGAGTCTGACTTTTATCCTTTTCAATAAAATTTTCAAAATTTATCGTTAAATTATCCGCTGACACTGCTCGATCGAATCCACCTGAGGGTTCAATAAAATATTAATATTAATTTATTAAATATTAATATTAATATGTTCATAAAACGGTAGGACGACAGGTATGGAAAATAATTTTCCATTGTTTTTCATTGCATTTTTCACTTCTTCGAAAATCCCGAAAGAAGAGAATTGGGTAATTGTCAAAATATTGAATATTTGTATGAAAAAGAATGATGAAAAGTATGTGATAAATATAAAGTATATTTACCTACCTCTAAACAACCGTGAAAATTGCGACTTGTATTTCTTTATGTAGTTCTCAGGCTCGTCATATGATTTTGACGAAATAACGCCGAATAACTTTTGCTTCAACGAGTGATTAGGTGGAATATTTACTGATTCATTGACAGGGATTTTGCTATGATCATCATCGAAAGCTTCTCTGATACTCCGTTGGATCTCATCAGCAATGAGACATCTACCCTGACCCAATCGTACTCGACATACAGGACACCGAAATGTTTTTGTTCGACAAGGGGAGCACAATATGTGCCCATGGACACATTGAGATATAGGAGATGCTGCAGTTTCCAGACAGACTGGACACTCCAATATATTAACAATCGCGGATACAGCCTTTAAAAACTTCCTGATTAAAATAGGAAGTGGCCCTGTGAGAGCTGCGCCTTCAGTGCCATTCAATTTTTTTCTCGTCTGGCTGTCGTTTCCTTCGCTACGCCATACCTGAAGATTTATCACTCCTCCTGATGATTCTTTCCTGATTAATGATGCTATCTCTTGCACTCGAAGACCTACAATGTCCACTTGATCTATTTGTAAAAGGCAATCGCCAGTTCTATAGAAACAATAACAAAGTCTAAAGAACATCATCATTTTATTAATAATTTTATTTAATTAATTTCTTATTCAATGATGGATAAATAGAATTGATAAATCCATATGCAGTGATTATGAATGTTTAAAAAACAGGAGAGACACAAAGCTGACTCGTTTTAAACGATTGTAACCACGAGATTTCAAAAATTATTCCAACACTTACTTCAATCCAGCTATATCAGCAATACTTCCGGGTTCAACATGTCCAATCCAGGGATAAGGATCCCATTTAGATCTCGTTAAATGAAATCCACAAGTCTTTTTATCGTCTCTCGCTGAATCGCTTTCTTCAATATTCAAAGTTATTGTTATCCTACAAGTGGAAATTAATGGAATCGTCATGATTTCAGTAGCTTAAATCATCCAAATCAAAATTGGCGATTGTATTTTATAAAAAAAAAATTTCACAATCACTTCACATTTGTTTATGGATGTATTGTTTAATATAGATTTTCTCTTAGTTGTTTTTTGAGAGGACAAAAATACACATGAGTAATGAGTCATAAAAAAGGAGAAACTCGATGAGATCCTCCTCGAGTTCAAATTCACAACTGACATATAGTACAGACGTCTTCACTATAACGTGTTGATTTGACCATCAAATTTCAATGAGTTAAATGACTCGTTTACCTTCACCCAATTCTTCCGGCCAATCATGACATTGACTCCATAATAACTGGTGAATGGAATTTTTCAAATGTTACACGTCTCCATGTTGTTTCTTCTTTGTAGTTATTTTCAAGGCTTTCCATTTTTATTAACACACTTTCTTTTTATTAAATAGTCTATCAATCGTAAATTCAACAAAAGATTATTCCCTTAACTAGTTAGATTAAAAATATGCGTTTGTTAGGAGTTTTTCCCGAGCTTTTCCAGAAATCCTATACACAATGTTTTTTTTTTCTGTTGATATTACGAAAATATTCAGCTTTTTGACCTTTTTCAAATATACAAGGAATGCAACAAATTTTTATTTTTCCATTCGAATTAGTGAATCAAAGTAGCAGAAAAATGGAAAAAAAGCGTAAAATAATTTATGTCACGATTTTTTTGCTTGATTTCAATAAAAAAAAATCACAAGAATAATCAAAAGAAGTTCTATAAATCAGTAGTTTTGTACCGAATGCTCTAGGTCACGCTGTAAATTTTTTTCGTGCGTGACAGCGAAAATTCTCAAAACAAAATTTATCCACCCAATTATTGATACAAAATGTTCAAACATTGATTCAATGTGTGCAACGTCGCATGAGCAGTGGCTTTTAGGACTAAAAGTTCATGATCAAGATGGAAGATCGATCCCTCGATAGTTTGGGAAAGGGTTTGAGTCTGTTTTTCAACTTTGTTGAGCTGTTCCCGACAATTAGCAAAAGCATCAAGAACTTCGAGTTTGGCAACTGGATGTCTCGATGCGTTGGCGGAATGTTCTCGTGGTGGCAAGGGTGGATGACTGCTGGCGATAGCTCGAGTGTACATTTCAGTAACTGCCCTTAATTTGTCGACCCACTCCTGTCGAGCTCGAGCATCAGTTGCTCGTAATTTTATCATGTCACCTGCAATTAATTGATTATAATAATTTCAGAAAAGCCAAAAGCTCCTGAAGATTCCCTTCCCCCAATTATCAAAGTGAATTACCAGTTGCAGAGTTGACGGTGAAGGTGTTGGAGTCCTCGTCACTGGGTGCTATGACAGCTCCAGCCAAGTAAATCGAGCATCTTGGCCTCTGATTTTTCTCTGACTCACTCAAAAAGTAATGCAACTCGCCAGTTTCAGGGCTCAATGTAAACCACCTGTACTGCCAACCCTTCATTGCATTCGTGTATTTGTGGAGGAGACCCTCGTAAGGATGTCGTACTTGAGTATTCATTGTCATTGATTTCATTCAATTGACAAAAATTAATACTCATATGTTTAATCGCTGGTTGTTTCCTTCAACACTCAAATAACTTTGCAGTAGGGAACATGGAGCACTCACACCACTGACACTAGTCACTAGTGTCACTTAAAAATTTGAGGTTATGATTCCAACGAAGAGGTAAAGCGGCTAAAAAGCTCCAAGTCCGCCAAGTCGACGGTTCCGAGACAACAAAAAATTTATTGAAACCCTAAAATAATCGAATTTTCTCATTGGTCATACAATCGAGTTAAATTCGGACGAAAGTAATCCATAAAATAGTCATTTTCCACTTAAATCTCTATTTTATCGACTAGTCATATAAAATTCGAAATAAGAAATTGGCTAGGAGACAGCCATGAACAAATGCGTGGTAAATCATCAAGGAGTCTCGGTCGTATCTCTTTAATAAGGAAAACGATGATCAACAGTTTCCCAAGTCAATCCATTGCCCCGAGGTGCATGAGTGGATGGAAATAACACGTGCCTCCAACTTCTCCCTTCGAGACCCAGAAAAATAATCCAATTTCGCCTGGGGCCGAAGTCATAAGGATTGCAGTACTCTCGATTCAGGGCTTTATATTTAGCTGATTCTGTACTGTTAATTCTAGCTTCAATGCTTGTTTCACCCCTAGTTATGAGACCCGCATGCCACCAGGAAAGGGCTCCCAAAGCAGCGAATGTCGCAACGCAAATGAGAGCTGCAAATAAAATCATTCTTCTACGCCACTCTTTTTCTCTAGTTTCCACAGCTTTCTGGGCAATTGCCGCTAGTTCCGACGAGTTCAGGTGATCCATTGATTCGGTCTGGAACATAAAAATATTAAATATTTATTGGGAAAAAGAGTCGGTGAGAAGTGATGAGGTGACAAATACCATGTGAATGATTTCGGAGTTGTTGATCCGCACTGGATGGCCATCGAGTTCGATGTCTTGGTCGATAAAAAAATCCTTATAAGCTATTTCCACTCCAAATATCATGATGAACACGATTCCAGTGACGGTGAAGGCCATGTACTGAAAGAAATGCCGATGATTGTTGTGTCCCACACAATTATTCAGCCATGCTAATGTCAGCAATTAATATTAGAACAATCGATTAAGGAATATAATCCCTTTATAACATCATTACCCCATAATATTATCCGATAATTTGAGATTTTTCTCCCCTCGTAAATCTTCTCCCATTAACAAACATGGACAAACTAAAAATAGATAAGTAAGTAAATAAAATAAACAACGAATAGATCTAGTTTTTATAGGGTTTGTGAATGATAAAGGATACGACAGTGATGATCCATTTTTAAAACGCATCTGTTGCAAATAGAGCAATGATGTGTACGCGGTGGTTTTGGTTTTATACACTTTTTGCAAATGCTGACTGCTTCAGGAATGAGTCCACCCTGTGGTGGGTACCCAGCCGGAACATTGACCCCCATATAATAATGAAAACAAACGTTTATAAGCAACCAATTCCCCACCAGTAACAGGAGAATTGTTGATAAAGGACTTTTTTCCCACCAGTAGGGAAGTCCGATATAATACGCTATATACACAATAGCAACACTTAATGTCGACACCATAATGACCAATATCTGCAATAACAATCAATAAAATTCATAAACAAATATTGTACACATGACAATTTATCAGGAAAATGATAGTGGAGTGATTGGAAATGATTGATAATAATTATATACTGACTGGACCTAAAACTGCTGTAAAATTTTCAACAAACCAACAAATTGGCTCCATCATAATATCACAGGCATATCCCCAACTCATAAAATCATTGTAAAATAGAGTGTTCAAGGCTATTTTGAATCGTGTCCATTTGGTTTGCACATTGATTCTGAAATAAAATTGATCATTAAAATTATATATTTTTGGTGGTTCCAGGTGACGAGATTCCATACCGTAATATCCTTGGAAATCCGAGGAGAACCCATTGAATTTTAACCATTTTGTTGATTGACTTTTCGAATTTTTACTAAATTTGTAAGAAGAATGAGATGAGTGCTGAATGCATATCACAGAATTTGCATTCAATATGCATTTAAATTGAAGTAATTTCTGTTGTCACTGAATTTTACTAAATATCACCGAATTTCAAAAATAAAATCCATTTTTCTATGTCTCAAATATTGAATCCTGTGTGCAATAAATAAATAGATGATAATAAACTGGAATTGTTCTATCGACTCCCGAATAATTATAATAGTAATTGCCATGGCATTGCAAAACTGGTGAACTGTAGATAAAGAGAATTTCTCCGTTCACTGAAAAAACAGAGCTCTACATAGCCATTTGTGCATTTCAAACGATATATAAAAAAAATTATTTGAAAATCTAAAAGGGATAAATTGTTCAGACAATTCCGCCTATTGATTATTCCGAATTTATTTGGACACAATATATGAAATTTCAATTATTTCTGGAATACCTTCTGTACATTTTAGTAAATTATCTGTTTATTAGAAGTTCTCATACATTTTTTTATTGTGTTGTGCAAGTAATTATCCATATAATAATAGTTTAACGGAGAATCCTCAAAGTTCAAATTGATATGAAGAAAAAGTGAAGTGAAAGAACTGAGCACAGGCTCAATGCCAATAAAATTACTGCAATAATTCATAGGAATCCTACATGATTTCTAAAAGACTGCACAAGTCAGGGTAACGAGTTGTAAATTTGTTGGATTTCCATTATTATTTGAAATCTATATAATACTAGTGAGATTGATTGTAATCGTGGCTTTCAGTAAGAGACCAAAGCAATATTTACTGTTAATTATCAACATTCCTCGACGTTTTATGCGCAGATGTTCTGAAAGCCCTTTCTTTTGGTGCACTTCTACTGAAATTTATATTTAAATATTCATAATTTCATAATAATAATTATCCATGCAGCATTTTGCTCTCATTAAATTTCCTCGGATATGAATTCATGAATTCTAAATCTTCTCACTCTGCAGTAATTATTCTACGGTTGATTGTTATCGAATGAGAAAGGTACTGAACAGTAAAATTTGTGCGATTGCATGGGCAATGCATCTGTTAATTCAAATTGATTTATAACAAGATTATAATGAATGTATAATAAATAGAATCTCTTCTCTCCATTTTTCCACCGCACAACATTTGAATCATAAATTTTCATAATACTGTGTCGAGAGTATCTAAACTCTGGAGAAGTTGTTCGTCCTTTGAACACCACGTGACAAGCTCTTCGATTGTGACAACCCCGTCTTTGTTCGTATCCATGAGCTGTGGGGAAAAGAAGAGGAATGAAAGCATTGAAAATAGAAGGGACGACTAATATTTGTGACTATGTGAATTACGTGAAAAATACGGTCGACGTGTTCTCTCGCTGCCAGCTGGGGCTCTGCGATTTGTGGTTGGGTGTAACGACCTAACATTTCGTATATGGATCCAACTACATCGAGCATTTCCTCTTTACTTATTAAACCATCACCGTCCAGGTCGTAAAGACCGAAAACCCACTGGAGTTTCTCCTCCACAGATCCTCGGGATACTTTTGACAGAATCGAGAGGAACTCCTGGAAGCAACAAATATGCGAGTGATTATTATTCTGGTGAATATCATTGGCTCGTTTGTCCTCACCTCAAAACTGATTTTCCCAGAGGGTTTTCGCTTCATCGTATTGAAGACATAGTGTGCGTACTGGCTGGCATCTAGATCAAGAGCAAAAAAAGCCGCACGCCAAGTATTATCATCATCAATTTATAGAATTTCGTATACAATATAATGGACAATGGGATAGTTATTCCATTTTTCAACGAAATTGCACCCGACACAACATGTTCTCCTGAATCTCTCTTAAATCAGGAGAGCTGCATCTTGAATGCTTAATGACTTTTTAGTAAAGATTTGAAAATCAACGTAGATACTTATATTTTCATTAATACATATTTTGTAACTTATAGTTTTTTTATCTCAAATAAAGTATCGGCAAAAATGTCTATGTCGATATGCTCTGTTAAATTAGAGATATAGAGGGAAAAATAGGGGAGAAGAAAAATGCAATTGCTTTGGGTAAATAAATGCTGGTAACTATAGCCGCATGCGACCTTGTGTAAAATAGTATTAAATTGGCTTGGTAGCAGGTAAGTAAAAGACTAGGATGAAATTTGACCTGCTTTCAGAGAATTAGCCTGCGGGCCTCTCGAAAAACTCACCGCCCTGGGGGAAGAACTGAGAGAATATCTGCTTGAAGCCCTCCTCATCAACAAGACCAGTGGGACATTCCTGTTTGAAGCCACGATAGATGAGTTGAATTTCCTTCCTAGTGAACCTCGTAGTTTTGGCTAATGTTGCTAATTCCTCGGGCCTGTGACGACCAGCTAATGCAATACTTGCTGCTGCAGTGGAACCCCCTAAAACGTCCGCCACATCCTCAAGCTCCTCCTCTGCAAGAGTCCAACGAGCCACAACTGCCAAGACTGTACCATCTCGTCTCGAGACATTAACTCATACCATCCAGTAGCTACTTTATCCATTTATTATACAATCTAAATTCACCATTCCATTTACTTATGTACATTTTTTTTTCTACTTACACAAACCAAAGAATAAATTTTCTCGGGGCACTCCCGTGTGAAATAGAAGAGAAAAGTAATTAATATAGGATTTATTCATAGATTCATGTCGTCAGAAACGTGCGGCGAGAAAGAAAGAATTAGGATCAAAGGGGATGGTACACTGTTAGATAAGTACTTTTGAAATTTTCCATTTTAGAAATTTCGAATTTAATTTCTCCGGAATGAGACAGAGTTAAAATTTTTTAAATAAAAATTTATGAGGTCGACAGTTCACATGCAGTCGTTACTCAAATTTCAAAAATTTCTAACAGTGTAGAGCGACCTAGAGCAAGAGAAAGAGACAGAAATAATCTATGTGCGGAAATAATAGTGAAGGAGTGTGTCCTGAAGAAATCTTGAGTGGGGTCCATCCACCATCGGGGGATGTATTTATGTGTAGATCTGGAGAAAGCTACTCAACACTACTCTCGCGAATTCGGGGACAATCAACCTCAATTTCCCTCCAGAAATGGCTGAAAATTTACAGAAACTCCAAGGGACGAATCAATAGTTGGCAAAGTGGAAGGAAACAGATTCATACGTGATTTTTGTTGCTCCCATGCTCAAAAATGTAGAATTAAGTGTGATTTGCATGCTCCAACAGTTGACTAGTCAACAATCATTTTAATTCCATTGGTATTTGTGAGTTCATTTCTGCGCTTCTAGTGTATACATATTGTTTATTTTTATCCATCCGGTTCCTTCTCTGTATTTTTCAATAAAAAAAAATTTGGTAAAGGAATCTTTGCATTTTGTCCGATTTGAGAACACTTTTTTTTATTTTATCGCATTGATGTCCAAAAGGTATATATTAGGTATCCACCAGTGGAATATTTGTATATGCTTTTGTACATTTGTATATTTTGTTTTTGTTTATTTAAAAATTGATTCTAAAATAAAAAATACGACGCAATTCCAAGAGGAAATATTTTTTTTAGTTGAATTCTTTCGTTTTTGGAATTTCCAAATGAATCCTTTGAGATATATTCAATTAAATTCGGGAGTTAATTGAGGGAACCACGGGCCAATATTGAACCAATATTCAGCCAACCTTGGAGCAACCTTGGGTCAACATTGGACAAATAGCAAGGCCGTAAATTGAAAAAAAGGAATAACGTAATTGTCTTTATCTGGGAACTTGGTCAAGAGAACACTGAATCAAATTTATTTAGCCTTGATTGAATGAAATTGAGCAATCATTGTTTTACGTACATACAGACATTTTTCGAAAAGCGTAATTTTCTAATTGCTTTACAGAAAATTGTTCCTCCTGATCCCAAAGATGGGAAATTTCGAATAAAAAGGTTGATATGCTCCAATTAAAGAGTCATATAACGAGTCTCAAACCCAAAGTTAGCCATCCAAATATGATAAATTGCAAAAAAATAAAATCGGAGAATTACAATGATTACATTGGTAAGCAAAATACAGGAAGATCACTCTGCAGGAATTTGATAAGTAAAATACCAGAAAGTATTGTTTTGCAGATCGCACATGATGTACAATTCATTAGAAAATAATATAAATTTGTAGAAGGAAGTAGGCCCGTTACATCGGTTTATCAAAAATAATAAAATATGAAATGATCGAACTGCAGAGTGGAGATTTGGCGCAGTTGGTTCCATTGGTATCCCGGGCATTGCCGTTACTATGGTAACGGGAGACTGCAGGTTGGAGGGGAAAATTGGAGGGAAGAAACGGGGGTCCCTCTGACTTACTCCTCTTACACCTTTCCCACATCTTGACATCTTTCTCTCACTCACTCTCCCCGATAATTCACTAAATAATCACCTCTTCGCACCATCTGAGGTCGTCATTTTTCACACAGAAAAAAAATTACCAATTGAAAGGCATCCAGGCATCTCTATTTGATTTTCTATTTCCTCAAATCCCTCCTGTATTTTTAACCCCAAGTTTATTTTTTTCAGCATCAGTTGGATTTCATAATTCTAACTTATTCCGTTGAATAACTTTTTGATTATCAAATCATCTGAGCAATTATTGTCGAGTGGGTACAGTCATGTGTATGTGCGTATGTGGATTTTTTTTCATGATTATTGACATTCCGAAAACTTACTTTTTTCACGACCTTTTCGCACTGCTTTCATCGCTGACTACTTGATATTTTTTCAATCTTAGAGATGATCTTTCAGGACCAGAATACCTACTCATGTATGACTTATCTTGGCAAATAGTTGTTTTTCCAGGAAGATGATGTACTTGTACTTGGTGTGCAACGATTCACTACTGCATAAATACTGAGTGGATAGTTCACGCATAAACCTTCGGTCCATTGTAGGCTGTGACGTTTATATATGATCTTGCGCACAACTTCCTGTGAAAGCCAATGTTTTCATTACATTTTGAACTATTATCCATTATATTATACATTGCTGGGGATTACTCTCTGTATTATTTAATTATCCAGATGGATCTCTCTATAGAGGGTATACCTATAGATGGGCTGCCTTTCAGCTTCTAATTGATGGAGTTGATGGTTGAACGAGTCGTTAATTAATTGTTCGACTTCTTCACTTCTGGACTGTTATTAATTATTAATTAATATTTGAAGGTATTTCGAGGTAGAGAAATTAGAAGAGGAGTGAAAATAATACTACATCGTTCAACATTTACTTTCGTCGATTAATCATTTGTACCAATTATGAATTTCTAAATGAGGATAACACTATTTCTATTGAAATATTGAATTTTTCTGAATTGTTTCTTTTCAAGAGGAATTTTGGAAATCTTGGATATTTTTTATCTTAAAAATAATAATCGTGATAGAGAACTTGAGGTCATAAATAATGTAATAATTTTATAGAGGAATATAATAGTCGTAATTCAAAGGTGAATTGGCGAATTCCTTGGAGATGACTGGATTAAAAAATACGTTATTGAAATAATAAATAAAGCAAATACATTTTATTGAAGAGTTTTTGAATTGTCAGATATCCCTCCTAAAATGTGTCCTATCAGTAATTGGCCAATCTCACGAAATCCTTACGCATTCCCAAGAATTCCGGTAGTCTTCAGAATAGTTATTATCAGTGGACCGCTTAAAATTGCATTTCAGATTGAAATCGTTCGGAACGATTGTCTTCTGGGTTACAAAGTAATTCCAAAAGAGCGGATGTTTGTAAAGGCAAGTACTTGTTTTGTTCTTAATTCTAACGAAATAATTTCTGAAGAAATTTAGTAATGAGGCTCGCCGCTGAGGTGTCGCGAATCGATTCTTCCTCTCGGCAGGAATCGATCCTGATCTCATAATTTTTATTCGCGATAGGAAAAGCGTCAAAGGCACTCAGTGCTGGGTCAATTAGTATAAAAACCATCGATTCCGTAAAAATCATTGTTTCTGGGACCCCATGTAAGTAAATGGACGAATGATAACAATGAATGAAACAACGAAACTCGAAGGACTCTCGTACAAACAGCTTCAAGCACTGGCGATTCGATATAAAGTTCCGGGCAATATAAGAGTACAGTATTCTTCTATTTTAACCTCTTTCAAATAACACGATGACTCTCTTTAACTATTCACTATCTTATTTCATCTTTGACAGAAAAATCTTCTGATAAAAGTCCTCGAAGCTGTGAGGGAGGGCAATGATCTCGAGGTGAATAAGATACTGCGGGAACTGCATCAGACTAGGAAAAAACGTGTTAAAAAATCTACCAAACAATTAGGAAAATTGGTAAAGCTAAAGCCCATAACGAGTTACGGTCCTGAATTTAATAAAGATATTCGATTCGCTGTGAATGTTTCTCAACCACCTCCTGGCTGGGTATGTGATAAAATCCCTTATTTATTTGAATGAGAAGTCGTTTGAGCAGATTTCTTCAGAAACACCTCAATCTATCTCGACTCTCACGCTCAACAAGAAGTTTGAGGCTTGATTAAATGTTGATTAATCTTATGAAGTTCCACAACTTTCCCGGTGAAGACTAAACTTTTTAGCAAATGCCAAAAATTCTGTTCATGCGATTGATGATGAAAGTGCTCTGAGAGCGAATCGAGTTCGAAGGTTTAAATTGGCAGTTGAAACCTTATATACGAATTAGAAACTACATATTCCGTGAAATCGTGCTCGAGCTTTTTTTAATACCGTGACAATAATTTATTGAAACTTGTAAATAACACCGCGTTTCACGAAAAAGTTATTGTCTTCGTTTTCGAGGTTAGAATGTAGAGAAAAACTTTGGAGAAATCAGAAAGCATTAGATAAAATCTCTATTTTATTCGCATCTTTTCATTTTTTTAATCTCTTTTGTAGTTAATATTCAATTGATAATTTATCTTGAATGGCAAGTAGTAGAGAGAAGCAGAGAAAAATACACTAGTCAAGCGAGATACTGTAGTACTAGGCCTATAAGGCTAAGAAAAATAATTAATTAAGAACTTGAGATCACTCGGAGTTCATTTTTCTCTGTTCCTTCAACAACTCACTATCAACTAGACTCTTATTTTCTTGAGAGAATGAGTTTCCCACTTTTTATTTAATGAACCCCGACTAATTCCAACTGATAGAATCCCATCTGGAGTTATGAATATGCAAAAAAATGTGTGAAATGCGTGTTTGAGGCACTTTTTCCCCATAAATTTCAATTAATGTGGTCTGATTAATGAAAAATCAATGACTAGACTAGTCAATCAATGAGAAATAATTTATGATGACCGAATGACATCCTCAGGTGATTAACACTGGAGAAGAGGAAACAGCAACAAGAGATTTGAATGGCGAAGAGAATCGAGCGCAAATACCAATTTATCCGGAATTCAATCAATTCTTAGGAGGAGGAATCCAGGACGACTACTGCTATCATACTAATGCCGTTGGAAATCCCGAGAGATCGACGAGTCCTGGAATCGTTGATCTCAGAATAAATCCCCGTAGAATATGCGAGTGGAACGAGATAGACATTCCTAGAAGGCGTAGATTCACTGATTTTGCTCATCACGAGACTTCAGCGATTGATTACAAACATTACAATGGGATTGAGCCCAGCCACCTCATTCAGTATGAAAGTCCAAGATTACTGAAAAAAATGCTTCAGGCACCAGCAGGAGTCAATTTGAAACAACTAGTCAGCTACGAACAGTCATACGACATACCGACAATGAACAATGAGGTATTCGATGATTCTGACACTTTGACAGCTGACTCTGACATCAATGATAACTTCATGGATCCTACTCATCACAACAACAATTGGTTGGCCAATAGCAACGAAATCCTCAGAGCCTACGGTAATTATGATCCTATAGACAAATTATTATTCATAGATGAATTATTTTTAACGATCATTTTAACGATCATGATAGGTGATCATCGTGTGGAGCACTATGAATTTAATTGCAATGCTTCGACTGAGGTGATTGAAAACTGTCAGAAATGGCTGGCTAGCTCGTCGTCAATGCTAAATAATAAGAATAACAACAACGACAGCAACAACAGCAACAACAGCAACAACGAAACAGTAGACATCGTTGATAATGATTACTACAATCAGAATCAAGTTCATCATCCTCTAGGGGTTATAAAAAGCCACGAGAATTTGTTGTACTATGGAAACCCTGAGGACCAGTACTACAACTTCAATGTCAGTGGAAATAATGACAATCAATGTGAATATCAGCAGCAGTCGCATCCGCAGTACGAGTGCGATATAAATATGGTTGAAGATATAGGACGAGTAGGAGTGGTGTACCATCAGGACGAGGGCTTGGAGGGTGTGACTGTTCAGAATCATCATCAATGGCCAGTTGTCTATCCTATGCATCATAATAGAGAATCCCTGGAGACTCTCTACGAGGCAAATGTGGTGGGCAACGTGGAGGAGTCCCCCTACGAGGAATTCCATATTGCAATCCCAGAGGACAATTCAGGAAACGATAGATATCCTCAATACATAAAAACTGATTACGCTGGGAGTGGGGAATTCACTGGAGGAGTGACTAATGTCCAGGAATCTGAGGCGCTGGAACAATGGGCAAATCTTCAGCCTCAGGAGTTATCAGTGCCAGATAATGCTGTAGATTGCTATTGGCCACAGTGGTCTGCCTCCGAAGGATCGAGAATAGAGACGTCTCGGATGAATTATAAATTGGAGAATTTGCTTAATCTGGAAAAAACCTCCTACGAAGGAGAGCAAATCAAGTCTGACCAGACATCCAGCGTTTACTGCTATACAGCGCCAATTGTTACGCAACGGATATTCTCGTCTCCTTCGCCGCCTTCTCAAATGAGTTTTATTGAGTCTGAAATTCAAGGCTCCAATGGCGTGCCTTGTGGCGATATCCAAGCCCCGGTGAATCAACTTGAAAATATAGATTTCGTTGAGTCACAAAACCTCAAGAGTTCCACAGTCGTCATAAATCCCACGACAGATCCTTACTCGATATGTGAAAATATAGATATGAATGCAGCCGATGCGGCCTCCATTCAGAACAACAGGTGGATCTCGGATTATGTGACTATTGAGGCTGTTGATAGTGCTCAGTGTTACAATTGTTAAGAAGTCGTTCACTTTTTTGCAAGCCAAAAAAACAATCCATGCTTTTTCGGTTTTCAGATGTTTTTTACATGAAGTATATGTCTTTGATTTTCCAGTGGAAAAAAATGGATGGTTAACGTCGAACGTTCTGAGTAAAGTATAATTAACTGTTACTCTATTCTCGAGAAAGATGATCATACGTAGAGTTTTCTTTTTGCAACAGCTGTTTTTTTCAGATAATTATATTTTCTTATTAATGTAATTGGGATAAGAATGGATAATTTCTTAGCTTATGCGTGGTGACAATACTCATATGATATTCATTTGTTTATTACAGAATCATTTCTATAAAAGTTTCCATGTACTACTTGTTATTTTCATCACAAAAAAAATATATTTCAAGAGCAAGAGTCTCTCGATGCATTATTATTTTTTCACTAGCGTTTCGCTGACTTTAAACGTCCTTTATTTGAAAAATGTTCAAGATGCTGGGTTGATTCTCTCTGCAATATTCATTGTTCAGTAAAATCTCATTGAGGAGTTTCAGTTGTTGAATGACTCGAATGATTGGAACTCACGCGCTCAAATCTCTTCGTCGACAGAGCCATGCGCACAAGACGTTTTACTCACCAACTTAACCTCAAGTTTTTTATGAAAAAAATTAGCAGAACGTACTAAAGTTACCGACGAAATATTTCAATCTAATTTTGCAGATAGAAAAGTCGAAAGAACCGAAAACAATAAAATCATCAATCAAAATATTATACGAGGAGATAATTAAATCGATGAAATCGACTGGATTAACAATTAAAATTGAGGTGGGTAATAAAGTTGAGGCAAGTAGTAATATTTATGGCACCATCAGTATTTATTGTAATAAAGTCTGAACAATTATTACTTTAGAATGTTACGCGCTTCTATGATTGCCACTGCTGTCAACAGCAGGGTATCAACACAATTGGTGATGAATGAATGGATTGGAATCAACGCAACATTCGCTCAGATTATTCGCTGGAAAAGAAAGCCTATTTGGTTGCCACAAGCTAAAAGCAAACTTTTCAAAGTTCCACCGAGGCTGCGACTCCCCCAGGAAGAAGCAGTGGAAATCCTGAGATTGTACAATAACTACCGGACAAATAGAAAATCAATCAGGTTTGTATGTTGATTCTTCTCAATGCACTAGAAAATCTGTGAAAGGTCATAATTATTATATATATGCAGAGGATATCTGGAACAACTGATGCAAGCCAGTCAAGTACAATTTGATGAAGTATCACTAAAAAACGCTGAGGAGGAGGACTACGCGAATTGTTCAAAGATCAATGATGAATGGAACAAAGAATTAGCGAAGCGGCGGGAGATTCGTTTGGCGAAGGAAAAAGAGAATCGTATACAAGAGACTCTGAAGATATTCAACGAGAAGAAACAATTGAACGAAAAAATAATGGAGGAAATCGAAGGGAAAGTGAAGAGAGCTAGAATGGAGGCGAAGACATTCATCACCAGAGAAAACATTGATCGTGCAATAGAAGAAGCATTGGCTGATGTTGTGGATTATAACGCAGCGATTGATAAGGAAGGCCGTTTGTATGGTAAAAGTGTGGATAATAAACAACAGGCTTCAGTTTAACAATGATAATTTAATTGGATAAAGTTTATTATATCCTTCGAAAAGACTTTCTTCATTTTGCAAACCTAATGTACTGTATGTAGAGATCATCATCATTCATCATTAAAAAAAGGAACATCCAGGAGGAAATTATGTTTTATATATTTTTTTTTGCATTTGAAACAGAGAATACAAGATTTCACCGCCCTATATCTATCTTTTACACACAATTCCCCAATGTGTCTTCTTTGGAGATGTGATCGAACAAGAAGTGAGGATTCTGTTATTTCTGGAAGGTAAAAATTGTTGGGGCAAAATTTTTACTCAACTCAGCAAAAAAAATCTTTGGCATTTATGTATATCGATCTCAAAAGAGAACTCGACGGGTCGCATTTAACTAATTTCAATTGAATTATTGAAATGCAATGAATAATTCCGTAATGATGGATGATAGCCAAATTGACAAATTTGGCTTTCTTTTATATTCCTCTCAACATTAATATTAATAATGTGGAATATGATTGGATAGATCCTGATTGTGTGCGTGTGGTTTTTGTTACCAAAGTAAAATGAAGGATTGAAATTATCCTTTCTTAAGATTATCGTACTGCTGTGATATATTTGCATATACTAGAAAATGTTAGAAATGAGTGAGTGCACTTATTGCGTTATTTGAAGTCTACTATTATTATCAATCATTCATACTATCATCATTCTGGATTACTAGGACTCGACACCTCGATTAAAACGGCGCCTTGTCTGTGGAGTAAAGATAATTCGCATCGTACAAAAATTTTTATTCTTAACTTTAAACATTGATTCTTATCTATTAGTATCATATTCTGTGGTTTTCAAAGTAGATTTTTCATTATTTTTCATTTCATTTTTCATTTATTTTCAGTTAAGAGATGGCACATTTCGGTCTGAAATGAAAAGTGGTCTTCATATCATCGCTATCTTCTCATTGTTGATAATACTCGCAAGGCTATTATTTTCTGTTAATTTATGCCTAATCCTTGTTGCAATGATCACATGATCAGCTGTTCAAATCTGGAAGAGCCCTCCAACTCTTCGCTTATTTTAATTCTCTGACTGTTATTCTCCATTAGATTTTTGTGAAATACATAGAGAAAATTAAAGGGATGTAACAATGTGTGTCATCAATCAGTTACAGTCATCAATGTAAAAAGTGAATGAATCAATGGGCTAACAGCAATTCCAAAAAAAAATGAACAACCTACACAGATAATCATATTATCTATTTCCCCCATTTCTGCATTAAACTCATGCCCCTCAAACATCATTCATTCCCTCAAAGCATAAAAGCGACACTCGAGTTCAGTAATCCAAAAGATTGCCTCGCATTTCGTCCTTTTATTAAAATATATCTCTTCTCTCAATAAAATTTCGGTTAAAAATAATTTCGCGGTAAAATTCCCCTCCATTTCATCTCCGTCGAGTAGATTGCTGACTGTTGTTGCTGCTGATACAAGTGTAAATATTTTCCAAAAATTTGTACCTCATTCAAGCCAAAACCGCGAGGTCCAAGTCCCGCGATTCATTAGCAGGTGCAATTTGTTGATGTCAAAACAAGTTGAAACAGAGTATTTAATGATTTACTCGATAGCTCGGGCGCCGTCGATGGGCATCGTATGAAGCACTTCATCGAGAAGTTGAAGTGCACGATGAAGATGTACCTCAATCCAACAGGGTGTTTCCTTGATGCTTTGCCTGGGGTAATCAGGGCCCCAGCCCTTAACAAAACTCAGTCGAAGGATGCAGAGTCGTCGAAGGTCATCCACACCAATGCCGGCAGCTGCACTGAGATTCTTGGTGATGGGCGCCCCATGAGTGAGATGACCAGCTACAGCAGCTGCTTGTGCAGCAGCAGCAGCTTGTGCAGTGGCAGCTTGGCCCCTCATCTGCTTGTGGCACTGTCTCAGGTCGAAAACTTTAATGTACGCTGAAGGATAGATCTTGTGAACAGCATCACCAGGAGCTCTCCCTGCTTCCCTATCAAGATAGTACGACTGAACAAAAACACTGTGTTCACTCTGGCATCGAAGCCAAACATCACCCTCCCCACGCAAATCCAGGACAACGCCTTTACCAATGTGCAGTCTTGCTCGTTCGCTTTGTTCTGTTCTGTGAACATTGCTCAATGCGCCTAGACAGAATCTGTTGCCACCACTGGGATCTACGTAACCATCTACTGTGACTGTTGGGCATCCACTGCTGACTTTGAATGTCTCACCCACCTGGGTGTCCAGCTCGAAGTATCCAACTGAGCACCAGTACTCTGGAGCTGGTTGACTCGACAAGAGGCCTCCAAGATTGCCACTAACGTCATTACCATGTGCACCCCAGTACGAGGTTGGATGGAGATGTCTTGGGTCTGGGGGTTGCATCGTCTGTGTGTAAGTCAGGGTATTTGCTCCTGTCCACTGGGGAGCACCTGTGTTGTAGGGAATCGCTGCTGCTGCCACGTTGAAACCATTCTCGTGGTGCAGGTGAACGGGTGACACTGGGGAACTTTGGCTTGTTCCAGCTGCTAAGGACGCCGTAAGGGCGTCCACTGTTGGTCCGCCAGTCGCTTGGTTCAGATCCTGGCCGGGGGTTCCAGTCGAGTAAAATTGATCAGTTTGGCCTTGAGTTGAACTCAATATCTGAGTGCTGCCACTGCCATTCGCTGGATTCAATGGTTGTTGGGATTGTTGCGATGGGGTCGGTTGGGGTTGGGACTGTTGTTGGGGTTGAGGCTGGGGTTGCTGTGGCTGTTGTTGCTGTTGAGGATTTGCCGAGGGATGACCCATTTGATGCACCACAGCTATTGAAAATAAATTATTTTGCTTGATTATTGTGGGTATTTTCAAACAAGTCTTTATCTTTAAAAAGTAGGTGTTTATCTTTTAAAAATGCAGTAATGCCATCCTGAAATGATGCAATTATTGACGGCTTTTATTTGAAAATCCAAACGAGACTTGTTTGAGTGGATTTTTTTCATGGAGGAATACATAATTTGTCAGAAAACATATTTAACGACACTTAAAGCACAATAAAAATGAAAAACAAAGAATTTCTGAAGAATGGGCCACTGGCTGATGATAGAATACGTACAATGATGCATGTTTCTTGCATTGATGTGATGAGGCGTTGGTATCCAAGTCTGTCTTTGACAGTTACCCTCCTCTAGTTTCGTGTGTGGATTAACACTATCCCCTGTGCCCCCTCCGAATATACCCTCACCATTGGCTGTGCAAAACATATTGAACAAAAAAAGGCAAGAAAAATGATACTAATAGCAAAAATAAAATAATAAAATGCACCATCAATTTCACCAACAATATAGAATTCGGTGAAATTAATGGAAAAGAATCACGATAAATAACAGCTGTTTGAACCGAAAATGAACATTCTTCCACCTGCCTCATTAATAATGAATGCAGAATACAACAAATATCAGAGAAGAATAATGGCATAACAGCGAAATTCAAAGTCGTGATGAATTTTTCAGTCTCTATGGTGTAACAATGGCGAAAGCGCAATATTTTTGTATTGTGTAGTTTTCCTTGTATGAGGTTACCTGAATTTGTCGCTGATAAGGATGGCAAGTACTGCTGTGGATTTTGTTGATGGGAATTGGTTGGTGCCGACTGCTGCGGCGGTGGTGGGTGATGCTGAATTGTCTGATTTAATTCGCTATCAACGTCCATCCCTGTAGTGACACCAACTCCAGAGGCTGCCCCAGTTACACCACCACCTCCAACTGTATATTCATCCTTGACGAGGCGGCCCCCAGGGCCCACACCGACCCCAGACTGCAGAGTCAATCCTGAGAGGTCTGTAAAGAACGGGTCTGTGCGGGGGAAACGAACCCATTTCATCATACACTAATGCAACATTCATAACTGTATAAAAATTTTGAAGATAAAAAAATCAACAGAGAAGAAACTTTTGCAGAGTTCTGTGAAAAAAAATTGTCTGGAATTTTCACAGGTCTTCCATCGAAAATTCAATTGGTTTTTCTATGATGATTCTATTTTGTAGAGACAATCATGGAAAAATTTGTAGAATTCTCAAGGCATTTTCTACAAAAAATTTTAATCATACGTCAAGAAAAGAAGAGATGAAAGAAGAAAGAACAAGAAGAAGCACTACTGAAATAAAAATTTTCCATTCAAACTTGGACGTACCTATTCCAGGGGAGACAACTCTCTCGTAATGATATGGATTTACGCAAACGGAATCACATTTGAGATCGAAAGCAAACTGACAATATTTAACGTGCTTTAATTCGTTTTTGTGGAGATCCGGCCATCGCCATATCCTAGCGTATATCACGTGGGGGAAACCCTTTCGTCCTGCTACTTGCAATCTACCGTCGAGCGTTCTTTGTATTGTCACACATTTACTAGGATGTGCACCGTTGGTTGTTATGGCAGTAATGAGACTGTCTAATTCGTCTCGTTTTTCCTGCAAAGAGTGACAATGGGCAGTGACAATGGGAGTAATACAGGGAAATATTGGTGAGGTATCTCGGGGGAAATGAGAACATGAATGTTACCTTGAGCTTTTTCACCAGAGATTCAATGGCACGTTTGCTGAATCCTTCACTCTCACCCCCTTGGCGATGGCACATAAGAGAATGAACGATGCTGAGACAAGCATCAGCACTTGTTGGTGCACTTGGGGTGATTCCAGTCATTTCTCTCACTGTTAATAATCAATGAGCTTTCAGTTTATAATCCTTTGAAATTTCAATTCAAACCGATAAATCATTCATAAAAAGGATCATCAAAATTTACCTGGGTGTTTTGCTTTTCTTTGACTTAAATAATAATTTATTTCGTGACAAGATGGATCAACAGTTAATTATTATGAGAATAAAGAAGGCTTTGAAAGGGGAGATATTTGTAAAAATGAAAAAATGTGATGTTTACACTCAGTATTAGGCTGCATTTGGGGCGAGGGATAGAGATGAGTTCCCCCGCCCGCCAAACCAACCATCTCCGTGAAAGCCGTGGTTACAGTTGAATTTTTTTTCTCCAATGTTCAACAGTTTGCCTCCTCGATGATCACTGAGTTGACGCCACTGATTGGTGTAATGATGGTATTTTGTCATCTAATATAAAGGCTTGATGGAAGTGACAATTTGGCAAAGAGTTTTTCGAGGGTGTCTCAATGACGAAAAATCAGGTTACTGTTTACCCTTGTGTCTCCATATCGCTTCAGCTACGGTTGAATCCATAAAAAGATATACAACGAGGCATAGACAATGCAATCCCTTCTGATAGGTGTCTGACTAATTATAATTGATTATTTTGAAGAATTCACTAGTCAATTGGCACAGCAGCTCACTCAACAGGAATTCCCATTCCTTGTATTTATCATATCTCGTTATTACGTACACCTACTGTGCGACAATTAAATTTTCACACCAGTCTTCATTCACTTTAATCGGTGATTTTAACGTTATAATTTCGACATGGACACTGATGGATATTTCAAAAACAACGTACAACCAATGACTGATAACTAGCAATTACTGCTAGTGGCTGATAGAGTGCAGGAGAATAACAAAGCACAGAACTACAATAATTTAATACTTCACTACCATGAAACATACTTTTCACAGCGGAACAGCGCTTTGGGCCCAGAACTCATAAATACTTGGAATGAGAGAACGAGTTAGGTTCACTCGCATTTCATGGAAACCAGGGGCTAGACATACAACCTGCCGAACCTGCCCAACTCCCGCCATATTGAAAGTCGATTGCTTATTTTTTATGGAAAAAATGGTGGAAACTCGGAGCCTTGCGCAAAACCGCAAGACCAAAATAAAATGGATACCGACAACATACTCTCATATTCATACCGAAAAAGATTCAGTTCCCAATAGCTGAATGAGCTGGATAGAATCTATCCGATAGATGATCGGAAAACGAAAAGTTACAGGTAACAAGTAATCAACAGAAATAATCGTGTCAATAGGGAAGGACGCGAGGAAGAAAACGTCAATAATTCTTAGGGGCACTCCAATTCGTTGATAACTATAATAAATTCAGGTCCAGCAATTGCATTGTTATTATTAGAAATATATCACTTTCGAATTAACAAATCATTTACAAAATTTCACTGGAAAAGTCCATAAATTCCCTGTGGGTTGAAGAACTTCTAGATTTTATGAGTTTGATGTAATCTTCGAATTCTCCACTATTGAATTCCCATTTTTTAATCTGCTTCGGGATCGATGATTTTTTTGGAACTGGAACGACAGGGTTGAAAGCCACATCGCTGGGATCGTAATTTTCGTACAGCTCTGAGGAACTGAGCTTTAAAATTTCAACAGGCAATGTTCCATCACCAGTGGCTGGAACGTGACAAGCAATATATCGTGAGACCTTCTGCACAATGCTGTGATAATGTCTCTGCAAAGGTACTAGTTCCCAAAGAGCGCTGCGATGTGCATTGCAATATTCAGGTTCATCCAATTCAGGTTGATAGAGGCCTTCACCAGCGGTGTTGTCTGTATCGAGTAGTAAATCAACATTTTTATTCAGCTGCATGATGGATTTGATGAGGCCGAGAAGTCCTAGTGTGCCATGATGCTGCATCTGGAGGGAAATTGTTATTATCCTTTTAACAAAAGCAATCAACCTATTTTGGGACACTTTCTTCCTCCTTTGGATCAATACTTGATGAAGAATATCGACAACGATCCGACAATCCCTCTGCGTTTTGCCAGCGTGAATATTGAACAGTTGTTTGTAGAGATGAACGTAAAATACATAGGGATCGATGTTGAGAGTACAGCCCTGACCAGAGAGAATTGTGAAGACAGTCTGAATACAGTGGAGTTGGTCCCTCTGGTTCAGATTTCCGTCATTCACGAGGGCATTGATGGCATTAACGAGATCCTGATAAAACTCCAGATTAATGCAGGCAGCGAATTTCGCCAAGCCCTCGAGACAAACCGACAGAATCCTTCTATTGGGTGTTCTTTTAAGGATTCTAAAGTAGATGGTGAAGACAATGCTAGTTATTTCAGTGAGCATTTTCTCTTTCCTCATCTTGTTCTCAGTAGCCTTCGTCTCCAACATCTCTTGCTCAATCTCAGCCAGTTTTTTATTTTTCTTGCGCTCCCTTTTACTCAGTGCTAGAATTCTCTGTTTGTGACTAGTCAATTTTTTCTTCTTAGCTTCTTCTTTTCTTTCTGCGTCTAAATTGATGTCTTTAATCCTCAGGGACAGTAGAACTGAGATAATCTCAGGATGGACAGTTTGCTCGTGTTGTTTTATGTAGTGATTAAGCTTTCTCACTATAGATAACGAGAGTTCGCCACGTTTATCATCCTTGAATATCTGGGAGAAACACTGAAAAATGATCTGTCGTATTTTTTCGTGTCGATTGTCCAGGAGGGGAATTAAAAAATTGCCTATGTTAACAGAGAAATTGAAATAGGGATGGGTTATGAGGAGCTGGCACAGACTCGAGACAGCAAGTTGCCCTAGTTCCAGCTGAAAATTATCAATGAGTCTCGTGTCACCCCTCTTCCTCCTCAAAGCCCCAGCCATCCTCTCCAATTTTTGGAGGTAATTTTTGTAACTGCGAACGAGTATCTCTTCGTAATTCTTCAGTTCCAGGGTCTCTTTCTTATACCTCACACCCTCCTCCTTAGTTCCTGTATTGATGCTATACGCTGGTAACAGATCCTTGAATACTTCGAGGAGAGAAACTATCGTTAACTTCTTGACAGTGATGCACACCTCTGGATTGGACTCGTCAAGGAAATCCAAGAGTACTTTGAAATTGTGGGCTTTTGTCTGTGGATTCTCTAAAAGACTGCTAGACAAAATTCCTATTTTGAGCTTTCGGGATTTCAGGACCTGATTACGACAAGCCAAAAGCTCTACTGTTGTCACGTTGTCCTTCACGTCGTCATTGTCTATTGACCTAATTTTAATGTCTCCTATTCCAGCGTCACTGTCGACGTCACTGGCTTCCTGATTATCATCCATTTCGGTTTGAGAATCATCAAGTTTATTGACCGTCTCAGGCTCATCATCTTGCTCTACAATTTTTTTCTTTATAACTCCTTCCTTGGTTTTCACAGGCAACATTAACCGGACTTTCTTTCTCTCCTCGTTCCCACTTCCGTTCAATACCTTGTCCTCATACAGATCTTCAAGTTCCTCATTCTCATCCTTCAATTTTCGCTTTTGCTTTCTACCTTTTCTCTCACCCGGATCTTCTGCCAATCTTATTTTCCTCAATAGGTTGTACGATTTTTCAGAGATGGCTGATTGCAAGAATTTCAGATCGTCTTTCTCCACCATCTCTAGCAAATCTTCACCCTGATCACTCTCCTCGTTATTAATAGGATCGATTTTCTCCACATTCTGTTGCTTCATTGATTGTGTTGTTTTAGTACGATGACGTCTCTGCTTGAGTTTTCCTTGCTTGGATAATTTATTCCTCTTCTGATTGGTCCTTTTCACTTTGCTGATTTTCAGCTTCTTGCTCTTTGGTTTCTAGAAATCAATCAAATCACAAAGAATCGAGGTTATAATTGGTCCAAGTGAAGATAATAGTAAATTCTCATGGATTATAAAGAGTTTTTTAAATACTCACCTGCATTTTCGCTAACAATCAGATAATTGTGTCAATTTCCAGATGATGAGTAAACCGATTGTTCGTGTTATGTTTTCGTTTGCTTTTTGTAAACGGCACGTGGTGACAGAGACGTATCACCAGTGCATGTGTAAGTAACGTGAAGAACGTGAAAGGCAAGTGTATATACAGTGCTGCCATTCTGTGAGAAAAAAAAAATAAAATTTTTGAAAAGAGGAAATCGCTCCGATCTTAAAAAACAAAATTAAATAAAAATAAATCATGAAACTGTTTGAAACTCTCGCGAGCGTTAAATACGTATATTTTTTCACTTTCAAAATGTCAATATTTTTCAGAATTTACAGATAATAACCTTATGTACAATGATGAAACAACGGAATAAAAGAATTTATGCCATTTATATTTTGTCCTTGAGACTTTGAAGAGTATTGCTTTCCATCAGCTGATGCATAGCTAATTGAACTTTTAATTCGACACAGGCATCTTTCTCCTCAATAATACTACGAATCAGTGTAGTCATTTTTTTCTGAAAAAAAAGGGTAAGCAATCAGTATTGGGATAGAACGGCGAAATTCCCGATGAAGATGAGAAAAAATACCTCCAATAGCTGATTTTCTTTTGACAATTGAATCATGACTGTCATTTCTGCTTCATTAGGAGAATGTGTTCTGTCCCTTGATATGGGTTTCTCAGGTCCCTTCTCCGCAAGAATATTCAGCAATTTTTTAATCTCATTTTTCTCCTGCTGAATACGAGTTCTCAATGATGTTTCTGTATTTAATAATTCCCCGTAGATCAAACTCTCTCGTACTTTTTCCAGTGAGACTTGTTCTGTCGTGGCTGCAATATGAATCATTTCTGAGTTAATTTTTCTTTTAAGTATTTTGAAATCCTCAGAGAAATGACATAATGTAAAACGAACTTTCATCGAATATTTATGCCTGAAAGATAATTGATTCCAGATATTGATGAATTTTGTGTAGTCTCAATTGATTCTAAAAAGTATTAAATTTCTTTTCAAGTTCTTCGCAAATGTCCATTTTACCCTAGCAATCATTAAATTTGATATACGAACCTTCTGAAATCTGAGGATCAATGAAAGAATTTTCATCGGTTTTTTCCATCTTAATTGTGTTCGTGGAAGAGTGACTTCTCTCTTCAATTGGTGTAAATTGTGTTGCAACCTCTCCCACAGGAATCGTAGGATCACAATTTCCTTTAAATTGTTCATTCGATTTTGGCTCAGTGTTTTGTGGATTTTTCAGAGCTGATGATATCGTTTCTGTGGAGTTATGCGTCTGATCACTCTTTTGCAAGTTGCCATGATGCTCGTCGTTAGATCTTGTGTCTTCGTCCAGACTCTTCTGGACCTGTCCCTCCAATTTCTGGGCAATTTTGTACTTGCGTTTCAACTGGGTTATGATTCTTTGAACTTCCCACAATTGCTCCTCACGTGACTTCGTTACAAAACCGGCGTTCATCTGCATGTGTATTTGAGCTAGCAGTGATTCCTGTTTCACCAGCTCTAATGCTATTGATTCCGGTTCGTCGGGGAGATTGGCACTTCCCGAAGGCAGTGGAGGAATGTATTTTGTCAGGATAATGTCTGGAAATAGTGACTTACAGTGACAGAGAAGAGCCAGGAGGAGTCTGTGGCTCATCTGCAGCACTGGACTTAGTGTCATAGCTACCGTTTGAGCATTCATCTTCGTTGTTTTCTCCTGGATGCAAAAGAAATTCTGGTTATATTCCAAGAATTTACAATTTTATTATCATTTACGAGGCGAATGTATGTGAGATCGACCATTTGTTGAGGGAAAAATTCGATTTTACAAAGGTAACTTTCGTGACTCAAACCTAAATGTTAATGACTTACCCTGACAGTGATGTGATCCAAGTGTAACGTCACCCACGCCAAAAGAACTCTATTGCAAGTCGGCAATTGCTTTACTAGTTGTGAGAGCTGCGATTCTCTCTGTGCAACTTCTTTGGCTGAAGCGGCTTGCTCAAATCTCGATATCATCCCGCTGCTTTCCAAGACAGGTTCAGGCAATTCTCTGCCAATTCATAATAAAGTAGAAAAATATACAGGCGTTAAATAAAACAACTAGATATTCCAGTGTTTGTAAAAAACCTAGCGACACACTTAAAGAGGCTTACTTTAAAAAAAGAATTAATAAGCTGGCTGCGACAGCAGGTTCCAACTCCTGGACATTAACAGTCTCTCGTTGATTATAAAGCTTTTTAAAACTCTGTACTTTGGATTTCACGCCAGGAATTTTGTATAAGCTTTCCGTTGTCATTCCAAATTCCTCCAAATAATCAATGCAATTACGAACCACCAACGGTAATTCAACTCCGTCATGACATCTGGATCGCTCCACAGCTGCTTGTAGCCCCACTCCGAAAATTGGCTGTGCCTCTGCAATCATTCAATATAAAAACACCGTACCAAGTTTGAAATTGTTATTAACAATCTGAAAAATCATCTCAATTGACCTCCAATGTCAGCAACTTCCTCGCCATGTTTGCACTTTTTTCGATCTTTCACTTTATGCTTCAATTTGTCCTTATCCTTGTCCTTTTCGTCCTTTTCACGTTTCTTCTTTTCCTTATCCTTATTCTCATCTTTATCTTTATCCTTTATTTCCTTTTCTCGAGATTTCTCTCGCTTCTTCGAAGGAAATTTGAATGCTTTAGATTTCTTGGATTTTGATGGACTCCTGGGAGAAAAAAAGTTATATGAATGAGTCATATAGATTAAGGAATGTAATAGACACTTTTTTTACACGTCAAGTAAATATACATCAATATTACAATAACTGAGTAATAATACAATCACCCACTTGTCAATGTAATGAGTCCAAAATAAAGTGATTGATTGATTTATTCCTGACTTTTAGATAGTTGAAAACATGTCATTCGTAGAGGCAAATGAATAAGAAAAGTAATTACTTGGTTTCTTGATCCTCATCTGCTGAGCTTTCACCCTCCAGGGTGGCATATCCTCGATCTTTCTTATCTTTTTTATCCCTCTTCTTTCCACCCAGAAGCTCTTTTTTCAGGTGCTTGTCGTGTCCTCCTTCGTCGCTAACTAGAGGGAATACGTATAATTACAATACCATTTAACTATTTTGCATTAATTTCCAGAGGTTATGGTGTCGTTAAAAAAATACTTACAGTCACTTTCATTGCTCTTTCGAGCTGATTCCGACGCGTACAATCCTGGAAACTCCTTCTCCACGTCTGGGCTTTCAAAATCCATGCCTTTTTCGATTGTCAGGATTAATTCTTCTGCACTTTTTCCTTTGACAAGGCTCTACAATTATTATTCCATTATTACACTATACTTTCAAAAACAACTAATATTCTTGCCGGCTTTATCGACTATCGATATGATCTGTCAAGTTATACCCATATATTGGATTGCGCGAGTATTGAGACTTAAATCAATGGAAATACCTTCACATTGTCACAAAATTATGAAAAATATTACAGGACATCTTAAAGCTTGAGAATAACGGAAGTCATTGCTAAAAATGCTATTTGCACATGAGATTAAATCGACCTCCAGAAAATTCAGTATTTCTCATCATATTACCGACAATATTCGCAGATAATGCAGGAAAATGCAAAAATTTGAATGTTTAATTGAAGGATTGATCATGTAAGTATAAAAAATAGAGAAATTCTTTGCATTATTTATAAACTTCTAGGGTTTCTAGAATTCACTGCTTTTCTTGTAATGTCAGAGAATGAAAAAAAATCTTCGATTTTCGTTGAATTTCTTGACTTATTATTATCAAAGAGTTGTGTTTCTTGGAATAAATTCAAGTGACGCTTTATTAATAACTATTGTGCAATAGAAAATTGTCCTCGAAGTTGAAAGGAATGATGATAAACCGAGGACTTAGCTAAATGAATCTTTCATTAGTCCAGCATTGACTGATTAATTAATATTTACATGACCTCATGCATAAGATGAGTGACCTAGCCATAATGGAATAGATCTTGATAGACATAAAAAACTATGCATTTGACCCACATGTGAGCTACATATTGTTATGTTATTGTTGTTATTTGTTGTGATTTTTGCTTTCCAATAAATTCATGCATCACCAGTTAGTTTATTTTGTCTTATGACGTTGGCTAGTTATGTCGCACCTATTTTTCTATAATGAAGTCATTATTTAACGCGTCCTCATTTTACCGTATGTATGAGGGTTGTTACAAAATAAGAATACATTATGTTATTGGATTGCATTGGAAGGACCTTGTCGCAGCTCAAAAGCAGTGACCGGTTAACCTTGTCTTATTACGATCGGTTCGAACTTTTTCCTTTGTGGGGTTCATCGAGTTTGAATTGATCATTTATCGTTTGCTAACGCTCAGTGTAAGTAATTGGCACGGGCAAGAACTCAATTACGAATTCGTCGATTCTATTCAGTTTCTATTCAGTGAATAGTGAGCAATTTTTTAAAAGGGATTAATGATGAAATCTATGGACTGTAATAGAAAAAATTTCCTCCGAAAAATTGGTCGGATTAAATAGAGGACCGGCAGCAGAGCAAAGTATTTAGGAAAACATGTGAGTGAGTTATTGCATTTAATTTTTTATTTGATTCTGAGTTTTCGGATTTATATTCAATTGATCATATTACATATTGGAATTATTTTGATGCACGCAAAAATCAATATTCAGATGTGTTTCGGATTCACTAAATAGTTGAAATATCAATAATAGTTAATAGTTTTATAATTTTTTATGGGAAAAACGGCGATTGCCGATTTATTTTAGGATAAAAATGCATGCAATCTTTCAGAAAATGTACTTTCGTTTTTATCAAAGTGAAATTTAAATTTAGATGAAGTTGAGTGAATGAATTTATTTAGTAAATGTGAGTACTAAGAGAGGTCAGAGAGAGGGAAATCAATTTTACCCGCTTTGGGTCTTCCACTAAAAATATAAGTGAAACGTGTTGGAATTCCGGATTGGGTCCCTAAAAACTGCTCAATTAATTTCCGCCCAATTCTCTTCAACGGATCGTTGAAGACGTTTGCTTTCACATGGGAAATCTCTAACCATATTTTAAAAACTTTGAATTTTTTCAAATCGTTCTTTCCAAAATCGTCATACATTGAGAGTAATAATTGGCAGGTATGTATACACTTTATTTCAAAGCGCTCTTCAAATTTATGAAAACGTCATTTCTAATGGGATAAATATTTTTGAAAGTCCTCGCGAGATTGTTTGGTAATTCGGAGCTTTCTCCGATTTTTGTTGCACGATTCATTTGATAGCTTCATTTCTCAGTGATCTCACCTCATTTCGGTATGATCTTAAAGATTTATTCAAATCGCTCGAAACCCGTATTTACTAAAGCACCAGAATTTTCATACATAATTATTCTATTATATAAATCGTGCGAATTTTGTATTAGCTTATACATAATAACGGAGAAACTTGGTCTTGATGTACAACTAAAAAAAATTTCTCATTGGATTTTTCTTTTTTAGATATCATTGGATAGATAGAGGAATGGCACCAAAAAATATACCTCTAAGGTCCATTACCTTTTTGGTGTTTTTACTATGGACAGTTGGCTCAACGAATGCCTCAATCCTGACAAATATATTGGAAAATATAAACGAATATTTGCGCGGTTCTTCATCCCATTCCGCACAGATAACTTACAGATCTGGTGATTTTCAAGAGACAGAGAAGTATTCATACGATTTTATCATCATAGGGGCTGGTTCTGGAGGATCCGTTGTGGCAAACCGCCTGTCTGAGATTGCACATTGGAATATTCTACTGCTGGAGGCAGGAGGAGATGAGATTTTTTTGACTGATATACCACTTTTGGCTCCTGTAATGCACATAACGTCTTACAATTGGGGCTACAAGACCGAGCCGCGGCGAAAAAATGTCGATGGCACCGGTGGATATTGTTTGTCTATGATAAACGGTCGCTGCAACTGGCCTAGAGGTAAAGCGGTTGGTGGAACATCAGTAATAAACTTCATGATCCACTCACGAGGATCTAAAAATGATTTCGATGAATGGGCAGCCATGGGAAATCGAGGATGGAGCTACGAAGAAATTTTACCCTATTTTCATAAGTCAGAAAAAGCACACTTGGTAGAGGACGAGCGTCGAGGAGTTAATGCATCGATTTATGGAAAAAAAGGATATCTCGATGTGACAACACCATCTTGGAGATCAGTCCTTAGCGATGCATTCCTCGAGGCCGGGGAACAATTGGGTTACAGAATAAAGGACTCTAATGATGGCGACCCTATGGGATTTGGAATCAGCAAAACTAACATCAGAGGTGGTGGTCGTGTGAGCGCTGCTAAGGCCTTTATCAAGCCCATCAGACATCGCAGCAACTTCCACCTCTCTAGGTTCTCCCGAGTAACGAGAATAATTATTAATCCAGAAACCAAAACGGCAACTGGAGTTGAGTTTGTGAGGGACTCCAAGACGTACGTCGTCGAGGCGAGGAAGGAAATTATTTTGAGCGCAGGAAGTCTCAATTCACCTCAACTTCTGATGCTTTCGGGGGTCGGGCCACAGAATCATCTGACCAATCTCGGTATTCAAATCATCCAGGATCTTCCTGTTGGTCATAATCTTCAGGATCACGTCAGCATGGCCGCATTGACATTCCTAGTTAATGACAGTGTGACAATTGTCGAACCGAGAATCGCCAGCAATTATAAAAATACATTTGACTATTGGATCAGGGGTACGGGTCCATTTACGGTACCTGCAGGTGCCGAGGCCCTCGCATTCATCGACACGCAGGCAACTAATCACTATGTACATAAGAGATTCACTAATTATGATAGCAAAATTACTCCAAGAAATGACATGGACGGAGAACCTGATATTGAATTAGTCTTTGGTATCGGTTCCATGGCGGGTGATGCCTCGGGTGTGATGCGTAGTATTTTTGGATTACCCGATGATTGGTATGACAAAGTCTTCAAACAATACGAGGGTCAGGATGGATTCAGCATTGTTCCCGTTTTACTGCACCCCAAGAGCCGCGGCCGTGTCACCCTCAGGAGCTCCAATCCCTTCCATTCGCCCATTCTTCAAGCTAATTACTTTGATAATAACGAGGATTTGCAAACAATAGTCCGAGGAATTAAGAAGGTAATTGAAGGTCAGGTCTTCCATATGAGGCCGCATTATTATCATTAACCCCAGCAGTTGTTCATTCTTTTTGTTTTACGGGTTTATTTTATGATAGCAATTGATCCAAATTATTCATGTCAAGAGCACGAAACCACACATAATGTGTCGTTTTTACTGGATTCTAACAGCACCATATATATTACAATATTTTGAACATTAAAAAATCCATAAAATTGTTACTCCACAGGCTATTGAAGTTGCGTCAACACGTGCCTTCGAGAAATACAATGCAACTCTTCTACCGGTTAAATTTCCTGGCTGTACAGATTTGGATTTTCAGTCAGATAAATACTGGGCCTGTGTGTCACGTCAGGTTTCAACAACTTTAGGCCATTTTGTTGGAACGTGCAAAATGGCGCCGCGGGAGGCAGACGGTGTTGTTGATGAACGATTGAAGGTTTATGGAGTTAAAAAACTTCGGGTTGTCGATGCCAGTGTTATGCCATTGTTGGTATCCGGGCATACAAATGCTCCTACTTATATGATTGGAGAAAAAGCAAGTGACATGATTAAGGAGGACTGGCTCTAGTGACCCATGTGTAAATAACTAGGGAAAGAAAAATAGGCATGAAATTCCCTAAAAATAATTAAATAAGATAAGTGATTGATCAATTTCAATATCGTGGACGCAATTAAACATGGCGTTATTTTGATTTCATTATTTTTTTATTGTTTATTACAGCCCTGATTTAAATGTGCCAAATAAATGAGTATTGAAGAGAAGAGGAGTGAAACTGATGCATTCTTTGACTTTGATGTACCTAAATAGAAATAAAATCTGTAATGGAATATAAACACATACTTTGCAATTGAAATTGACACGAAGAAAAAAGTTGAATAAAAATTAGGAGAAAATTGGTTGAAATTTTACGATTCGGCGGTAATTTTTCCCTGACTTTATTCTCCGTGTACTCATCACCATGGATCAATAAACAAATTAGAAGCAACCCTTACCATTTTCGCTGAATCTGATGCAATCGTCCATTGCTTCCGTTTGAGTGTAGCCCACAGCGCAAGAACAACGTCCTGCCAGAACAACTAATTAAAATCATTCGAACAATAATTTCTCTTAGCGTTTGTACGAGTATTTACCATTAATGCAATCAACATTCGTCACATCCGTTTCATCGAGAGCAGTTTCAGGAATTGTGGGCTCAACACATTGGGCGCGATTTACGCATCCTTTGCCGAGCATCTGAGAATCTAGTCATTAAATGGATTAAATGAAATAAATAATAATAATTATAATATTTCAAATGGCTGATGGGAGATTGGCGGAAGTACGAGTGTCTTACTGAGTTTTCGGAAGCAGGAAGAGCCCCGGAGTTTCAAATTTACTAAACAAGTACACGTATTATCATCCCCACACTTGGAATTTCTGAGAGATGCGGTACACTGAGAATCCTCGATGCATGGATCACCCATCGATTCTGCGGCTTTCAGACATTGTTTCCCATCACTGGACCGAACGTATCCAACTTTGCAAGTACACGTTCCAGTACAATGAGAATGCAAATCAAAACATTCATCATCGATACTGCATTGATCCCCTAGAACTGCGGACAATTCGATGAGAGCCTTACCATGATAAATAATATATTCACTTACAAGCACTTTTCAGGCATTCTTTTCCGTTGGGATGATGCTGTCGTGGACACCTGCAGAAACCATCGACACAGAAGCTTGGAGATCCATCACTGATGTGACAGTTATAAGAAGTCTGACACATGTGCCCAATTCCTGAAATTTTATAATTCGTACTGTCAGCGGTGGATTATTTTTTATTGAGTTCGGAGGAAAATTAAGGACCTATCGATTCATAACATCTTTTGGACTCCGATTCGTAATGGGATCCCTCGCTGCAAACGCAAATATTATTCCGGCATTCTGCTTGAGCGGTGAAGGTCACATGGCACTGCACATCCAAAGTGCACGGGTCACCAATTTCCGAAGCAACTGAAACAATGAAACTTCACTCTGTTGTACTTCTCAAATTCATCCAATCTCAGGGCCATCCTAAATAATTCAAATCCAAGTGTTTCTTAATCCCAAAATTCCCAATCAACATAAGACCCAACATTTTTATAATAGAGATAATGAATATAATTACTTTTTCAAAATAAATTTACTAATTACCGGAAAGTTGTGTGAAGAAAATTTAGTTGCCAGTAATATATTAATTCAGAACCAATTTTTCTGCTCAAAACTCATTTTTCACTCATTTTTGTTTTATGTTTTGGTATTCCCCTCTAATAAATAGAACATTATTAATTATTAATCAATAATTAAAGGGCTAATACAGTTTTGGCAAGTCGGCCTGTCACGAAGTAAGTTACAAAGTTAATGAAAGTTCAATAAAGTATTGTCTTGTAAATCCTGCATGAGGCTAATAACTCAAAAATGAAAATATTCTTCAGAAAATGTTTAATCCAAGTGGCTGGTGTGACCAGCGAAGCGATCTTAATCTCGATTCCGACTTCCCGCGCAGTCGTTGACACGCCTGAGAAAATCCACAACGGAAAAAAAACTTGCGCATCGTGAGAGAGATTCCCATAAATCCATTGTTATATAAATTTTTATGATATTTCCCCTGCACAAAGAGAAGCATTCAATAAAAATTACCTATCTTTCTTGTAATTCCGGTGGTTAAGAAAAATTTCACGGGGCTACCACGGAATCTTTTCAGAACGTTCCCAATTTTTATCTGAATATTTGTGGTAAAAGAAAAAAATTTTAATACTACTTTAATTTTAATTTTAAGAAAAAAATTTTAATTTTATTTTAAGGAGTTATTGTGCATATTTTCTCATTTTTCAAGCCTCTTTCAACAAATTTCTGGGAAACGATCGATAAACCGTTCATAAAAGGCCCAAAATTTCTCTAAAAATAAAAAAAATAGACGCACGATTATACAAATTTGTGAGTCATTGAATAATGATAAAATCTAAAAATGTTATTTTTTCGTGTCAATCTTTGATCTAGAGTTTCCCAGAAATCAAGAACAAAAAATATGAAAAATGAGAAGATATCGACAATAACTTCGATCAGTAAAGGCTCCCTCAATTGGTAAGCAAAGGTAATTTTTATTGAATATTTCTCTTGTATATCCACGTACTCTTGAGACATTCTAAGGCGCTTTGATTCCTGTTCACCAAATATCCCTCCATGCAGTAACAAGTCTCATGATTCCAGCAATATGCGTTTTCGGTGCAGTCCTTATCGTAAGTGCAACTGGCCATCGTCACTTCTGAAACCAAAAGAGAGAATGACAGGAAAAAATTATCAGTTGATGGAAGAGGTAACATACGAGAATGAAGAGTTCGATCAGCGCAGGGATAGACATGTTTAAAAATGAGGGAAACAGCCAGACATGAACTCGCAGCGATGTTGTGAAGCAAGGCTAATGCAAAAACACTGATATGCCTCATTAGTCTTAATTATCCTTTTCATGTGTTTTCGCTAAACTCACAAACACTCATCATCTCCCCGATTAAATATCACCCAAACAATGCATCAATCAATTTTCAAACTCAATCGTCATTATTCCTGTGTAAACAAGGGCACCATGAGACACATTGATAAATTAACACGTCACTATTAACAAAATAATTAACAACGTTTAACGTGATGCGTATAATCGAATTCACTTTGCGTTACGCAATTTTTCACGGTTGTATTACGGCTTTATTGTGTACTTAACATTGTATTTACCCGAAGAATGTCTGTATGTAATTCGACTGTCCTTGAACGCTTTTTGATATACGGACGTGATCGCGACATTATAATGAATAGAATATTCTTAAAAATAAAATTGAATGAAGATAGAATTAATGGTAAAATAGCGTGTATTTGTTAAATAATTTTCAGCTTGTTGCCGCTTGTTGCGGCGTCTGAGGAACGACTATAAAGGGTTTGTTTCTTCAGTTTCTTCATTCTTACTCCCCCCAATTCCCTCCTTTCCTCACCAGAAAAAAAATGGTTCAACTCTTTTGCCCTCACCCACACCGACACGGATCCACAAACACGCACGCGATCTTCATAAAGCAAATTTAATTGAATAATAATTGACCATTTCTCATCCTCTCCTTCGTCACGTAAAATAATTGACGCAAATAATTGATTAGCTTACGTGTCAATCGCAGCACGGCATCTTTTGAGGACATGGCACTTATCATAGGAATACTGATGGTAAAAATCATAATGATTCTTCTTCCTATCATGATTTGTCGAACAAACCCGTTGTTCAGCCTGACTTGTTGCAATTGCACTCACTGTTCCCTGGGAAAGCCTTACTGTCACTGCTCTTACTGTTTTCAGCTTTGTTGGGAGAAAGGCACTTTAAATGTAGTCCCTACGGACATTCGAAACTGAGATTGAAGAAGACATTCATTGTTCTCATTTCCACACTGCGTACTTGGCTTTCTTACCAGCAATGATATCTAATCTGTCCCTCCTTCCTGCTTAAAATATGTATACGGGTACATGGAACACATGTGACACCGGTCTTTGTCACAATAAATTTCACCTAGAAACGAAATATCTTAGCTCCATCAGCGACATTCTGCTTTATACACAGAATCGCAACAAATCGCCATTGAGCTGAAACATACAATGGGAAGCTATTTCAAACAATTCATCTTTGATTTTCCTCAAACGTCTCAAAATGGACTTATAACATTTTTTTATTTTTGAAGAAAATTCTTTCATTTTTTCATTATAAGATTTTTTTTCATTATTCAAACAATTGAGTCAAATCCTCAGGGAGTCCACATCAATGAGAAACTTCTCGATGTAATTCATTTCTTCTTGCCATTTTATTATTATTGATGATTATTCCGATTCTTTTTTTGAATGCAATTTCCGAGTAAAGAATATTAATAGTTGCTATTTAGTTTATTAATATAATTAATGCTTTCACGTTGATTGAATAAAAATTTCTAGACTAGAACCGTCCACGTGGCTTATCATCAACGTAGAATGTTAACTATTAACAAGTGATGAATACTCCGGTCATATAATTATGTATCATTTTATGGTTGTCTCATCTATCTAATCCACTGGAATTACATCCAGCTATTTTGAAAATTGAATTGTATACTTACACTGCCCTCCCTGTTGTGGGTCTGGAACTAAAATTTGTAAAACATCCTCTGTGGGTTACAATCGGATGGCTGACAAAGTCCCAAAGGTAAAAATACGAATAGATGATCATTCTGGAGATCGCTCGGCTGCCGTCGAGCCGAGTAGATCAACCTGCCTACCTATTCTGGTTTTTGAGTAATCCCCGACCTTGATTAATACAGAACAAGTACTCTGAATTGGATTGGATCTAAAAGTCTATGCAATTAAAAAACGAACTACTGAGAAAACCTCCAAACGTTAAAGAACAAAATCGAAAGGACAAGGTGTGTTGTCTATAAATTTCTCATCTATTTGCCCTAATATGTTATTCTTAATAATTTCATGTCTTAACTTAATTCTCTTTATTTACCTTAGATTAAGATTAATACTTCAGTCGATTTAAAAGTTTTGCAATACACACTAATTTAATAGGCTAAGTTTAAAAGATGTTCAGGATTTTCTGGTAATAATGACTAGTTTAAAAAGGAAAAAAGAATCAGTTTTGGATGGAAGAGGTAAAAAAAACCCAAACAATCGAGTCCAATGGACGTTCCAATCACTTAAATAGTTCCCACAATATGAAGGAGAATCGCTATTCAATAGACTCTCAAGGTCCCTTTCTTGTTTATGTCTTCGACCGCTATCACAACAAGAATTTAGGTAAATTACATGAAATGTCACCAGAGCAGACATAAAACTGAAGATAAATATAAAATCAATCTTTTTTGTAACTCTGTTCAGGACTCGAATGATATTTTAGAGTCATAAAACATGCAACTTAACATAAATTGGTTCACAGCCATCCCAGATGGTAGAGTCAAATCGATGGGGATTAATAGTGATGTCCCAATTGAAATAAATATGGATGATCTTCTAAAAGATATACGACTTCTGATATACACCACTCTACCCCTGATACTAATGTTTTTAAACACGAAAGGTTTCACACAAGAGATCCAGATCGAGACATTTCGGAGAGTGGTGTAATTCAATTATTACTCTCCCAGGTGGTCCAAGTCTTTTGGCATGATTTTCTATCTGCCTCATGAATGGTAAATAAAGTGGTAAAGAGAATTAGAAACGAGCATTCCATCAACGTCCCCGTCGCTAAAGCGGTCAGGGCGGCTCTGATAACATATGAATCAGATGTATTTGCAACATTTCGAGATTTCATTGCGAAAAGTGAATCGCATGTTAATTTGAAAGTTGCCAATTTATCTTGCGACAATGGTAGAGTATTTATCCAATGATATGAAAGACTATTGCGTACAAAAAGGTATTAGTTACCACTTAACAGTTTCGCATAGTCCATCATTAAATGGTTTTGGAGAAATAATGGTGAAAACCATTACTGAAAAAGCTCGTACAGTACTAAATGGTGAAAAATTAATCAAAATATTTTGGGGAAAAAGCCAACTTTCCACCTAAAGCTTTGAAACAAATTAACACATCATATGGAATGTGGTACGGTAAAAAAGGCAAAATCAAGATATTTAAACATTTTTGTAAGCACAGCTGATGGGCATATAATAAAACAAGAAAATCAAAATTTTATGGCAAATCTTGCCAAGGAATTCTACTGGGTTGTGAACCGAACAGTTATAAGGTGAGGAATGTGAAAACTATAAAATTTATCATTATAAGAGATGTAATCGTGGATGAAATCAATTTTTCGATCTCAAGGCCAGAAATGAGACTTGAAGGAGTTGTAGTAGAAAACTTCAATAATGAACCTGATGAACATGGTATTCCTGAAAAGTCAGTTCAGTATCAAGAATCTAATCTAATCTAAATCCTATGAGGAACCTGATCGTTGTGCTCAGGCTTTTCCTGTCCATGTTGAGTCTTCCTTCCTGATTTGGTACTTCTTGGTGGTTCTATCATGTTTTTCATTTAATGGATTTTTTCCTAGGATACCCTGCTTGGCGTGTATTGCCCTGGCTGAGATTCCTTCTCCTTGACATACCAGTCTGCATGCGGCAGATTCTGCCTTGCTTATCCGCACGAGATCAAGAGGTGGCAGATCGAAAGCCACCTCCAGTGACAATTTTTGTATTAAAACGACCTAACCTAAATCTGGTGGATAGCAAATATTTAATTGCTTATAATGAAACTTTTGCTTCTGTTGCGAAAAACTCAAGTATCCATTTCATTTTAGCTTTTGCAAATCAACATAATCTATTGATTCATCACAAGAACCTTAAGACTGCCGTTTTGAATGGAGAATTAAAAGAAGAAATTTTCAGCAGAATTCCAGAGGGTGTGACTTGTAAATCTCATGACGTTTGTAAATTAAACAAAGCACTTTATGGGTTAAAATAAGCAGTAAGATGCTAATGTGAAACCTTTGAAAAAGCATTGCTTCAAAAAGGCTTTCAAAATTCATCAGTAGGTCGTTGTAACTTTTTCTCGAACAAGGGATAGATACGCAAAAGAATATATGATGCAGTCTATCTAGGTCACTTAGTGATTGGTACAGCTAATATTCACACGATGAAAAATTTTAAAACTTATTTGAGGAATAAATTTGGTACGACAGCCTTCAATGAAATTAAACTGTTTCTTGGAATTGAAACTGAAAGAAAAGATGATACTATAACTCTCGATCAAAGTGCTCATATTGAAACTGTTTTAGATAAATTTAATATAATTGCTTATAATTCTGTGAGCACGTCTCGTCCAAACGAAATGAACAATACGATTTGAATACAGATTTGAATTCAAACGAAACCGTTGCCACCAGCTAAGCTTTTGGAGTTGAAAGCCGGAAAGAGCACAGGACAGAAATTAATGAAAACTTTTTAAGGACATGTAATATATTAGTTATTTAAGGGTATGGTTTGAGCAGGTTTTACTGAGTTTCCCTGTCTCCATGCAACAAATGTTGAACCCTATGTAGATGCCCGTGTCTATGAAGAAGACCGATAATTATTTAGATTAATAAAACGTTGATTAGTTGAATAATTTTTGAGTGGACGTAGTCGAATATTTGAGTACAGATCCTCCATTGCTGTCCAAAAACCACTCTACAGACATTCATGACGTATTGGAGAAAATAGTCCCAGAAAAAGGACTATTTTGCAATCGTTTCATTTCCACTTTCTAGAAGGGCTTAATGTTGAACATATGTTGAAATTCGAAAAAGGACTGTATTCTCGTGTCATAAACTTTAACTTTCATTCTTTCTTTTACCAGTCAGAATTTTGGCGTTTATGGTCATAGTCAGTCCTGGACAACTCTCATCTAGTGAAGACGTGCCTTCCTCGTGCTGATAAAGAATAGATTATTAAGTCTTAAACAGCTTCTTAGAAGTTATTCATTCTCTTGCACCGATATTCCAATAAGTTATGTTCGAATGTACAGCTTAAGTATAACAGCGAAATACATGTAGAAGAAATGAAAATGTAATAGCAGCATTTGCAGATATATTCTTATTTATATATTATTTACATTAACAAATCCAAACGACGCTTTTTACACACCATTATTTATATGCCAACGTCATTTTTCATCTGCAAATTGGTTTGGATTATTTGATAATAACTTTCATACATGAAGAGATCATACTCCGAAACACATCTTCATGGGGAAAAAATTCTCTGTTATTCTCGATTCAATGAAAAAAATTACTCAATTCCGAAGAGGTTAGGGCGGAAGAAGAGAAGACCAGAAGGAAGATGAGATACAGGAAGAGGAAAGGAAGGCAGGAAAAGAAAAGAAAAAAGAGAGGAAATGGAGATATTGAAACCGACGTGAGCCTTGTCAAGGACCCCAGACGGTAGCAAGGACCATAGTAGGCGAAGAGATAGCACAAAGGTGGAAAAACGACAGAAGTAGAGAAGCAGGTAAACAACCCAGCAGAGAGTTAAATAGAGAAAGAAGATCCGAGTAGAGTAGACCTGTCCCAATAGGAAGAGCGACCACGGAAGGAAAAGAGTAAGAACCAATAGAATGAGGAAAGGGAAGAAGAAAATACGAAAAAGAATAAGAAAGACTACGAAGAAAAAGAAAAAAAGTGGGAGGAGAGAGACATGGAAAAGCTGAAGGAATGGATGGAAAATCTGGAATCTGGTCTGAGGCAAGCATGGTGGACATTGAATCACTGATTAGAACAGAGCTGAATGAAAAGAGAGACAGGTGTGAAGACTGTGAGAGGAGGAGGAAGGAGAAACAGGAGGACCAGATGAGGGACTAGGTCAGAGACCTACAGGAAAGATTGAGACAGAGTGAAGAAATAAATGACGAGCTAGAAGGGGGGGGGGGGTAGAACTAGATCAGGAGAGAGGAAAATATGTCTATACTGAAGAAAAGGGCTCGGTTACGGACACGGATCATTCTTCTTCTTCTAATTTTTTAGATGGCACTGACTTCAAGTCTTGCGGCCAGGAGATAATATGTCTGGCTTCAATATAAAAGATACCGTGCTGGGCGGCGAATTTATGTATGGATCTCTGCTTGGCCAACTGGGGGTAGTTATCATCGGTAGAGGGATGTCTTCCTCTGCAGTTAATGCAGGAAGGATCTTGATCGGCTTTAGGATAAGGGGGGCCTGAGCGGAGGTTGTTAGGTTCAGCCTTGCCACAGTGATTGCAGGTTTCTTGACTTCTGCAGTGGGATTTGTAATGGTCAGAACGAAGGCGTTGGAGCATCTTTTAACTTGTGACGAATAGGGGCTGATCTGGAATCAAATGTTGTATAGGGCATATACCATATACTTGGCAAACGAAAAATTAATTATGCATCTTAATTTTTTTGCAGCTCGGGGAAAAAAATCCCTCCAACCGGACCTTAATCGTGTGGAATTTTAAACGCTCGATTCGATGGTTCGCACGACCTATCGCATCTCATTTATTGCTTTTGTGTCAACGCTAGAGCTCGAATCGCGAATACTAATGAAAGATGCAGTTAAAAATAACAGATGTCGGTTCATTCTCGGTATTAATTCAGTAGTCAAGTGGTAAACTGAGATAAGTTGAATTTTACAGTTTGTTGAATATCTGTTGATTCCGGGAACCATTACATTGAGTTTTTGGGAAAAAACGTCGTAAGAACTTTAATCAGCTGCAAAAAGTTCTATACTATTTTCAAAAAGCGCTTTTAAAACTTTTATGAACTTTTTAATTTAATTCTCAAAAGAATTAATCCGCTATAGAAAAAATATTCAAAAATAAAGAGGAATTCTAATGATTCAATTTAATACTGAGAGAGACAAGAAAATTTATTCGTATGTATCAAGCGAATGAATTTTGTCAGATAGTAAGTTTTTTTTTCCCAGTACAGTACATTGCTACTTATTTCAAATGAGATTTGAGAAAGATAAATACAGCATTTTCCTCTTACGCAATCGATTCACGGAAGCTATTAGCGGGCTTTTAATTAGCGGTTGTTTCACGCAAACAAGGGTGAAAAGTAAAACGCACGACCGCACCTATGGGTGAGGTCGTATTTTATTGATTCGATAGGATCCCCAAAGAGTATACGAAGATAAAAAAAAAATGAGCGAATGTAAAAGTCAGTATGAGTAGCAGTAATTAATTTTTTTTAAATAATCGTCTGCACCGTCTTCCAGAGGGTTTCCAGAAAATAGGGCTGTGTCAGACCTTCAACCACCATTAATACACATTACATGGCGCAATTTTATTTATGGAGGTGTTAACAGAGTCCAGGGAGTGGTGAAGATGAACAAAAAGAGTCTTGATGCCCAGCTGAGGTTGTGGCGGGATTTTTATCGGTGGAAATTCCGAGCGAGTTAGATCGGACAACACACCAGTGTTCAGAGGGCAGAAGGGAATTATATATGACCCCAGGGGCACCCTTTGGCTGCCCCACAAAGAGCGGTTTATTTTTTTGCGGGAATATCTTATCTCGGTAAATATTTCCCCCGAGTATTTACATTCGGTCCAATAAAAGCGGAGAGTTGGACTTTTGATGGGATTCATTGGAGGAAGGATAACCACGTGCGATCGCTCTTGATACGTTTATTCGTCGAGACTTATGTGTCCGGAGTTTTATCGCAATTAACTCAATGCCAATTCTCTGGCATCTTTGCTAATCTATTTTTTTATAAATACCATGAATTTTATTATTATGTAACATGCGTGAACTATTAATAAATCTAGACAAAAAGCCGATATAGCGCAATTGAAGAAAAATAAAAGAAAAAAGTACTGTAACGAAAATAGATTAATTCAAAAGATTCTATATCCTAAACCCACGGTATTAGTAAATCCAAAAAATGGATAGAAATATAACGGATACCACCGAAACGGATTTGAATGTGCAGGGGAACAGGAAGAGTGTAATCGAAGGAAAAAATGTGAAAAAAAAATTGGATGATTGGAATTCCCGCGGTGATACACAAGCATCGATTCGGCCGAGTGGACGCAGGTATCACCTTGCTACCTTCACGGATATATCATTTACTGATGGTCGTACTGAGTATGTAGCATTGACGAAAAACCAGTGTCCTATACACGTGTGTGTTCACTCGTCGCGAACGCAGGTGCATGTGGGCGATCCTCTCTGCGATTCCCCACACCCTTCGTTGTGTTGCTGCTTTTTTTTTAAATTTTTTCGTCGTTCTCTCGTTTTGTTGTCTACATACACGAATGGTACTTGTTGGTGGTGGTTTATTCGTGAAAGTTGGACTCATCGCGGTGTGGGAAAGTAACGCAATACCATGGGATCCACCTTTGGAGGAGCTGGACCGCGATTCCCTGTTGTCAAACTCCCACGAAGTTGGGAATATTCGAAGCTTTGGGAAACTCTTGCATTTATTCCGCAACTTTCCATTATTTTCAATCAAATGGACTCGATATTAATAATTTTTCCCACCAATTTCCATCAGTTATTGCTTTTGGAATTGAGATATTATTATTGTCTCTACCTAATTACATGAGGTTCACTAGTTCCACACTTTTTCCAAATCAATAACTTACGAGAAAATGCGGACAAATCAATTAATGAATTTCATATCTTGAGGAATAGTCAGGTAATTATCATTATTGAAGTCACTTGGTAGTTCATTAATTGAACGTTCAGATCATGAATACCGAGTGCTTCTCAAGCCCTGAATATTCATGGAACCGATTCCATTTTCATCTCCAATTCCCTTTGCAGATACCAGATCGACTAGGAATGCAGCCTGTCCTAATTACCCATCAAATCGTTAAATATTTCTCTCTCATTCTCACCAGATAAAAACCATGCAAACCGGGAACTCCATGACTCCCTTAAAGCGTCGAAACTTTTCAGTAATTCGCGTTTAATAAAATTAATCCGACAAAGGAAAAAGTCCCACATTCTGTAGTTAATAAACCACAGATATTTAAATAACTACACAGACTCTTCCTTGTCTCTAGAATTACGTCTCTGAAAGCGGTGATTCTTCTCATGTTCTTGATGCATCGTACTGATGCCGAACTTAAAGTACATAGAAATAGAACGGATTAGTTATTGTTAACAAATGGTTTGTTTTGGCGACTATTCAGCCTTCATAAATGTTCCTTCGTTAATAATTAAGAAATGTGTATTGACGATCTTCGATCGACAGGACATTCACCTTTCCAATGAATCATTTGACATTTACCAAAAGTTCAAAATTCAACGTATCTCCCTCCAACCTGCACTTGCCCCTGAATTATTTCATGAAAATTAATGAAAAATGAAGAAATACAAGTTAATTCCATCAGTGAATTCCGGATTCCCCTGAATTCCAAAATAGCAAAGAGAAAATAAGAACTAAAAATAGAAAAAATGCCGAATATTGAATTTCATTGTCAGAATTAAACCGATTAGATTCAATTACATGCAAAATAACTAGTGCGGGCAAGTGGTAATTAAAAAAAATAAAGGAATTAATTTTTTAATGTTGTAGTGACTGATCGTAGTGAGAAATAATTTGATGAGGTTTTATGGAGGTCTGAAATATTGGGCACAAAAGTGTGGGAGGGTAGACGAAGGTTTAGTCGGTGGCGCATAACACACGGTGTTCCTCGATTCCCTCTCTCTCGGGTGCCACACCGGACGTGGGCTGGCCCCTCTGGCCCCCACAAGCAAAACTCCAACCTAGTGGAGCTGAGAGGAAGAGAGACAGAATCTGTGGAACAACACAAGAGTGTCTGGTCGAAGGGGCCGACTAGTCGTGCCGCAGCTCCCGTGACGAAAGCATCGTCATTCTCAATCTCGTCATCGTCATTATCATCATTTCAATTATTCCTGTTAGTTTCATTATTCCCAACATCGAATTCCCAGTCCTCAAAATTTCATGCCTTCCATCCCACCCCCCGGAACCACTCTATTCCAAAAATTTTCCAAATATTCCCCCAAATCATCGCGTATTTTTCAGTGTACTCCACCCGAACATATCCAATGATCATCGATGGAGGCAATCGAGTGCAAGAGTGATCGAAAAAAATTGTCTCGCGTTGTAATTGACCGATGACTGTGTCGAGTAAAATAATAGTGCGGTGACTCGTCTCGGTAGTGACTCGACGCGGAATTCAATTGTGGTATTACCAGAGAATTTCTCCAGTGATTGCTACTCTAGGTGTGGCTTAAAATGAAATAATATTAAATATCACCCCCAGCCCCGAGAATTAGAGGTCCACGCACGTGCGGCTGCAGCCGTCACGCGCACCACTCATTAGCATTCTAATCCCGATTTACAATATCGTGTTGTCAACACTTATAGCGTCGAGGATCGACTTATCAGTCAGTTTTTTTTTTCTGAATTTTCCATTGGCGCCTGGTGCAGGTGATAAGGGATGCTGAAGCACGTATCGGTATCGCCATGGCGCAGTCGATCGGACAGCGTGAGTCTGGCGTCGAGCAGCGGTGATACGAGCAGTTGTGAAAGCGGAAGTCCAACCCCAAGTCACACACCACCACCCTCGAGGGCATCTTCTTGTGCATCGCTCGCACCACTCACTGCCCTCTCGAGTTTTTCACCTGCCGACACGGCGCCTCAACAGGTATATGCACTGATTTTTTTTCCCACATTTAGTGAATAGGGAAAATCCCCCGGAGAGGCGTAGAAATGAAATTCGTCATTGCACCCTCCAGACGGTATTTGTACCATTTTTTTTTGCGCCTGTCAAACACCACCGTGGGAAGATTCTTGTAGTCTCATATGTTTATGTATCATCTCGTGTGGCAAATGGAAAAGAAAAAAACATTTACCAACGCAACAGACACTGGCCCACACATGTCACCATATTTTTCAACTTGTTTTTTATAATCAAATATCCTTTTTTTTTGTTTATTTCCTTCTCCGAACACTTGAGGGCCGATAACCGCCTCGTATTATGCGGCGGTGTTGATAAGAGATAAAAATAGCGTGCAGTTAAGTCACTCGGATGGGTTTGATGGGAAATAAAAGAGTCTGGCGGAGAAATAAAAGAGATAATGAATGAAATGGGACTGAATTGGTTTAACCGGCTGGAGGAATTTTCCGGTTGTGCTTCCTCGGGGCAATTACATCGACGGCCTCTGACTTCCGTCGTGGCGTCCACTACGGGTTACTTCCGGTCCTCGAGATGTCGGAGAGACGAGTCGGGGCCCATCTGTCGATGGGGGAGACATTCTCCAGAGAGGCCGTACATCCTGCGGGCTCGCGTGCGCGTGCCCGGGATCAGGGCAATATAATCAAGGGAGGAATTTAAATCACGACGGTATGTCTTCTCCGTGGGTTCGATTACCGTCAGGAATTTCGGAGATTGCAGACCTTCAAGTCGTTTCCTGGGTCTTCCTTAAGTATTGCCCGCATAAATCGGATTTCTTTGGGAGAAATCATGTTTTCATGGTTTTTCAACATCAATGAGCAATTTATTATTTATATTTTTGGATAGCTTCTTAATTAAAATTCAATTGAAATCATTGGAACTAGAATTGAAAATTCAGACGATGAATTTGTAACTGAAATTTCAAGAAATGTCAAGAAAAGAAAAATCAAGTGATCAAGAAAATAGAATTGATATTCGCAGTATATCTCATGGGTAATTCTAAGCATTTAATCTGTTATTTGAGGATTTGTGAAGTAAATTCAGCTCTCCAACGTAAACACAGCGAAATTCTCGAAATAGTTTGGAATTTTTAAACAGTTCTGCGGAAATGTAGAAACTGGAAAACATCCTGGGGGAATTGTTTCACGGTTTACGTTTCTCGTTTTGTTTTTGCGAAAAAAAAGCGGAGTGGTATTGCCATCTGGCATCAAGGCCCTTCTGTACCGTGTAATTGCGTCAAAACCGCCAACAGATGCATCACGTTTGAGCGGTCAACGACGTGCCAAACCCCCGAAAGTGCAATTGCTGCTGTTGAAGTATTTTTTTGATGAAGAGGAGTTCAATGAGAGAGAATTCGGATCGATGGGAGAAATAGCGTGATGACGGGTTCGCGGTTGCGAATGCCGGGGGTAACAATGAATAGAAAGCCTTTGGGAATTTGGTTATAAAGAAGAATCGAGTTCCGCGGTTTTTCTCTGCATCACGCAACATCCATAGCACACGGCTTCTCAATTTCCGTTCAGAATATTTCAACGATGTACACATTATTACAATTTATTTTTTATGTTAGTTATCTTTGATTTTTCAACACTGAGCACCCGAATGAGGTTGAATTACTCAATTATTTCTGGAATTTGTTTAAGTTACCTTCGGTTGACAAATTAACTTTAATAAATTTTAATAATCTTTAATAAACTTGAATTAACTTTGACACTGTCGAATATCTTCCTCGGATCATTGATACGACTAACTGAAATGATAAGCGCACAACTATGGATTTTGAGAAAGATCTTGAATTGATAATTGATAAAAAGGTAAATTTTGATTTACGATGATGACTTCATTGGTTTTATTACTCGATTGTTGTTGGTGGTTTTGAACAATTTAAATTATTCGTCTTCATATCCGATTCAAGGGCAATCTGTCTCGCGCGCGGCTCGCGATCTATTGACACTTGGTCAAGTGATGTTAAATGATGAGGTTAATTGATCTACTAAGCAGCAAGTGTACGCGTACGGCCTATTTTCGGATCGATTTTCTTCCCTCTGTTTCCAAGCCCGACGCACTGGAAAATCGGATAATTAAGGGTTTAAGTTCCGTTGCAGGAGGCAATTAGGAAATTGAGACGAGGGTTAATTGCTCGGGATTATTCCCCCCCCGTTGGGAGGAATGTTTGTTACGATATAGAGACGGAGGTGGGGCCAACAGAATCCTCAGCATACCCCATATGCCGATGAAACCCTAACATTCAGAGGAAGTTGATTTAATTTGAGGTGGAAATCATTTTTCGGGAATATCTTGTAATGTAAACCTGATAGCGAAGTATTTGCGCACTGATTAATTCCTCAGCGATGATTCAGGATGGATTACTCAGATAAATGACGAAACAAAGAAAATATACAATCAACCCACGAAAACTAGCTTTCTAAATCTCAAAAATTGATAATTACTTTAATTAGAATGAAGATAGGCTTGTAACTATAATGGACACGGCGTTTCCTGTTCCCATCAAATGTCCTGAAAACTCGAAGGAAATTCAAGCCTCAGCTTTCTACAACAATCCTACAACGAAGACCTAGAAAAAATCGCCAAATATTCATTCACTTGAGACAATATCTATTTTGAAGGAAATTTGTTTTTTTTTTCTTGAGAAAACTATAAAGATTTTGATCATTTACGGACTACCGATCACTCGCCGAAGCTTTAACATCATATACTTAGGTATATGATGACTTTCTAGAGTAATAAAATAGTCATAACTGAAGTCTAATGAGGATTCCCTGTGAATGACTGGACACGTGACTAAGAAAGCAAATTATTTCTCGAAGTAATTATAATATATATACAAACATTTTTTAATGTATGTATGTAATTGCAATGAAAGCACATACATGAAGACTGCGCGTATATATCGTTATAGAGACAATTTACCAAAGGCATCTTCAAAATTTCCAAAAATATTGCAATTTCCACCAGATTCCCTCATCTGCGAGAATAACAGAATAAAAATTGCATGACCAATACCCAACAACAACACAACACATAACATGGTTACAACACGTCAGGATCCATTTAGCTACAAATTTATCTCCGTGTGATACCGAGAACAAAGGTGTCTCACGCAGATGCGTCATCTGCTCGTTAAACCGACGCGAAAACACGACGAAGAAAAAAATATTGAAGCGAATTTTCCTTAATTAGTGTGGCCAGCTGTCGAAACACTTGATATTTGATATAAAAATCGGGAAAAGAGAATTACGGTGCCCGCATGGTATCGACGACAAAGCCCGAGGTAGAAAGGCGTCAGGGCAGCCGGATGCTCATTCACACGTACAACGGGGTACAACGAGAAATAAAATAAAAAAATCCACCAATAGGACACGTTTTTGTATCCCCATGTGTGTAAATATCGTGTGGAGGGCGCGTGCGATAGGAAAATAAAAAGGGAAATACATAACATGATGTTGAGGACACACCATTGGATCGTTTGAAACAATCAGCCTCTGGGCTGCTGGCGCTCATGCACCAGTCATGAGGAGGAAGAAGCAATTAAGCCGAGTCGTATCCGTTTGTTGGGATGACGCTTTGAATTGTAGGAGAGTACCATAAGTACATCGGTATTACCCCGATATATCCAGGCCCTTTCCAACATCTGCTAGCATTTCCTCTCGTCCGCACGCGCCGGCTACGACAGGATGTGCGCTCTAGAGAAGGGAAACACCTTTGTTTCCTTCTTCAGAAACACATCAAACCCGATGCTCTCCTCGTCGTGTAAATCATCAGTTGCCAGCTCCAGTCGTACCACGGAGATACGCATTTTCCATGATTTTACTAGTCATTCTTGAATAATCAGTGCTGAGGAAATTGTCAGATTGTCATTGCATTGATCAGGAGTGTGGCTTCCTCACCATTGTATTTTTCTATTGTCTGGGAATTGTTGACTAGTCATTTTCAAGAGAGTCTTTCAAATTTGCTCAACAATTGTTACGCGAGTTATTAAGAGTCAAGAAAATTTCTGAAATTACATTTATTACATTATATTCAATGCTTACTCAATGTTTACTCGGAATTGAATCTGGGAATATAGGAATTTCAAATGACCTTATCAGCTATTGCAAAACCCGAAGTATTAATTCAAATTTAACAAATTCCACAATATTACCCATGAAATTCAGTAGAAGTCATTGAATAATCCGTGGCCTTCACGAAATACCGAAAGTTTTCCCCAATGACTTCCGAAAAAAATCCAAAAAAAGGAATTGCGCGATGTTTGCAGCGATTGCGTATAAGCGGATTGACGATCGAACAGTCATATATGGTTTCATCGTGGGTTTAATCGACTCGAATGATTGGCCAACGGAAATAATCCCAGGATGTCACAGTGCACCTCGGCGCCGCTCATTATGTAAACCGGGTCGTGTGACAGGCTTACAAAGAAGTCGAGGGTGAACGAAAGAGTTTGATTAATCCAAAGTTTCATTTCCTATCTCTCGTTTTGCCGAATGGCTAGGTGAAAAAAAATTCTCGTGCGAAATATCCATTCGCCACACAACGAGGCGTTATAATATTCCGGGATACAAACAAGACAATAATAATTTCCTCAGCAGCTCCCAGGCTTTCTCATGAACACCGAGACACGTTGACGATGCCCATTGTCTTTCACAGACTTGGAGACGAGAGAGGGATTAATGAGACGCGAGGAGAGCCGAGTGATTTCATCCGGGAAAGCGTGGTTTTTATTTTTAATTTGTTATGAGTGCTTTCGAAAGTAAGAAGATGATCTATGATTTAATTGTGTATTGGTATTGTTGCGTGTCAAGTGACGTTTACTCTACACCAGCTTCGGGTTTAATCTGCGTCAGCATTTATTGAAACTCCCCCTTTGTGTATATTAATATCATTTGGGCCATGCGACACCGGTGTCGCAGTGTCAGGACTTTTATTCCATTATCTTATCATTGAAAAGGGAGTAGAATTCGTCTTCAGGGGATTTTTATTTCGAGAGAGTTACAGCAAGAATTCAAAGAGGACTACTAACATTACCGGATCTCGTCTCAATATCGGAAAAATTCAGTGAAATTTTTTACGAAGATTTCAGAATTGTCGATTATAATCGGTTTAGGAATCAATCCCTGCGGATTAGGGATGTGTCTCTGGAGCGAATTAATTCTTCTCTTTGTGGTTGTGATAGCGTGACGCACGGCGTCATTGCAGTGGCAATTAATTCAATTTGAACAAGTGAACAAGGAGAGTACGCGTTCGCACGAACTACTTTTTGCCATCATTTTTTTATACTGGTCTATTTTGCCGCAGTGATGCGCACTCGGAAATGTACAATTTTAATCAACCTCGTTTTTCGGTATTCCGCTTTTTCCGATTCAATTATGTAGGGTAATGGTTGTGGTTTTCCCAGGGCGCATTTCAGGCTTAGATGTGGATTAATGGGGAATAGGATCTATTTTTTAAAAGTCCATTAAGTTGAACCATTTTTATTTATTTTTTTAACCTTAAATTCAGATGCCCAAAACGCATCTCAAAGTGTTAGTACTAATGTTATAAAATTTCTATTGAAATCTTTAATAATTCATAATATTATTATTAAATCGAGATCAATTATTCCATTTTCTTAAAACTGAACATTTCCTGTTTAAAATCAACAATTTATTCCTCTGAGGGATTACAGGTCTTTTTCTGGAATATTTATTGGAAAGTTCAAAACAATGCAATATGCTTGACAAATCGTTATTGAATTGGGGCTGGGACTGTCTCTCGAGCACTGAAAAATTAGTTTACCGGAAATAGATCTGGGTTTGGGGTATTTTAGGAGACACCAGCCGGTGGGGATATTAGGCCCTCGACGAATGGGCACGGGACAGCCGGGAAATTGGGGAAAGGATGTGACTGCACGTGCTACCCGGTGATCACCCGAGAGTGTCTTCTCGAAATCGTACGACTAGCTTCTTGGCATTTTTTTCAAGCATTTTTTTGGGCTCTTGGTGCTTCCGTTTTTATTTTTATGAGGGTGCCGCGTTAACCCATTACCACGTGCGACAGATTGTCATCGAGGGAGACTTGGTAATTTTTGGAAATTACATTGAGAAGAAAAATGGAATTTCTATAAGTCTGGTTTCTCATTTTTTATTCTATTTTTCTATTTTCGATTTGTAATTTTAATTAAGAATGAATTAATACGTATTGAAATTTTATAATTCATGATTTTATTATCGATTTTTAATAGAATGAATTTATTTTTAATGTTTGGTTTTTGGTGATCGGTTTCAGACGACAATTAAGGTATACGCAAACTGCCTGCGGCCTGACATCGAGTATAAAACCCTGTCGATCACTTATAAAACTACGTGTCGTGAGGTTGTTGAAAATTTGTTGAACAAGTACAGAATGCGACACCGTGATCCCCGGCTTTTTTATTTGACGATGGAGGTGACGGTCAGGAGAGCCAACGTAAGGACTATTTTGCCACTTGACGAGGATGCAAGACCTGCAGTTTTGCAGTCGTGTCATCCGAGAGGCGATTCGAGGTAACATGGGTTAATGTTCGACATTAACTAAATTTCTGGCGCTTGTCCGAACTCGGGGTTTAAATATCTTTTTTTTTTTTCAGATTTTCCCTGCAGACGAGGCGAGGAGGACTCGTGAAAATTTACGACAGCGCGCTCATGTCCGGGGTAAGTTCGACAAAATCGAGAAGAATAATATAACTTTCATAATTAATGGATGAAAATTTTAATTTGATAATAAATATCATTCCAGTCCAAGTACAAAAGCCTCTTGATCTCGGAGCGGACATCTGTCGATGAATTAATTCAGATGCTGCTGAGTTGCTACAACTCCACCGAGAGGGTCGAGCAGTTTTCTCTTTACGAGGTCAGTGAGGGTGAGGAGTACCAAAGAAAATTGCATCCTGATGATTCACCCCTCAAAGTTACCCAGAAGTGGACAAGTGTGGATAGACACCTGCGTATCAGGCGAAATCCAGATTACAACCCACACAGGAGAAAGGTGAGTTGAATTCCAGATTATGGCGTTGTTGAGTAACCGCATTCCGATCTCATCGAGATTTATCTCTATATATCATTCGATAAATATCCCGGGAACGGGTGTTTACGGGAACAATTGTTCTACGAGCTTTGCTTGATGATGTAACCCATCGGATTGAATCGAATTGATCATCCAATTTTTCTTTTCAATTGAGTATTTTATGGAAAAAGTACGAGACTGGGATATTTTGAAGAAAACATTGCAATCTGGTTTTTTTTCTCAGAGTATGTGGGCATCGGAGACGACAATAAGTGCAGCCCTGTCCCGATTGAACATCCACAACAATCATCGTCTCCATCATCTGTCCCAGCAATCCCTAAATGACGCCAATCCCCCGCCAACAGCCAGCACAAACAATGCCCACTGTATGTTACTAAGACAGTGCCCCAAGCACAAGAGTAATCGACACATGCACAATCACACGTACAATTCAATTCAGAGTATCGGACTATCGGGATCAACGAGTCAGCAGCAGGACTGCGGTACAAGCGTTGTTCCACGTGTTACGAAATTATCTGGTCTAATGCCACAGAGTTTACCTTCAACGCCATTGACGTCCAAGCATCTCGCAACACCGGGATATGCGGATTATGAAAATTATCTGTACATATGATAGCGTAATGAGGTCTTTATACACTTCCAGGTATCGTTTTAAAACTGCCTACCCAATCGTATGTTCGATTACTTTTCTGCAATCGTATCATGACTTTTTCTGGACAGTCTTACTGGGATTTCCAGTTTCTATTGAGTAACGATGGCTAGTAAGAAGTGGAGGAGTTTATTGTGTTAATTGATAAGGAAATGAGACAAAAATGTACCAAAGGTAGCTGTTTACTGTATACTAAAAACAGGCAGCGTATTATTGAACTGTAGAATTAATTAATTTTAAGGAATTGTAAGATGTTGATGTTTCACGCTCGTGGCACGAATCCCGGAAGTAAGTGTAACATGGGATATTTCGAGTTTTTTTCGGAGGAAAATTCAGTTCACTAATTCAGTTAACGATATTCAAATGAATTTTCTCTTTTTTTTCGTAAATGCTGATTTATGTGTAAGCCTATTGGTTTGTCGTAAAAACATTAGAAGACTTTTTTGCTGGAAATTGAATTTCTTGTAACAAAGATTTTTTGATATTTCCTTCTAAAATTGATAGTTTTTAAGATATATCTATGTTCACAAAAATATTGAAAATAGTCATTGAAGCTCGTTGGAATTCTGACTTTGGATGGACGAATGAATTTTCCTCCGTTGGCACTTGTAAAATTACTCTTTGATGTACATAAGCAACGGTTCCTTATTTATTCTCGAAAATGATAACTTTAATTGTGTTATTCGAGGCAAATGTGTTTATTTGAGTCAATCGAAGTTGAGTAATTGTCGGTGCAGTGTTCAATTTTTTACGTGGAATCTTTATCCAAGTATTTAGAGTCTTGAATGAATCCTTCTTTTTTCTATGGCTTTATGACTTCACCAACAAATAAATGGAGAAATAAATAATGTGACTTGGACAAGGGAAGCTCATTTCTTCAGCCCATTCACATAATATAGCACTACTTGGTAGGATCGTAAAACAGTCACCGATAGTCCGAAAATAGCACATGCACCTGCGCTCTTGGATATTAGAAATAAAATGCGTAAGCACTCACCAGCTCCAGTGTTTGGTTCCAGTTTCCATTAGAAGATATATCTAGATTTTTTCGGCTCTAATGGAGAGGGACAGAGGAAAAGCAGGTAAGACAGCATCGTAAATCCACCCAGATGAAATAATTATTGAAAATCACTTTCAATTGTCTGGTAGTCACTCACAAATCCCCCACACCTTCATTAAACTCAAAATTAGGAATGCATAATTGTTAACACAAATGACGCCATTTTAAAAACGCTGGAATCCAGCGAGATTTTCGTAATTTAAATTTTTTAGTGCCATCAGCCATGAAAAATTAATTAATTCGTTAGTTTGGGTTAATTAATGGCTATTAATTAAAACCGGCTCGCCATCACTCACTATTATTATCAATAAATTCAAGCAATATCATATGAAGCCATGAGCAATTACAAAATTGTGAAGGTTTTCCCTTTTCCGCTAAAGTGGTTAATGATTTCGCCCGTTTGTGTATGAAAAAAAGTTGAAGGTTAATTAAATATGTTAACCACGGTTATATAATTAATTATCATTTTTTTATATCCCCTGCTTAACACAAATGTTACCTCGTATTGAACGATCATCACTCATAACTGTTTTGTTCCGTACATTTTTTCCTCTTTATTCCTGAAAATTCGAGAGGATTGAGCCCGTGAGACAATGAAAATGATGTTTTTTTTCAAGTAAAAACAATTTGTCACGTAATAATATTATTCCTTGTCGTTGTTTACCTCCCAAACTGCTATTCAATCCCCACGGAATCAATATTCAATTCCGCAAGTGTAACTCAATAGTTTTTATGTCTTTTTTTTCATTTTTTGTGATTGTGACACGGGAGATTAGGCGGGAACGCGGAAACAACTGCGTGCGCATCCCCTCTTGCCGCGCACAATGGCGAAGCGCATGCGTATGCCGCGCTTTTGTATCACACGACGCCGCCGGGGGAGAGGAATTGCAATAACAAACAAAAGACGATCACTCGGTGTTTACAAGTGGTTTGTTCCTCTAAAAATGTGAAATAACACGTGGACAATGGTTTTGAATATGGATTTTTTTTTAATATTGAGTGATATTGAGTGAGTACAATAACAGGACGAGTCAGAATTTACTGATGGGTGACCCGATGTCGAGGGAAAAGTGATAAAAATTTTCCGGATCAATTAGCAGTCAAGTGATTCTCATCTCAACGATTATCTATCGCAGTTGGAACATTTGAGTGATGCATGGGCGTGGAGTGAGTACTGAATTAACATCTGTATGTTATTGTTAATTGGGAATAGTTAAATATTAATTAGAGATTGAGGGGGCTATGGCATTCGAGACGATTAAGCGGTCTGTTCAAAACTATCTGGCGGGGTGTCATGATTTTTGAATGCTGCGAACACATTTAGGAATTAGCGACGGCTATCGATTATTCTGATTATCGGTGTTTAGTTGGGTTTTTATCGATCTTCTCGAGGTTTCGTGGTCCATCGATTCCGGGAATCGGGTAAATCCCCTGGTGTGATATATTTACATGATTTCTCGACAAGAAATTCGTGCTAGAATTACACGTTGGCACGTCACCCTCAGAAATCAATGGTAAAGACCCCGGGTTTTCGTTTCACTTCAGACGGAAAAAAATGTTTGACGAATAATTACGCAATGTCACGTACCACGCACATGTTTCGAAAAACGTGTCGGAGGAAGCCGCCCCGGGGGGTAATTATGCTTGGAAAAGGCTCCAAGTTCCATAAATCTCAAAATAATTCATGATCCATTGGATTTAAAAAAACGTGGAAAACAAAATAATCAACTAAATAAATAGCGTTAGATAACCATATGATTTTAATAACTCGTTAATCACTGGAGAATAGTAGGAAAAATGAAGGATCTTTTAGTTCTTCAACAATTGATACCACAAGAATACAAGGGAATTAATTATATATAATATTTTTTTTAATCGTTTTCATTTACTTTAGGATTCAAAGGATAACATCACAGCATTATCAACATTGAAACAAACGTGACAATCGCATTCTCCGATTTTCCTGCACCGATCACTTCATCATTATGTTTCATCTTATTTATGAAATTAATAAATTCAAGCAATGAACAAGAGATGAGGTAAAATCACTACTTTTGGCGATTTCCTTGCGAATGATGGAGTGAAACTTGAGTTGCTATTTCTCACTAGGTATTTAGGTACTTTTGTTAGAAAAACATTTTAAGAAATTGAGCGGAGAGTCTCTAAAATTCGATAATCAAATGTTAAAGTCTAATAAATCGGATTTAACAATTCATTTAAATATTCATTGATCTTTAAAACTATCAATATTAGAAGAAAATATGGAAGGACCTTTTTTTATCGAAAATTTAATAAGCCATAACAAAGTCTTGTTATGCTTTCACTAGAAATCAATAGTTTAGGAGATGAATCGATTATTAACGAAATTATTAAATTCGATTTATCCAACTCGGTCGTGATACATTTTTTTTTTAATTCAGAAATTGATTAATCGAGGAATTTTTTTGTGAATCCCATCATCAGAGTTAGAAAACAGTTGTTTCGTCGGATTTTGTTCGAATTGTCAGCTGCAGGTTTTCATCGCCATTTCAATCTATAGATTGCTTATTTCTATAGAGATTCTTCGAGTCGCTTCAGCGGACTTTATGATTTTGTGGTAATTACTCTATTTAATTGATGAATTTATTATGGAGAAGACTATGAGCCTCGGTATTGACTCAGTAAAAAGAATTACAGGTTTCCAATCGTCGGGGGTCAATAATTTGTATGAAATGTGAAAAAATAAACATGGATAAGTCGATATTTCTCGTCTTCATCCAAATTTGGAATTTATTCTCACTGATTCGAATCGGCCGATTTTATCCCTCGATTGGTCGACTCTACTTAACAATAACGGGAAGAATAATATTAGCGGCAAAAAATGTCAATCGGCCCAGTGGCCGATTAGGATTTAATTGGAGTTTTATCAGTATAAAACTCCAATTAAATCCTAAACCGTACGTTAATTCAAATTTAATCAACATCTCGTAGTAAAAATCCATCACTCGCAATTTAATTGTTTCGGTCCGATAATTAGAACGCTCTCTGAGAATTGATTTGATAAGGACAGTAAAAAGGCCCAGAACCCCTAGGGAACCAATGAATCGCTAAAATCTGTTTATCCATATCTCCCATATTCTCACTGAAAAATAAATGAAAGTATTCCTCGATCACACCTCTAATTTATCATTGGACTTTCAATCAGGGTTTTGTTCAAATAATTGATAGACTGGCACCTCGCAGCAGTCAAACGTTTTTTTTTTTTTACTTGAAGTTGAATTATTATTATTTCTTAAATCTCATTCAATACTCTCAATTCTTACATTATTTACAATAGCTTCGATACAATAGGTTTCTGATGCTAAAATTGTAACGGAGATAATGCTGGTTGATCTGTCATTTTCATTTTAATTTCTCTTAAATCCAGATAATCTCGTATTTTCGGACAATCATAGAGACTTGAGTTAATTTTTTTTTGTCCACAATTTTCTCAATTTTCCCCTGTTATTCTCGCCTTGTTTACTATTTACACGAAGTAGCGTGTGCGTATTTTGAGTTTCATCATTTCACTGAATAAAAATAGGAAAATAAACGAATGAATGCTACAGTGAATTGTTCTCTAGCTGGTCGATGATCATTTATATTCATTGGCTACACAACACGCAGTAAAAACTCTTTTTTCCAAATATCGTTTAACCTCAATTAACGCGACTCACCTCAATGCTGCAATCAAGTTATATATATACATATACATATTACTCTGTTTTTAAGTATACATATATATATATAGCGCACGCTGGCACGCACGTAAAAACGTATTTTTTTAAATTTATACACTCGCAATAATCGGATGTTTGATTTTTTTTAAATAATTCTCTCACTCAGTGTGGAACAATAAGTCGAGTATATTAGATTTTTCCTAACCATCGACTTTCCTCTGGAATAAAGTCAACAAATGCCAGAAGACACCAATTCTGGCCCAAAAACATATTTACTTATCTATTTATATTCTTGTTTCTCCTGTTCTTTCCACTGTTTACATCTAAGTTGCATCTCTATCGAATGAAAATGATATAACTCTAATAAGAAAAAGAAAAACGGTGAAATAATAATTGAAAAAAAAAACATTACTTTCTGCTCTCATAACCCTAAACAGTAAAATTGTCACTCGCCAAGGATTAAATTACTCAGTACAATTTGTTCAATAATTCGCCATTTGTTCAAACTTCTCCATCAACAACAATCGAGCAACCGATGTGAATATTAAAACTCGACCCAAAGGATCTGTGGGTACTCTCACCATTTGTTCAATCTCATCACTCATAATCTTACAATTACTAATGGACAAATAAGAAACATTAAGTTGCAATTGGTCGGTCACAATCGACGAAAGACACGAGAGTTCAAATGAGAGAGTGACAGCATTGGGTGGCATCCTTTCGTCGCTTCTATAGCCCAGAATTATTTTCAACTCGACACAAATAACCATCGCCCCGGGGGCCATTTTTCATCATAATTTCAGTTAAATTGCATCCAGAACTACTAATTATGTTTATTCCGGATTCACTGTCTTGAGAATAGAAAAAGATTCAAAGTAAAAGCCCAAAGAAAACACCTGTTGACCGAGTCCCCCGATCATTTGAGTCGACTCCCATAATTATCAAACTCTCCTTCACTCAACAGTAATAAAGCCATTAAACTCCACAATTCTCATTTAGTTGCTCGCTATAACCACGAGAATTGCTCTGATTTTAAACAATGAGATCCCCTCCCACAACATAAATCAATCCATAATTCATTTGGTCGATCTTCGGATAGAAGAAAAGTATCATTACCCTAATAATCAATAAATATCTCACTACTCATTCCAGTGAGCCAACAATGACAATTCCCCCGGACGTAAATGAAAATACGATAAAAATAGTCCGGAGTTTAAAAAGTGCTATTATACTTCATTTACAATTTAATGAGAGATTACGTGGTTTTGGGTATTTCTGGTGAGACGTTGGTCTCCTGGATTTGAAAAAAATTAAGGATGCTTAGCCATTTTCAGCAAATCTCCATTTTTCACTTTTCACTGAAATTCCTGATTTTTTTATCGACTCATATTGGAGCACACGAAAAAAAAACTCCTACTTACATTTACTCTGAATTCAATTAATTGAAAAAAACAATCAGTGGGATTTGAAATTTCGCTGGAAGTTGAATCCGTTAAATTCAATCCCAAAAATTACCAGAAAGAGAATAATGAACAAAATATAACAAATGTTTGAGACTAAAAAGGATTATTTAAAAAAGAACTTGCGATTTTGGATAAACATCCTTAAGGGAAGGCAAATTGCGCACTGTAATGAAATAACTTCATCATTCGTTTAAAACTAAAGGGCGGTAGTTTTAAGGTGGGGACACCGCTGTAGCGATAAGCCCCGGGGCTCCAGCTCCTAAATGGCATTGAGTGCCCTCGAGTCTTGCTGTCGTCGTCTTGATACACTACCATAATCCACACTACCACCTAGGTACGAATCCTCCTCAGTGCCATAATCATGATCCCTCTCTCGCTCTCTCTCTCGTTCCCTCTCTCGTTCCCTTTCGCGTTCCCTCTCACGTTCCCTCTCACGTTCCCTCTCTCGTTCATTGCGATCAACTCTCTCCATCCTGGATCTCCTGGTGCTGCCATGCCCATAGGAACCAGTCCCTGTCGATAAAATTCAATGATCATTATTCCCCAAGAATTATCACATTGGGACAATCATCAAAGGGTATCACTCGTTAAATAATCACTTTAAATCAATTGAATGTGGTTGTCATCCCAAACAAAACAACTTCCTGTCTCTCAGGTGGTAATTTACCTTCAATTCCCATTGGATTTATGTTCTATACTATTCAACACGAGTACAAAAAGCTCAAGCGCAATTCTGCTCATGCAACTGCTCAGATGAATTAAATAATTCATAAATAATTTGTGAATGATGATCGACCTGATGACTGTCAGGCTCAAACTCGATAATTGATGGTCTCGCGGTATCACTAGTTGGTCTAACGTTACACATGTTTATATGTGTACTAAACCGTTATTTTTGTAACGTGGACTAGTCTAGTTGATAATAAAAATCAGTATTAGGCGGGATCGCATACAATTCGATGGGGAATTACTAGGCGAATGATTATTTGTCAAAAATCAATGGATCTAATCGATTAGTTTGATACCAATATATAATATCGATCTTTCGCGAAGTGGAATAAGAGTTACGAAAAAATTGCTATATTTGTGAAATCCAATGATATTTCTGGAAAAACCCATTGAATAAATCGACTTGTTACCTTTTACCCCTTCACAAGGAATTGTTATTGAATGGATAAAATCATTCGCCCGATAACAAATCGACGAATCGTATCGATCCCGATTAGAAGATGGAGGGCTACTCGAGGGGGATATGCTCTATGATGATTGATGTGGTCCAGAGAGTTTCACGGTTTTTTTTTGGGGGTAGAATTTGCAACGATTTTGGTTGATCTCATGCTTCAAAAGCGTAAGTACTTACAACGCGACCTCGCCAATGGGTGCTCGCGGTCTCATTGTTTGACGATTAATTAGATTAATTACTATTCCTCTCTCCCTCTATGTCTCTGGGTCTTACTGACTCCAAGTGGCTAATTGCTCCACGAGTTGATTGTTATTTATTATTCGATTCGATTTTAAGGCTATTCTTTTGTGGATACGGCGAGAACAATTTTTACGGTTTTTAGCGGATTCGAGGGATTTGTTTTTAAATCGATGGTTTAGCCCTTTAGGCTGAGTCTCACTGCTTTTCGGATGATCCCGGTCGCAGCGACAGCCTCGACTGGTCCACCACAGGACAATAGAAATTCAATAATTGTGATTAAATATCGGGAGTAACTCGGTGCCAATCGATTGTTTTGTTTCAATCTGGATTATCTGTCTTTTTATTTCAAATCTATTTGTGGGTAAAATCAATTGTATCACGTCGAGGGGGGAGATATAAAAGTAAGACTGTGACGTTAGATCTCCAAGCTGCAGATAATTAATAACAAAGTTGAGAAAAGTGTCAAGTGAAGAGAAAAAGTGCACAAGTGGGGGGTGGCGGGTGGTAGCCAATTGTGCACTGAGAAAAAAAATTACGTCTTCGTGTAAGTGTGAGTACATTTACTTGCTGCAGGTGAATGCTGATGAATAGTTGGAGTAAATTTGGTAGTGGAGTTATTTGACAAGTGCAATTTTTTTTCTCGGTCCAGGGTATAGGGTGGGTGGGTGGCTGGTAGGAGACAGAGAGCAAGAGGGAGAAAGATAAAGAGACTAACGCGGGTACGAGGGGGGGCCTCTCCCCTCTCGTTTCACTGTTGTGGGTACAAGTGCTGGGATCCATACATTGCCGCTGAAAAGAAACACAGAGTGAGGCTACCAGGTACCCTCAGTGCACTCGAGCATATCCTCGACAGGGACTCATTCATTTTTTCCCCTCTTTTTTTTCGATACAATTGTTGCCAAGGACGCGTCCACCACGGTGTCGAGATTTTTTTTTTTTTATTGTATTTTTTTCGATTGATCGATCACGGATTTTCAGGCAGTTATCGAGAATTTTACTGGGGATTCGTTCAGTTCAATAAATGAAGAGAATCCAGGAGCAAAAAGGGTACAACGAGATGAGTGTAATATGGGGAGAGAACTTGGTGGAACTTTTCTGAGTTTTAGTGATTCCGCAGCGCTGTGGAAGTAGATATTGACGAATATTTGGAAAATCAACTAATTGTCATTACACCCTGGCCCCAGAGGATTGATCCACGATTTTTGGGGGTGAAAATTGATTTTTTTTCAAATATTAATTTTTCCAACAACCAACGGTTCATTTAATGTATATTCATCTCATATACGAGAATAAAACTCTCAGAGACGAGAAAATCAATTCAGACAATGCCTAAAATTCCGATACACTGTACAATCACTAAAATTCGCGAAAATCTGCCCAAAGGACACCCGATCTCCAAAAAATCCTCAAAATTGTCAAAATAAAATACTCTGACCTCGTTCTACACTTTTCTCCTGAACCATTAATAAATCTACAGTGAAAAAGAATCTTTTGCCACTGAATAATTACACAACTACATGAACATTACCAAAAATGCAGTAAAGTACATATCGAGGCTATGACAAACGTACCATGAAGCCATAGATCTACCGAGAGCTACTCCAAATCTAAATAACTACACCGGTCGATATCAACACTAATTACTGGGGTAATGGGTGGGGGGTGGGAAGGGGGTTACCTCTTTTCTCATGTGCGTAGTGAGAGACGTGATGGCCACCTTGGGTTGCATTAAAGATAAACAGCGGGTGACATTAATACTACCCTATTACTCAGTTCATGATAACAGTGATAGATATTGATCAGTGACAGTTGTGTGTGCAGTTGAAAATTGAAAATTCAATACTCAGGGAAAATCATTTATTATTCTTCATAATGATAAAAAGAATGAAAATTTGTTGGACGGTAACAGATCGAGATATTGATTTTTGGCAATCTGTTCAGAACCTCTTGGGTCAGAATAAATCGAACTGCTTTTTGAATACTTAAATGACTCAACTCATTTTTGGCATCGCTCGAGGAATATGTTATGTGTAATATATTCCAGTTTTCATTAATTCGTAATTCAGCCATTTTATCATTTTAGATTTAAGAATACCGAGATTTTTCCTGAGAATGTGAAATCTTTTTTTCTCTGTGCAATGGCCCACCGAAAAAAATATACACTGAAATACGTGAAACTGGCCGATTTGTACAGAATAACTATAAAATATATTTATTCTATATATTTTCCATATATTCTCAATATATTCCCTGAAATATATGCAGTCGGCTGATATTCCATATTTCGCGTATATTTTTCGATGTGAAGTTTGTGGCGTGTGCTCAGTTGAAAAAAAACGTGATTTAATCAGATTGAAAATAAATTAATAGAGATGGTCGGCACGTGATAAATCAAGATGCTGAAGTCATAGAAATATAATATTAAAGTAATTCGATGCATAAACCACTAGATATCTAAATATCGTTTATATGTAATCATCTAAATATCGATCAACGTAATTGGTGATAGGTAGATTATTTTGATAAATACCTGAGGGTACGCGAGGTGCTAGAACATCACCAGCTGTTGTGTCAGAGGGTGCTGTCATGGCACGGGGGACTGGTGCGACAACTGGTGGATGTGTTGCCCCCCAGTATGCCTCCAGGTACTCGGCAACATGCTCACATGCCTCGTCCAACTGATTTTCATCAAGTATAACATCAAACATCTCCGGTGGACACTGAGCCAACTTCTCAGCCGCTACCATTTGAACGTTCAAGTGACGCGTTTGGGATTTGCCACGTGATTTAATCAGTCTCTGCAGTACTTTTGGCGATGAAATTTTCAGATAAACTATTATTGGTGCTAGACTGGTTTTAGCCAACTGTGAGGGATGATTTATCGTGTCACAGTCGAGGACAACAAGTTGAAGTGTTCGGGCAAGTTCGAATATTCTCTCTATCTCAGCCTGAACCTCGGCTAGACAACTGCTTCTGCTCGTTGAACGCTCCATTATCGCTCGTTTTGTTGGATTGTTCAAGAGTGATTTCTTTGCTAGCGATATGTCCGCCATTACCCTGGTTATTATGATCCTGGAGAGACAAAACATATTTTCGTGTTAGATTTCAATGTCTTCTTATCAGAACATTTTTTTTTTCTTCACAGTAGAAATTTATTTTCTATGATTATCATTTGTAAACACTTGTTTGATAGTATTAGCTCACCGTCCTTCAAATTTGTGCTTAAGGTAATCAAAAAGCGCCTTCTGCATCATGTCCGTCACTTCGTAGCCCTTGAGTGATGGTCCAACCAGTACAACTGGCCTCATAGATGGTACTACATCGTAGGGAGTTGCAGTTTCCTGGGGATTAAATTGTTTGTTAGTCTCTCGATTCTGGAGTTCTAGAAATTAATTCAGTGCCAAAGAGATAAAATGTTCGATTTTTTAAGATTATCTCCTCGCAATTTTTGATGTTGCTGTATTTATTTCTTTTTGATATTTTGTCATTGATTTTTGACGTATAGGATATCGATTTCACTTGATATTGATACGTTCTGAATATTGCGTAAATCATCAGTTTGGCGGAATGATTCTAGGATTCTAGGAGATTCCATGGTTTAATCTCTTCAGTCCTGAATTCAAAATTTAAATGCATAAAAATGATGAAAAACTACTCACGTAGGACTGTATCGGTGGCCGTGACCCAGAGTGATGAAAAAAAAAAAGATTTTGATTGATCAATTAGTTGATAAGCGAGGGTGAAGCATTAAGAGGGCATTGCACTAGATCCAATCACTGAATGTATTGAGCACAATTGGATTCAGAGGGTATTGTCAATATTACCGGTTTTTTGAAGAAATTCTTCCGCTTCTCCTTGGCTGGTGGTGTTGTGAGTGTTGTCTTGCCTGGCCTGGCATTTCCCACACTGTCGCTATCATCTCCTTGTGGAAATAATCAAGAAAGATAGAGAACACTTAATTGGGCTGTGGGATTGGGAAGACTCTGGCGGTATTTTCCGTTGATTGCGATTGGAGAATTGCGATTTGGTTATCGATATTACCTGGTGTTGGTGGAGTTGATCCACGCGATGGCATACCACTCTCCCCCAAATTACCCGATGAACCACCTCTCGTTGAATATAAACCCTTTGTCCCACGTGCTGCACTCGCCTGGACTCTTAGGGCCTCCAATTTAACCGGCGATGGAATAAATCCCACGTCCGCATTCTCTTTCACGAGCCTGCCAATCCACCAGTTGTTGTCGTACTTCTCCTCCAATTCGAAATAAGTCAATAACATTAGAACATATTTTTTAATTGCATTGGAAGGAATAGTCAGTAGTAATATCACGGTGGCTTCAGGGAAGACAGAGAACTTTCAGGCAAATGTCGCATTAATTTTCAAGGAGATTTTTAAAAAACTCCCTGTGCACTCGGAATTTTTCGTCTGCAGAATTTGACAGAAATTTGTTTTGGAACGAAATTGAGAGATTCATTTGTGGGACTTCCAGTTTTCAATTATAATACCGAGATTTTAATATACTTAAACCACATGTAAGAGCACTCGGATTGAAATTCTTGATAATATTACCTTGATGTGAAGAAAGTCCCGAACGTCGAAGCTGACGGCAGAGCCGTGTACCGGTGAATCATCGTCAACCGAGCCATCATAGCTGACATTAGTCCTGACCGCAAAAGCCACAGGTTTCGTCTGAAATCCACCCCAAATCATTGAAAATTCTACCCCCAGACGAGTTGATCCAATTTGCTCAAAAAAAAAAAATCCGAAGATAAAAAAACACCCATGAAATTGCCTGACAGAGATTTCCACTGGGAAATAGCACCTCCAGCCTCTCTCCCTCCCTCGAGTCTATCACAATGAAAATTTAATTCCAACATTTTCCCATCCCCATTTCCAAAACAAAAGACATCCCCCCCCCCCTGCATTTCCAATATCCCGTTAATAATCACTGAATCCTCCCCCCCCACACAAAATCAAACTTTTCCCGATACCTCACTCCCCGACGACTCGATTAAAAATCAAAAGCAACAATAATCCCTCACCCTGGCTTTTTCAAGCTGAACCAGTGCCTGTCTCTCCTTTTCTCTCCTCAGACTCTCCTTCTCCTCATCTAAGGACAGATCCGAGCTCGGTTGTGAGTAGTTCGAGTCAGCCGAGCCCTGCAAAACAAATGAATACAAATAAATACCGGCCTCATTTCATCTGTCATAAATGAACAAGTAATAGTATCAACTCCTCCACAACCCACATTTATCCCTCACCCTCGTCCATCCCCTCGGTAAAATTCAAATGCGTGGAAAATGAAAAACGTGACGACTTGAGTTTTTAATTACAATTAACGAATGAGGAGGAATAAAAAAGTAAAAGTAGAAAATTGTTATGGGAACGTCTGCACGCTTTGTCAGAGGGGCAAAGGGGGGATGAAGGGTTTGTGGGGATGGAAAGGGGATGGAAAGGGGGTGGTGTGGGTGGGTTGGGAGGCGTCTCGGACGTCTCGAGGGTAACGGTATCCGTGGCAACGGCCTCGACTCACCCTGCTTCACCCAGAAAGTCTTTTCCGTCATGCCGAATGCCAAGACTGTAGTCATGCGCATGTTACCAATTACTCGACTTAATAACAACAAATAAATGACAATGATAAAATATTGATAATAATTTACCGCGATAACGTAGCCCATTGATTCGATAAATTATCGATGTATCTACGCGACTGATTAATTGCTCACTCAGTTGCTCTTCATCGTGTCTCTTCACCTCCAATTTACCGGAATGATTATCCAGGTCATGGGTGATACAAGTACACGAGTACTTATTATTATTATTACTACTATAACCGAGGTATTGGTGAATTATTTTTTCAATTCATCGGAAAATACCTGTGTGAATAGCTTGTTGTAGCCGGAATTGTGCTGATTGTAACCTATCATCGCCGTACGAGACGATACGCTGTCAACAGTCGTCTGCGCAACTCTCTCAGTTTATTTATCGCGATATTATATTATTTATATCACTTATTCACACACATGTTCAGTAGCTTGGTAACAAGGGCTGGTATTTCGCCAGTATTTTCCCTGTGTTTTATCATTAACAAAAGTTGGAGTCATCGTTATGCACCTCGGAATTCCCCGACAACCACTGATAACAGAGAAAACACCTTTTATCACACACCGATCTACCGCATTGCGCTTTTTTCGTGAATTTTTTTTCTCATTATGTACGTCCTGTGTCTCTGACCGGGCGATTCAACTGCATTGTCTCATGTGGCCTTTTATTGCCGAGGGGCTCACCTGAGCCACTGGAATTCTCTACCGCATGATGTCAAGATTTTTTACGCTTCCTTTTGCAGCCCATCCAAGCGCCCGTACTTAATTCATTAAATTGTCACTATCAAGTACCCGACGATCTCATTCTATACCGGAGTATTGAATGAGTCGAACCTCATGGTGAGAGCAACACTCGATGAAAATCCGAATAAATAAATCCAGGGGCACAAATAATGAATTCCAAGAGTTTGTTGTACCACTCGGAGACATCCACCCCCACCGCTCTTTCTTATTTATCCATTTTTTTCCGTTAACTTTTTTTGCAAAAACTTCATGTAGAAAAAGCGAAATGACTAACGAGGGAGAGAAATGCAGAAGTGTTTGCTGGAGGGTATGAGAGATGAGTAAAACGGATAACGTTAACACAGCGCCGACGTGACACTACAATTGGGGGTTGATCGCGCAGACGCACATGTCGGTGGATATCCTCGTGCGTTGTTGATTGAATCAACGACCCCTTGTTTTTTAACCCCCGACTACAAGACTCGCCCTGGCACCCGCATTCGGATCCGCGTCACCTCGAGATTCAACTTCCACTCATTATTCTCCAGTAAGTCACAACCACAAATTAAATTCTAACAACTCGAGACATTCCATTCCACATTTCCACCGAACTCATCAAACTTATCAATCCGCGTCTAATGTTGCTACGCAAATCGCACCCCCCGTCACGAGCATCACGACACGACGATTCACTGGCCCAGTCACTCATTTTCGATTGCACGTGTAATTTATATAAATTATATATAAACTGTATGTAAACGATATGTCAAGTATATATATATATATATTTAATATATATGTAAGTGTGTTTTAAAAATTTTCGTCAATTTTCTCCGGTGATTTAAACGCGCGAGCTGCCCCGGCCGGCTGTCGGTACAGCGGGGGGTGGGGGCCAGGGGGTTCGCGATGACGAGTTTGTTGACGAGCTCTTTGATGACTGGATGCCGGGATACGTGGCCCTCCTTTTTACCCTCACGATTACTGGATATTCGACTTTTGCCCGTGTCTGCCGCAAGGTGGTAGCAGTGCAAGCAACCCACAACCCCCTCGTCATATCGATCCAATTCCGACTTTGCACTCTGTCCCTGTTGAAACCACCCCCGTGGTGGATTTTACTCACACCCTCGTAACTCATGATGATACGAAAGTATTACAATTCCGTGTTTATTCGGTCACAATGCTGCGGCCACTGCACCCAAACGCGCCTTATTTCGCCGGTTTATTACCTCTCTTCATCGATTTTCGATTGTTTTTTTTTGTAGGGGGGGTTGGAGGGTGAGGGTGCTGGGGGTGGAAATGGGAAGTGGTCGTTTGATTGATGATGTTCGAGGGATCTCTTTACCTTTCTGCGGCCGAACGGCTTATACTGACGGCCCATCGGCCGTCGCATATGATGCGCCATTTTTTATTATTTTTTTTTTTGCAACGAGGAACTAATTTACTCAGTTTTTACTTGTACTCACACCCCGGGTTCGTTCGGCTTTTTTTTTTATATCGGGGGATTATTGATTGCTAGTTTATATTTATCACTGGGGTCAGCTGTGCACCTCCATTTTGGGGTGGTGATTGGTAAATTTGGGGGGATTGATTAGATAATTCGTTTTAATCTCTTCATCGTGATTTGGGGACTTTTGGGGGTTGATGATTATTATTCTGGGATTATTTTTGGCACGTCACGTGGAGCCCGGATGGGGAAGGGCATCTCGATCAGCTGTTTCGAGGAGTCGACGGGGTGGAGGGCAGGGATCGATGGGGAAGATTTTAAATCCGGGGAGATCACTGGGGCTTGGTCGGGGTGATTTTTCGATATTCGTGAACACTGATTTTCGAGGTTTACGGGGGCAACGAGTGAGTTGGTACTGTCTAGATCTGCGGTGAGAACGATCATTTTGGAACGCAACGCAACCTCATCTATTTATAAAACCGCGGCACTACCACTGCCAGCAACTCTCATCACCCCACCTCTCAATTTTCATTCTGATTTTGTCTCACACGAGGGATTCCTTTTTTTACAAACCCACGAATTTTCTGGGACCTTCGATCCCCAACTCGAGTCATTCTCAATAATTTCGAATAGTGAGCTATCAAAATTTATCCAATTCTTCGGAAAAATTACGACGTTTTGAACTCTCTGCAATTCATTAAATTCAGCTCTCTTTAATTTAATTTCCACTGGAGATAATTCATATGATTCGATTGAATTTAAACCGAATTTTATTAGACATTATCAATGAATTATGAATTCAATCAGTTGCCTCAAAATAGTTGTTATCAAATCGTTGAAGGATTCGATTGGATATTGGGGATGTGTCAGACTCACCGTTTATTCGTTGGTAATTAATTAATTTCGTTTAGAATGAATTAATTATTTTAATGGTGAAATGAGGTGCCAAAAAGTAGAATCGGTAATATTTTCTGGAATGGCTAGGGTGAGATAACTCGAGGCGTTTAATTATTCTGGTGTTTTTTTTGTCGTCGGATTTTTAATATGTAATTGATTGACGCATTTACCCTCGGATCGTTCACGAATCTGCCAAGTTTTATTATAGCTGCGGAGGAAATTGTCGAGTTATAAACCGACGAATTAAAAATCTACGCATTGACGTCAAGTGTATTTTGAAACTTTGAATTAATACCGCGGGTTTTTTTGGGTAGATATCTCCAATACCTTCCGCGAAATCGGTAGATAAAGTAGGAAATTTTGTCACATTTAGGGAATTCCCAGTGGACGGCGCTAGAGGACACGACAAGTTTGAAATTATTGATCGAAGTCGAGATATGGAATTGATAGATTAAATAGATAACTCAAATAAATAGTCTTGATCCACGATTCTCAGAAATCCTAATGGATTTTTTTTTCGAAGCCGTAACTGGATACCCAATCGATTTGTTAATTGATAACCAAATTTTTAAGGTAAAGTACATTTTCATAAATGTAATTTGCATTTGTTTGTGACGTTTGCAAATGGATAAATTATTCATTTGAGATGGTAAATAATTAATTTTGACTATTACGATTTCGAAATAATAAATTCCAGGGGTTTCGATTTTTTTACATTTACCACATTGAACTCGTAATTCATGTTTTTAAGATCGTATTTTATGGGTTTAAAATCGTAATTGTTATCTGTGTAATTGTAATTTACAATATCAAAAAAGGGATTTAGCCGTTCCAAAATATTGTAAATTAGATTCTTGATGATGTACTTTACATTGGATTTTTTTTTGCATGAAGGTTAATTTTTTAGAAACAAATAGACTAAGCGAATTGTCAATTAACTCAGTTATCGGAATGATGAACTTTCACGTGTCTGCAAGTGCTCCGTTTACATACGGTACACGAGACACCGATTCCATGTGGAGAAACCCGTTTAATGTATAAAGTACAGTTAATACATTATCGTAAAACAGTGGAAAAGCATTCACCTCGATCTGTTGACCAGAAGAATTCAATCCCAGTCCATACTATCATGAATACTTTGAAATTCAACTCGTTTCAATTCAAAATTTGATATTCTCAATAGATTTTCCATAATAATTCTCAGTAATTTTAATTAATTCAATAACGATTTCCCCAAATTCTCATTTACTCCGAAAGTTGAAACATAATAAACAATAATTAATAATTAACAGATACCGAGTTAAATTATCGATTATACTTCTACATCACAGCAGATATTCCGCAGATGAATTTCCCAAATGAAAATGCCAATTTTTCCTTGAAATTCTCCCCGCAATTCCAGTGCAATGAAACTCCCCCCAAATGAAATCAAAACAAAACGTAACAAAAACACGAAAAGGAGAGAATAAAAAAAAATACGACAAGTGCTATTTCGCCAGTGAAAAAAAAGAGTCCAGTCATCCCGGGGACTGGCAAGCGTTTGACCTTGATCTTGGAGTTGGTGTGGTATTCGGTAAGGTGCACCGGCGCTCAAATAAAAGGTGGCGCTCGAGGGGTCTCTGGAATTGCTCTCATGTTGACTCGCGAAAAAGAAAAAAAAGAATTGAAAAAAAAAGGCAGATAAATGTAAACAAAAGTGCAAAACTCACCCTTTCTCCGGAAAATGGCGATATCAGCTAAAGCATTAGCATTTTTATTTGCAAAAAAAACTCAACGATTTTATCCGATGATAATAATAATAAAGAGCAATAAAAAAAATGAGGGGAACATAGAGGACTTAGCCTGCGGTGTTGCGCGCTCGTATAATGGCAACGTGTTTTCGTCTAATGTACTTTTTGTGGTGTCCTTGATGGTGGAGTCTGCGAATGCAGAACTACAGGGTCCGATGGGTTTTGCGGCGAGAAATGGCGGTGAGGGGAAGGGGGGGGGGCGGCAAGGGGGGTAGAGACAGGAAGGGAAAAGGGGGAAGGGTGGTGAGGGGTATAGGGCAGGGGGTATAACTAAACCCTGAGTAGAGAGGCGCAAAAATTTTTCGTCGGTGTGTGAGGGGCACACAGAGTGCACCCCAACCCACCGCAACTTTGGGCCTAGTCAAGGTCAGTATGGCATTGCCAACCCGATTCGATGGGTCCCTCGGTTGTAGTTGTGTTGGGGCCCACCCGTCCGCCTGCCTTGATTCGCTGACTGGTTCACGTCTCACCTCGCGGGCCTTATGCTGCACCTTGTCGGGCCCTACCCCTCATTTTTCTCATTTTTTTTTCTGCTCTTTACTTCATCTTTTCTTTAACCATTCCTTTTTTTTTCGATACTAATGATGCCCATTGCGAACACAGAGACGAGGTGTTGGTTGAGGACTTATGAGTACTTGAAGTCTTTAGTTTTGTGGAGGTTTTCCTTTGGAATTGAGAGGAAGTAGGAAGTTGCAGAGAATTTTTAAGATCGTGCTTTCGTGGATTCGTGAAATTATTAATAATCTCTTTGGGTATTGAACGAGCAGGATTATTAACAATTTTGTAAATAACAAAAAGAAAGAAGGCGAAATTTGAGTAGAACTTGTTTACCAGCTCAAACGAAAAATGATAATCAGTGTTGATCCTAGAATTATCTAGGAATTATCTAGTATTTGGTCCTGATTCGCTGTTGAAAAGATTTATCTTCCTAGAATATGTCGTAATTTAGACAAAGAAAAATATTTCTACCACACGATTGTGAATCCTCAATCCCCAATTTACGATTGGGGAATTTCGTGCTGTTACCGTCATTCCAGTGGATTAAATTCAATTGCCGACACAAGGGGTAGGCGAGGGGGAGGGTGAAGGGGGGGAAATTCTAGTCGGTTGGTTTATATATGTAGGTATTAAACCCAGGGGCCTCATAGTCGTTATCCTTGAAAGAGCCG